ATTGTAGCTACCAAAAAATGTACCACATGTCTGGCACTTTGCATTGCGAAACATTAGGCAAACATTATTAATAAATTAGGAGCCAAGAAAAAAATAGTGAAGGACACACTTTCGAATGCTCCACTGTATGTGGCATGAACTTCGGCTCAGTGCTATAACATTTGCCTAATCATTGCATACTTTATGCTGCCGAAATTAAAAAAGTTTTGTTCCCGAACACATCTCGCAACATATTTCCTGCAGACAAGTTCGAGTGTGGTTCGTTCGGATGTGTGATGATGTGGAAAGTTGAGCGTGGAGGCAGGCAGTTTTCCAAAAGCAAAACACATCAGCCTGTCGAACAGACACACCCACACCCTCGATCTGATGCAGTTCGCAAATGGCCAACATGTTTCAGTTAAATGTTCTCGCAATTGGTTATGTTTTAAATGTCACAATCATCTTCGTGTTTGAAGATGTTTTCTTATTTGGCTCATCCACTCTAGACTATGGAAGGAAGCTGTGACACCCCAATAATACTTTCCCATCCTGGGAACAGACAGAAAAATGCTTCAGACAGAGTTGTAGGGCATCCAATGCGGTGACTCGCACGGGTCAACATTGGAGCTGAATATGGAGTTTTCATTCGGAACGAGATTCCTTTCTTCAATAATGTCCGATTGAAAAGGCGTTCCTTTGGCCAGGGAGATAATGAAACCACTTTTCGAATAATTGTCTCATTCCATTTCACCCCTTGCCGCAGCTCAGATTAAAACACAGCCATTTAAAAATATTCAATCCAAAAAAAAACGAACAAAAAATGTGAATTAAATTCCGTGGCGCCGTGGAAGGAGAAGAATGTATTCAGACCGCACTTTATGGCCCATTCCCAGCTAAAATGACTTTTGCTGGTTTGACTCTGCCCAAAACTGCTGGCCGTGTCCTGTTGGCAGGGAGCGGGGTCTCAGCTGGGGTTTGTGGCTTCTACAATGTTTGTATTTAAATTAAGCTTTGACAGTATGAAACCACAAATTAGACCACAAAATGCTTATAATTTGCGGATTTCAAACACATACACACACATACAGAGACAACTATCACATCCACACGCGCACACACACACACAAAGATGCTGTTTTCGACAAACTTTTATAGTTGAGGCTTTTTTTCGTTGTTGCGGCGTCGAACTTGTTGTTCTCGGCGAGCAGACAATCTCCGGGGTGCGAGCATTGGTGAAGTACGCAGCCGTAAACCCATTTGGGAATATTTAAATACTTTCGAAACTAATATTTGCATAATAAAGGAAATTGCGGTAGACGACAGCGTGTTCTAGGTGTGGCTTACAATGTTGCCTGCGGTCTTTGGATGGGAAGGCGTAGGGGGCAGGGTTCCACGGGGTGGCTGGTGGCGAAAGTCAGTCAACTTTTACTTTCCGCCCAACTTGATTTAGATGCGACAGAAATTCAAATTGTGCCGGCTCCCTGTAATGAATTCCGCCAGCAAGTCAAACCCATGTCGCTTCGAAAAGAAAGTCAGTGGCAGAACTAACTTCAGCAGTTCGTAGAGGTAAGGAGGGAAAGCACACTGTTCACATGCATACGTATATGTGCATGCTTGTGTACACCAATACATCAAGTTGCTGGAAAACAGTTCTGCAGCAACTTTACCCTTGCACCCACTCGGCATTAGCCGCCGTAGCTGGCGATGATTTAATTTCATTTGTCAACGCTCAGCATTTGAAACAAAAAATGGAAAATGGCTCCGATGGAAATGGGAAACTTATGATTTAATAATTAGTAAACTTTGTTTTTCTTTGCTCGACGGCAGTCCTGGAGCAGCATATGTTGGCATTCACATGCGAGCACCCCGCCTCTTTGGCGCCGCACACACTTGCACACACATCCTGGCGCAATTAGTTTCCCATGTAATATTTAATTACCTCTCGTAACATCGAGAACAATAACAGCAACAACAACGAGTACTCCGCGCCATGCCATGCCACTCCACTCCAACCACGGCAAACATCCACAAAAGTTTTGTAATAATTTATGTTTCGGTTAATGAAAATACGAACGAAGCGAGCAGCCAAGCCGCCCGGCAGGCCACAGACGTCAGTCGAAGGAAGGAAGGAAGGAACGAACGAACGCAGCGTTCGAGCGAATCAAATTTCATAGAATCAACCGGACACAAATTATGTTGTTGTACATCCAATTATAGTTGGTCGAGAAGAGCCATTTCGATTTTCCACTTCCAACCACAGGGAGAGGAAAAGACGAGGTTACCCTGGCAATCGGGAAATCATGTGGATCTAAAATAGGTTAAAACTAAATCAAAAGAGTCGATGGTTAAGCAGTCACTCAGCCATGGCTAAGACATTGAAAAACAGTCGGGGTAACAAAGAGAGAGTTCCGATGTTGGCGACAATTTAGGCCTTTGCCAATGCAATGATCAGATTACACACACTTCGCCAGCAGCCTCCGTATGTGTTTATTTCTCCAAGGTGAAAAATAAAAACAAACACACACACGCACGCACGCATATACAGACAAACGTTGTTGGATCGAAAATGTTGCACATCCGTTTGCCTTTCTCTCCAGTGAATCCCAACTTTCCAAAGCACTTAAGTAGCATTGAAAATAGTTTGGGTACGGTAAGGTTAATAAAGAACACATCGACACACACACACACAAGCACACCCACACCCACACATAATTAACAAACACAAATAAAATAGTTAATGTTATGTCGGCAAACAAACCCCCATCCATTCCCGACAGCCATGGCGAAAACCACGACCCAAATAAATTTTCAACATTCTGCCGAATGCGGGAAACACTTAAGTTAATGTCGAGTGAAGGAGTAGCGAGTCCATTAAAAATGCACACCAAATGGTGGGGAGGGAGCATTCAAGGGTCTAATGATTATTAGCACATAATCATAAACATGATGCAAAGGCCTACGGAGTCCATAAAAATGCGAAAAGATAAGCAACCAGGCTGGAAGATCACAGTTACCTTCTCAAGCACATTCAAGTAGAGCAGCAAAATGAAATTTAATCTTTGAGAGAGAAGCTGCCACTCCCACACCCCACTTTGTGTTGGGGTTATGTTTAACACAACTAAAAACCTGATGCAAACAGGAGCGACACCGAGCGAATTGAAATTGTTAGAGGTCCAATGTTGTTCTGCGAGGATTTCCATTGCACGGAGAGAGACTAAATTGGAAACATCCTTAGGATTAGGTGGCGTGGTATCATCAATATCTGCAGCATTTTGAGACATGAACACACTCATCCTCCATAGAAAAACTAGTCCACGCGTTATGGTCAAACACTACCAGATCGAAAAGATTTGAAGAGACCAATTTTTTATTTTTTCCGTAATATATGTTTTCCGTTTTGAACCCAAAATATATAGTAAATTAATATATCCCATTATCACACAACAGCTAAAGTCGATGGAAATTTGGAGCTGCACGGTTTGGGGAAACTAGGAAACTTGTTTCGCATTTCGGCTTTGACGATTCAAAGTTATGTTCCCTCGTAGAGATCCCTACAAAAGGCAGACTCGCATTTTCCGTTTTGGTTTGATACAAATCATGTTACCGTACCTCCTAATTTTCGGTATTTTGGAAGTTTTCGACCACAATTTTAAACCGAATCACGAGTTACTTGACATTATGAGTTCAAAGCAGACAGAATCTCGCACTGCTAAATTTTGTGAAGATAGGACCACTATTATGTGTGGATAATTTCACATTTTAGATATTTTGACCATCTTTTCCTGCTGAATTTTTTGAAGATAAGTCCACTTTTATATATAGGCCCTCTATTTGGGCATTTCCTAATTTAAGGTACTTTTGGGAATTCAGAGTTTTTTTTTAACTTATTATTTGGTATTTTGTTTTTCAGTGGAAAAAATACAACCCTTTGCAGAACCCAATGGGGTTAGATCCCCAAAACCAGAGATAAATTCAAATGAAAGCATTTCGTTGCTCCCATTCATACGTTTTTTTTTTCTTCTTAAAATTGAAAACAAAAAGGCTATTTATTTTTATGAGAGAGGAATAATAATAAAATAATATAAAAATGTGGTTGACAATTTAGCCATCAGATCTGAAATAGACCAAAAACCTTATGATTTACATCCCCTAAGTCTCCCACTCATCCACTGAGGGTTTCTGTGAACAACCAATTGCCAATACTTCTTCAAAGGACAACATTACATAATCCCTCTTAACCCGCATACGTTTCTAATTGAAAATAAAATTTGTCAAACAAATTTAAATATCCCCAATTTATTCGTTTGCCCATTTCCGGTCCACCCAAAGTACGTTTCATGTCTCGTTGTAACATTGCAACATTGCCTTCAAACGCTCGCCACAAGATGTATGCAAATCTGGCCTCGTTCGGTGCCCATAAATATACCAGAACCTCAGAACCTCACTGAGGCTGCAACGGGAAGGTGCTGCATCCAACCATCGAGGAACATCAATGCTGAGGACTGGGTATGATGACTGCATGACATCGAATTGGAAAATGTGTCCACAATCTTGATGTATGTGTGTGTGTGTGTGTCGACGTGTGTGCGTTTCCATTTTCGATAATTTCGAATGACAGAACAAAGCAATCAGTTCGATAAGTAAAAGTTCAAATGAATTTCATTTGACAGAGCAGAAGCTCAGAGTTCCATTGTTGTTGGGTCGGTCCAGATGCATTAGCAGAGATTTCTATTTAATTGCTTAATTTCATTTCGCAACTGGAAAGGATTTGCAACATATCCTATTATCAACATGAAAGGGAATAAGTGGCATCCATTATGCACTACCATAAGGATGCCATTTACTCTGGATTCTAGGAATAGATTTGGCCTTCGAGTGGCCAATGAGGGGACGGGTGAAAATTGATTTTTCATTTTGAGATTGAGGGCAACATCCTTGAGAGTGGCTAAATAGAATGCACTAGCATGAGATATGAGAATCCTGAGTACTTTCTTACTTTCCCCCACTGACAAACACACTGCTGAAAATCGGAAAGAAAATGCATTCTTATTTATTCAGATGTGTGGCTGTGATACAGAAAATAAAATGGAAAAAGCTCAAACTCGTCGATCAGAGCTTTGCTGTTCATTTCTTCTTTTTGGCATCCTCCTTAACGATCTCGAGACTCACCATTTCCTTGTACAGCACCTTGCCAATCGTGGTGGGATTATTGGTGACTACGACATTGGCACTTTCCAGGGCATTGATTTTGTCTTGGGCGCCACCCTTGCCACCGGATATTATGGCACCAGCGTGCCCCATTCGCCTGCCAGGAGGCGCGGTAAGACCGGCAATGAATGCAGCCACTGGCTTCGGAGGATCACAGCAATTGTGTTCCATGAGAAATTCGGCCGCCTTCTCCTCAGCGTCACCTCCGATTTCCCCGATCATCACTATGCCCTTGCACTCGGGATCTTCCAGAAACAGCTCTAGACAGTCGATGAAATTCGTGCCGTTGAAGGGATCACCGCCTAGTCCCACGCACAGCGTCTGACCTAAGCCGTAGAATGTGGTCTGATTGACGGCCTCGTATGTGAGTGTTCCCGACCGCGACACCACACCCACCATGCCACGCTTGTGAATGTTACCCGGCATAATGCCGATCTTGCAGTTTTCCGGCGCGATAATTCCCGGACAATTGGGGCCCACCAAACGGGATTTGTTCTGCTGCATCAAGGCGGCCTTCACCTTGACCATGTCATGTTGGGGTATGCCCTCCGTTATGCACACAATTAGCGGAATCTCTGCCTCGATGGACTCCATTATAGCCTCAGCTGCTCCCGGAGGCGGGACATATATGACCGAAGCATGAGGCTGGGTTTCCTGCTTAGCCTCCTCGACGCACTCGAATACGGGCAAGTCCAAATGCTTCGTTCCGGCCTTTTTGGGCGAAACGCCACCGACGATTTTCGTTCCGTATTTCAAAGCTTCCTTGCAATGAAATGTGGCCTGTTTGCCCGTAAAGCCCTGGCAGATGACTTTGGTGTCCTTGCAGAGCACCAGATTCCGCAGTGTATCATGGTAAGGGTCGCAAGAAATGAAACGTCTCGGAATACGATTCAAGCGGCAAGTTGAACGCCAGAATATATCCTTCGATATAAAACGACCGATGTTGGTAAGGAACGCCATAAGCTCTGAGGGAAATTTGAAAAGAAATGCTTTCCGGAAAGTCAATCCAAAACCTAATGTGACATAAAACTGACTGTCTATACAATTTTGAAAAAAATATTTTTCAGATTACTTTGTTGTTCGCAAAAAGGGCAGATTTGATGCAAATACCTACGACCTACTCTACGACCACATAAATATTTCCTCAAACCCATACCTGTCGAATACGACCATTTAATGGCATCTACAAAGTTTTTTCTTTTAAATACTGAAATCAATCTTTCCCTAGTTTTTAAAATCGAGCTTCTCTGCCTCTAAATGCTGCTGCAAAAACCTAATTTCACGGTTGATTAAAAAATCCGTTTTCCACTTCATCTGACCCTCAAATCCTTCGTTGTGCCTTAAAAGTAAATTCTTGCACCAACAAATTTATGTTTAGGTCATCTAGTTACGTTTTTCGCTCTGAAATTTCTTTAGCGTTGTCTTCTGCTTTTTGTTTAAAACAAAGGCATGGCTGAATTGAACTGTCGTCCAGAATTCTGTCGGATTAACGAGTTCTTATCTATACTCGTTATCATGTCATTGCGACGGGTAAAAAAATCGCAAGAAAGCGAAAAACGGAAAATACACCTCATCTCCTTTGGTCCTGCATTTACACACGACATGACAATTGAGTTCGTGTTTTAATTGTCGAAAGAAGAACAGAAATTGACGTTGGCCTTATGACATATTTATCTGCATGTCCTGTTGGTTGGTTTTCACATTGTTGATGGAGCCGCATCGTGTTTGCCAAGGACACGCAGACATGGCTCAATAGCTCAGTTTTTCTGCCGTTGAAACGAGCTTTAGCTAAACCGAGACACAAAGGCCCATTCCACCAAGAATTGATTATTGTAACATGGTACCGAATTGCTATGTCTGAAATTAATTGGACGGAATATTTTTTTTAATATTCTGATTAATTTACACAATACTTTTCCTTCCATTTTTATAGATGTTTTTAAACTTCTGTTAAATTTGCTTAAAGTCTAATTGAAAACTTTGAAAATTTATGATAAGTCCGATAGCCACCAAACATATGTATGTTCATAGCGCTTGTTTATCAAAGAGTCGCATAACTCCAAAAAAAGTAATTTTCAAAATTTATAAGCGTATTTGCCTGAGAAATAATTTTACTTAGGAGCACTTAAGGTCGTACTACGTAATAGGTCATGATTGATCTTTCACACATATATAACAGATATAGCGTTAACTACATCGTTGTCGATCCGCTTTGCGAATAATCTTCTTTTTAAGGGTGTCAAGATGCCATCTTCCATCGAAACATGAATGCGTTTTTTTGCAGATTCAAATCTTGCGAGTTACGACTCTCTCTCTCTCTCTCTCTCTGAGTCTGGGCTACTGGTCTACTAGCCCTGCAATTACGCATTCCATCCACTTGCGATGTCAGAAATTCAATCAAAACTTTATATTTTCACTTGCCTCAATTAAAAGTTTTTAATTGTTACTTTTGACCTCTAATTATCCTGCTCTACTTCTGAGCATTTTTTCACTCAAATAATATTTTGTGTAATTGTTGTTTTTGTATGTTTTCTAAGAAACTAATAAAAACATCAACTATTCATAAACGACACAAATGTATGTGGATGTGTGCGTGTGTGTTTGTGCGTGTATGTGTGCTTGGAAAGAACGAACGGCCGAGTAAGAGTGCCAACAAATCGTTCCATTTCCATGCATTGACGGACATAAGCCAATGTGTCCCCGTTAAGATATCCTGATAATGAAAGCTTTTTATTTGTCAAGACAATAATTGTTTAAATTATTCATTTCAAAAACAAAAATTTGATGGAAAAGTAACAATTAGGCATTAAAAAAGATACAATTGACCTTAATGTAGAGTTTTTGCTGCGGTGCTGCTGCGGACTCATATAGCCAACTTTTTAAGTTGTCAAAACTAATATTAATAGAAAATCTGTACGAATTGTATGCATAGAAGTGGAGGTAAGTAAATATCGGGGCATAAATAATCTTGAGTGCAAGGCATTTTTCTTTTATTTATTTATTTTTCTTTTTTTGAAGTATTTAATTCAAATTCAATGGCAATCAAATTCAATGACAACACGTCATTGGTTTCCAGTTGAATTCAAAGTTGGGCATTAACTTGTTTCAGAACAGCTTTTCGAGTAAACCTAATTCATTAATAATAATTAATACATAGAATACATTCTCGAAAAAAATGGAATGATATTCAAGTTTAAATGTTGTACAGGTCTAAAGGTACTATTCAAAAATAGGCTTCCTCCCTTGTCAATTATATGCCCAGGAATTTTAGGCCCTTTTTTATTAAGTTCGTGTTGGCCTGTTTGGCTAGACTTCTGGTTGTTGATTTCATTCATTTCATTATCCAATATTTCGATTGATTCCTTCATGGGTATCTTGTTTTGAAAGAAGAGGTCACATTTATTTAATTCAAATACTGGAAATGACAGCCACTCTATGTATATGTGAACAAACGGTACAGATACCTTCAGATCGATGGAAGAATGCTGGAGTAGGTTTAGTCAAAAATGAGGATATACCCCACAGATTGCCAACCCACAACAAAAAAACCCTGCCGACACCTTGCAACGCTGAAGTGATGTGCTCCACACTGGGCTGGCAATTTCCAGGGTCTGCCCTATGTGTTATCCAGAATAGACATGTATTGGTCGCATCCCATAGATGTATGTATATTCGTAACGTAAACGGACACCTCGTGTGTTTCGACTTCCTTCGAGACATTTGAATTATTGCGCAAATATTCATTTTGCATTGTGACAACAAATTGGGCATTTTATTCAAACAAAAACACTACACAAACAATATTCGTCGGAAACACGTGATGACATCCTTTTATCCTGTACAAGAACCAGGAATGGCAAGTAGAAGGAGTACAATGTGTATGGAATATAAGACCCGTCGGCAAAACCGCCGATAGGGCACGTCATCAATAAGGCTCCTGTCAATACTTGGAAACTGTTTTCAGTGTTTACCTCATGTGCCATTTACATTACAGCATACGACATGCCATCCCTGGCAACATAGTCATACGCACACACACACCTTTACCTTTATACAAACAGAACGGAAACAAAAGCAAGAAAAGGTAAATCTAGAATGTCACAATTTCGGATTGACAAGCCCAAAATTATTTCGGAAATAGAAAATCAACACATCACGCTGCCTTGCCACCCCTGGCCCCCCACCCCTGGTCATCTCAGTGCACAAGGTTCCTCCTGAGCTCAATTTTCAACACTGTCATCTTTTGTAAGTCTTACGGGCTAAGCCAGCCATTCAATTGGAATGGCCTGACTGTCGATTGGTCGACCGTTCGTTCGTTCGTTCAGTCGGTCTATTTAGACTTTGCATCCGGCAGTGTTTGACTCCTTGGCAATTGTTCGTCTGCAGCAGTTGGGGCAACACGAAATCGGACCGAATTGAAATCAAACATGTGTAAACATTTGCCTTTTTCAATTTGAAATGCAGTGCAGTGCAATGGAAAACGTATTGTAATCGAAATGGTATTCAATGTTCGCTCACCGCTTGGGAGGGTTGGGGGGGGAGAGCAGGTATGCATGTATCATTCGCAGTGTACGTAGCTAGGGATGTATGTATCGATCTATGTAAACATACTGTATCGAAAGTACATTCATTCATTCATTCATTCACTCATACCACCAACCAGCCATCCACCACCCAGTCAGTCAACTATCCTGCCAAAGTTATTCTGTTCTTGTGCAACATGGCCAAAGTCGATTGTATTTGAAAGTGGATCAACCAATACTTTGAAATTTACATGAATAGTATCAACAAGGCGAAAAGTGTTGCCATAGGTCATCTTTAGGTCATTAAACTGGCAAGTTTTCGATGCGTGGGGAAAGAAATCGGACCGGATGTCAACAGTGCGATTAATCAATGATCTCCCTCCCATCGCGATATCTCAATGGCCGGTATTTCAATAAAACCTCCAACTGTAACCTTATCAATGTCTGGCGCCTGATTTGACTACAACGTTGGGGGGATTGTTTTTATTAATTCCGTTCCGATATTGAGAATTCCGATATAAATTGATAATTTTGTATCACAGCTCGGCGATTAAGTGGTATATCCTACATTTAACATAGAATTGTACTGAGGCAAAAATAAAAAACAGATATCCGTGACTCATGGCCGGCCAAAGGTTTGATTTCCATTTTTGTGCAAATTATTAACAACTTCAGGGAAAGAATTGTGGACTCTTGGTCTTTTAAAAATTTCGAAGGGCACATAACCTGTTTTTGTATCTTGCCACGGGTTGAAATAGTAAATACTAGCCGAAGAAAGGCCGGCTTTCCAAACTTTTAGTTAGGGTTTCCGGTTTTTCTATCTCGCCGGGGAAGTAATGGCTCGAGTCGCGGACAAAGGCGAAGTCCGCCTACATAGAAAATAATTTAAAAGCTCCAGATGATTATGACAAAAAGTGAAATGTTCAACCACAATAGTCCAGAGAGATAAAGAGAGTTGTTGGAGAGATTAACATGAGTTATGTCCTACATCAAATGCCGTCAAAACTCCCAAAACAAGTTTGGGATTTATGCGCATTGTTGGCAACACTGTGCCGTCGGAGAGATAAACAACATTAAAGACACAACACCCGTACAAACTTAAATTCCACACTTTTCTGAAAACGATACCAACAGGATAACATAAAGCCACTCGTAAGTCCTTACAGTCGTTGAGTCCTCCTACCCAGAAAATCAATAAACATTCGAGGAGAACTGCAACAGCAATAGACAAGTGCGTGCGGGAATCCATACAAAGCGAGTCGAAAGCAGACAGTCGATGCGACTTAGATTCACCTTCGGCAGTATTCGATGCCCGTTGGGCGCATCGCACTTGACTTGTTACACAGCACAGCAGCAATTCCAGCATTCCAATCAATATAGCAGCCAAGTTGTCGAAATGCCGTCATTCGGTCTACATCGCAATGCCACAACTAGCTGTGATGTCCCCAACATTCGACTGTAGGGCACTCCTCACCAAGATTATCTCTCATAAAAGTTTTAAGCAAACTTTGGATTTGTGTGAGTATATTTTGGGTTCGCCGTACACGTTCACCATAAAGACTACAACATGCTGTACGCCACCAGCTCAGCTTCAGCATTATCACCATCATCATCATCATGGGCGAAGTGGCCAAAGATGCATTCAGCTGCAGCATGTGTTTGTTTAGCTCTGCTCCCGGTGTAAACGAGAAACTTGAGTTCGTTAAGCTCAACCGGCAAACGGCAACCGGCCCAGCCAAAAAAGGATTACAGCACAAAACAGTTTAGAAAAAAAAACCCAAGAAAGAATTGAAATGCAAATATTTACTTCGATAGACGACAGACATATTGGCCGGAATGTCTCACCGAAAATATTGGAACTTGTTTCAGAGCCAGCAAAAATAAAGGGAAACATTTGCGAACGAACGGATCGCCACAGGCCGATTGGAGTCGAGTAAGAGCTTTCCATTTATTTTTTTATTTCACTTGGCGTCTCGCCATGTCCTCCAACGTCTACATCAATCGCTATTGCCAAAACGTTCGACAAGTAGCTGCGTCCTCAAGCCCGAATTGTCATTTCCTTTAAATTTGTTTATTCGTCTTAATCGCTTATCTCTCCCAACCCAGTTGTTGCACAAACTCTCGACTTGGAATTTGCTTTTTTTTTTGTTTGCGGCACAAAAAGTGACGTTAGTCCGCTTGTGGCCCTGCCGTTGCCTTTCTCTGACTTTGCTTTGCTTCTCATTTCCTCCCCCAGTTCATGTTTAGTGTATCGTTGTTGCACTTAATTATGTAAAATGTTGTGTAAATTCAATTACAGTACCACAACAGACAACGAGCTCGCTCCCGCCAGGATTGTCGAGGGAAGAGCAACAAACAGTGGCAACGCTCGAAAATAAAATTGGTTCAATCAAATGTTGCATCCATGTACGTATCGGTATGCAGATGTCCCTAAATGATAGAGTACCGCCGATTTCGTGAAGAATTTGAAATAATTCCTCTATTTCACTGAACTGGTTTATGATCAGAACAATATATCTCAAGGTATGTGGCTAATGTGTGGACACTGATTAAAAAAGTGTATACACGTCGCACTATTCCAACCTTCTCTTGAATTTGTATCAAAACTCATTACCTTAATGCACAGGGGAATATAAAATACCTGTAAAAATAAAATGTTGGGATAAATATCGTCATTGTTGTTGCATTATTTAGTCGAGGATATCTGTCTTTTACACCAGTCAACATTCGCAGTGTTTAGTAAGTGCATCATTGCCCCTATATTTAAGAAGTCGGCATGACATGACGAGACACTGATCAATGTTTTTTTTTTTGCTTGGGCCTCCACCTATGTATCTTTTTTTTTTTTTTGCTTGGGACCTATGGAAGGCACTGTCATTCAACATTTACAACATCCAATAATGTTCGATTTTGATCACAGATATTTAGAAAATATGTCATTTTCATTAGAGCAAGTCAAGGTGAGAACATACAGTACAAGTTTTTTGCTGCCTTAAGTCTTCGGAAAAGATGTTTGAAGAGAGTTGAGGATCTATAACCGTAATTTCGATGAGCGACATTTTGACCAAGGAGCCATAAGATAGAGGATGTAAAATCAACAATAGTTGTGCATTTATGCCACTAAAGCTTTTCTCTTAATATACCTTTCCAGTAGTTTTTAAAATATTAGAGGTCAGAATATGTAGTAGGAATTTTTCTGGCATAAATCATGGGCTAGCTTGCTAGAACAAGGAATTTGAGGGTGACTAAGTTTAAATTACGGGCCGAAATTGAACTAAGTCAACCTACACAGATTTGTTCTTTTACGGAACAGCCAGGCATCTTACTGTCACCTTACAGGCCGTTTACATATAAACGGGTTAACTATATATATATTTGGCTTACATATGCTTCAAATGAATCTTCTTAAAGTAGGTTAACCCTACAAAAAGTTCTAACATAAACATGGCATTAATTTCACAATTTTATAAATCCACAAATTCGAAAATCGTCACTTCATCAAAAAAAAAAAAACTTAACCCTTAGGGTGCAAGTACATAAGAAGCTTGAACTCATGGCTGGGCATATTTTTTGACAGAGCCGTACTTAAATCCTGCCGTCGTTTTCCTTTATAATTTGACATTAATATGCCTAACCACGACTTCAAGCTTCTTATGTACTTGCACCCTAAGGGTTAACATTCCAATAACTTTTCGCTATTTGCTCTAAATGTCATCAAATGGTCAAAAGTGTCAAATAAAAAAAAACTAATTATTGTTTTTGTTATCAGTTATTTTAAAGTATAAGGCATTACTTATCCAACCTCAGACCTGTCTTCACTTTAAGTGGTTACAGCTCTTTACCAGTTCCATTTTCCTGGGTGTTTTTCGCCATGGATAAGCACATTAGTGCTGCATTTTCCAAATTGTTTTCAAGTTGACGTTTAATAAGTTTTAAACGCTTATTATGTTTGCATTCGTCGACATTCTCTTTTAGGACTTTTCGTCTCCACGCCATTCTCTTTCAGTCTATTCTCATTGCCATGACGCGGGGCAGAAACCCAACCCCCCAAGACAGAAAAATATGAAAACTACAAAAAATGCACCATCTTCGCTTTAGCGGCAGACACATTTGGGACACTACCTAGAGGTTGCTTACAACAGAGCTGCCGCACAAATGCGCGCACACACACATACCGACACTTCTCATCCCTTTGGAGGGATACTAACGAGGATAATACCGCTCAACCTCTGAATGTGGAGTGCATCTAAGCCCGTTTTTCGCGAAGGGTTTCAAATTTGCAGCATTGTCGTTACATTGCCTCCCGGGTAAAAGACGGAGGGTGGCTGGTGTGCCACACTACAGTGCACACAATGCAACAAAACTGAACTTTTTGTTTGGCGTGTCTTTGGACGGTCGGAAAAGGCGACCGGCCATTGAAACTGCGACTAATGTGTTCAATTAACCTAATTACTTCTTGGCGACTGAAGAATATGCAAATGCTGCAATGGCAATATCGTTTGCGTAATGGATGGCAGGACGACAACATACTCAATGGCTGAATATATATATCCTGGCACTTAAAACTGCTAAGAATTACACACTCTGGTTGCGGGGGTTTATTCGAGTTTATTGGAGAATGAATAACAACAAAAAGATGGTCGCAGACCAAGGCATCATCGGCATCGTTTGCATCGGCGAGGAATTCTTCGAGTGCTGTGTGGCCGCCTTAGTCTTATCAATTTCCGCCTGACACACCGTCTCCTTGCGCACATACCGGAATAACGCCTCGATTAGGCCGGCTGGGGTTGCCTCAGTGCAGGTCTCCATGTGGCGAATCAAGCATTTTTCAAAATCTTGCATGTCTATGCACTGCTTGGGTCCCATCACGAACTCTGGCAATTCCGACGGCATTTCTGCAGGAAGGTAGGCCGAGAACGTGGCATTCATGCACTTGGCAATATTGTCCTTGTTGTCCTCCAGGCACTTTGGCCCGTCCTCGGCAATGAAAAGGGCGATTGCTTCGCCATTCTGGTGACAGGCAAAATTCAACAGCGAGTCAACGATACGCATCATCTCAGCGTTCTGCGAACGCTCGCTTGGAGTCAAGCACATCATCAGCTGGTCATTGAATTCAGCCAGACACTGCTTGGCCAGCGGCATTTTCCTGCAGTACTTGGCGAGCACCACGTCCAGATCTCCGGTGGGGCTGGCAGCCTCGATTTCCTCCATGACAACGGTGATGTTGACAATGTTGTTGGCACAGTCGATGAGTTGGTGGGCCGCCCGCTCTATCTTCTCGTATTGATCCTCGGGCGGCGTGGTGCCATTCAGCAAGACCTTTTTGCACTTTTTGTAGAGCAGATCTCTTGCGTTTTCCAGGGTGAAGTTCGATTTGCCGACCTGTGTCGGAAAATAGTCACGCAGTTCTTTGTTGAAGTTCCTATACTGAGCGTGGATGCAACCAGCTAGGGTCAGAACCACAAATATTGCCGCCAGGTTAAACTTTGTCATTTCGTCTCGTCAAACGCACTTCAGCGATCGCTTCCAATATTCAAATCGTACTAATTTCAAAAGTTATTGAGTCGAATTTCCCCAACAGTCGCAGTTGATAAGAAGCCTTATCGGCTGGCACGCTACAGACGGTAAACGGCCTTCTATGCGCTTTCTGGCTTAGCCAGCACGATACTGCGGTTAATGACATGCGTACAGAGCCAGATCCATCCATCCATTCGTCATTTCCAAATATTTACCCTCAAATATATTCATTCATGCGAAATCAAACCGAAGCATTGAAGATCGATTGTCCCGACCTCACTGTAGCTATTCTACATGTCGACTTCGCCCTGCTGACGGTTTCTTATCGCAAATTAGTTTTCGATTTCGTTTGCCCGCCAAGAGATTATCCACTGGAATAATTGAAATTAAAAACACACACATGCCGGCCAATATGCCACACCAAGATTAGGTGGGATTGGGCCATTCTCTTGAACTGACGTCCATCAGGGTTGCCAGCATTGTGGACTTTTGCCCAAATGCGGTTTGCAGTTCTATTACAAAACTTCTAAATAATAGACCAGCTGATAAGACGGGCATTGGATTTAAAGTTTAGCAAAAAAATAAAATCTTTTATTTGTTCCAATTGGCAAAAGCTTATGGGCTTCCCGTGTTATTGTTAGACCGACTTATGATGCAACTATCAATCATTGTAAAAATCAATTGCAATAGTCAATTTTCTAACCCTAGGATGGGATCGTACGATCCCAAAAGAGATATAGAGCCTGATATTCGGGTAACTTCTATTGAAAGGAATTCAAACTCAAACGCCTTGAGCCTTTTCAAACATATATTTTGTATCTACGTTTATGCATTTAATTGTCAAATGATTTGGGACAATTTGTGTCAATTTGTGGGCCCAGATCAAGAGTATCGTTGTATAAAAAAGATATAAATAACTGGAATAAAAAAACATCGTTGAATGCAAAACATACTTTGAGGCGAGGCAAATTCACCTCGATTTTGGTATTGGAGCGTGCCTTCGCTAAATGGATGGCGTAACGTAAATAAAAAATCGCCTCCATACATTTTGTTCACATCGTACCCTTGTTAATGTAAAAACATAAGGTTTTTCCGGTTTCTTTTCATGCAGTAATTGTCCAGCAACTTCTTTCTGAGAGAATGAGGTATTTGTATTCTCTGTTGAACGGGGGAAATCCCTGAAGAAACTTGCAAGCAATCAGCTGACTTGTCAAAACAAAACAATTGATTTTAGCGACATTATTTAGCGGAATTATATCAAATTTCGTATTTGAAATCTTAGTGGGTGCTCCACGTCTTAGTATAGGCCCCATATAACGAATTTCATACGAGCGGTAACGTAATTTTCTGAAATTGTTAACGTTTCTTCAAAAATGTGGAGGATATTAAGAGTTTTTTACTTGTTTTTCTTTTGATCTGATCAAAAAATTCGCTTCTATTTTCACCATTAAAGCTGAGGAGATCTCCTCAAACATTGAAGTGTAATTTTCTGAAATTTTTAATGTTTCTTCAAAAATGTGGAGGATATTAAGAGTCTTTTACTTGTTTTTCTTTTGATCTGATCAAAAAAAAAATCGCCTCTATTCTTCACACCACTAAATCTGCTAGCAGACGATATGGGTATTACATATGTGCTGTCACTTTGTCTATCCATGTGTATTTCCATGTATATGTCAAAATTATTACTTTACATATGACTCATAATTCTTGCTATCACACACTGGCATATGTTTTTTTTTATTTTCTTTGGTTACACTTTGATTATTTGGATGTCTTTTTACCGCAAATTTGATTTGATATATTTTCACACAACAAACAAATACCACTTTTGATTAAATTATTTTGTTTCCAAAGAAAATAGAGCTGGGTGTGATCAAAGGACATTTGTGTTTTACTTATGTATTTCACAACTGAAATGTCGTCCATGTATCACACGATGTGTGAAACTTCTACATATGGTAAGTTTGAAAACAAGACCTCAACCCGGAGACGATTGTCGGCGAGCTAACAGTACGAATCCTCCCAGCTGAGATAAATCACCGACTCACTGAAAACTAATGCTGCATCACCTACATACCAATTCTCATGTTAATCATAATTTAGACTCGTGCTTTTAATTAAGGTTTGTGGGTCCTAGAGTAGACCCTGGCTGTGACTGAACTTGCCTTAGCCTTAGATAAAACTACTCGTTAAAAATGGGGACAAACATTGGCGTACAGCAACGTGACCTTCAAATTTTATGAGGGAGTTTAAAGAGAATACACAAATCCTAAACTATCTTTCTTAAGTATCATTTGCAACAAATGAAAATCATCTGCTGTAGATTTACTCACAAAGGATCGCGCAATCTCCTCAAACATTGTAGTGTAGACTACATCAAGTTTTTTCTACGTTGAGGATAAGTTCCTTTCCAGAGACATGCGAAAATTGTACTAAAATTCCGCTCTTTAAAATCTGAAACTATCCTCCCTATGAAATAATTTTCAAATATTACTTCAGTGCTCAGAACACAAAATGGAAATCTGTTTATTGGAGAGCCCTTGGAATACATCTGTAACATTTTCGTATTAGCCTCATAAAGTGGCGATATTTCCAATAATTGCATACAGCACAAATATTTTGCAAGAATAGTTTATTTAGTATTTTGGACATGTTCCAATTGGAATACAAGTGCCGCTTTGATCGCGAGCATAGCCTTTGTTGCAGTAACAACCATCTGGACACCTGATGTGGCGAATTAAACACGGCTGATTCAAGGTAGCACACATCGTCTGACACGAGTCTCCGCAAGGCGTGTAAAATTCATTCGGTGGGCAGTTCCGGCCGGACGCTACAGAAGAAACAAACAAGAGAGTCCGCACAGTGACCTCAACGCTATGGGTGCCTAATTTCAAGTCAACTACAAACCTTCGATAGCAGCAACCGAAGCCATTAGGACTACCCACACCGACAGCCAATTGACAATAGTACCAGTTTTGAACATTTTACTAATTAGCACCACGATGTTCCTCTTTGCCAGATCAGAATTCAACTGACGCTGCGCTCTGCTACGTGAAGATTATTTATTTGTTCAATACAGAAACCAAAAACCACATTGTTTTGATATTTCAGTCGTCGTCAATGTGTCACGACTAGTTCGGCTGGCTTGTAAATCCCCCGCCATGCGTGCCTTAATATACAGCAGTTTCTAAGATGAACTGAGCAGCGTTTTGAAATGAACAGTGCTTCAGATGAAATTGAAATAATCCAAGTATTTAAATACTTTAGAAATATTTGCTTAACTGCAGCCGTTAAATATTTATTAGATCCAAAATACTTTGCCATCAGTGAGAAGTTGTCTTTGGGTGGTCGTTGAGTTAAAAACCACAAGTTAGAATGTATTTGTGTTATATACCATCATCACTGGGTCGCATGCGGGGGGAAGGGGATACAATTTCGGTTTTATAAGAAACTCGAAAATAAGTAACTTTGTTGCTTTCTGCCCAACACCCGGGAAATATGTTCGATTTGTATTTTTGTGTACGTCTTAGCTTTAGCAAATGACCATTTATAAGTACGAACCATGGCATGCATAGTTCGATCTTAATTTGCTTCTATTCTGATGTGTCCAGAGTCCAAAACTTTGAACGTCATACATTTTTTGTTAGATTTTGAACTCTTGTGAAGAGGGTGTCGATATGGCTCATTTTCACAGTGGATCTTACATTCGAAAATAAATTGAGATGTGCAAGGTTATTGTTATTATGTTTATTATTATTATTATTATTATTATTATTATTATTATTATTATTATTATATTATTATTATTATTATTATATTATTATTATTATTATTATTATTATTATTATTATTATTATTATTATTATTATTATTATTATTATTATTATTATTATTATTATTATTATTATTATTATTATTATTAGTATTATATTTTATTATATTATTATTATTATTATTATTATTATTATTATATTATTATTATTATTATTATTATTATTATTATTATTATTATTATTATTATTATTATTATTATTATTATGATTATTATTATTATTATTATTATTATTATTATATATTATTATTATTATTATTATTAATATATTATTATTATTATTATTAGTATTATTATTATTATTATTATTATTATTATTATTATTATTATTATTATTATTAATTATTATTATATTATATTATTATTATTTATATTATTATGATTAATTATTATTTATTATTATTATATTATTTTAGTATTATTATTAATTATTATTAATTATTATTATTATTATTATTATTATTATTATTATTATTATTATATATTATTATATATTATTATTAGTATATTATTATTATTATTATTATTATTATTATTATTATTATTAGTATTATTATTATATTATTATTATATTATTATTATTATTATTATTATTATTATTATTATTATTATTATTATTATTATTATTATTATATTACTATTATTATTATATTATTATTATATTATTATTATATTATTATATTATTATTATATTATTATTATTTATTATTATATTATTATTATTATTATTATTATTATTATTATTATATTATTATTATTATTATATTATTATTCTTATTATTATTATTATTATTATTATTATTATTATTATTATTATTATTATTATTATTATATTATTATATTATCAATGTTTTAAACAGAAAGTTTACAGATGGTTATTGGAAATTTCAACATTTTTTTCAAGTTTAATTGTTTAAAATGTTCAGATTTTTTGGGGGACGTTGTAGAAGGTGTGGACTGATATATACATATTCCATTTGACAGCTTCCTTTATTAATGGCGACATTAATTAAAGAACTGATCTGCCCAAATACACGGGGAACAAAAAAACTAGTAAGCATTTCAAAATTATGTAAAAAATCGTATGGCAACCCACTAAAATTAAATATCAACCGATATGAAAAGGATAAAAATGGTAAAATATTATTCTCTATTCCCAAGACGCTTATCATCGAAAATTCGAATCAGCAGATGTCTTCTATGTCGTTTCAGGAGAATGAATGATGATATTGAAGTCACTCCAATCTAAAACGTTAAAAATATCAACAACCGAAGGACATATGAGTGATGACATCGACAAATACGCCATTAATCCACTGCAATTCTTGAGAAAACGATATGTGTTTCCGAAGTCGAGTAGGTCGATTGGCAAAATCAGTGCCGAGAACCACCTCCTTTAAAACATCATCCGCAAAAGAGAACATTTAACCCATTTCGCTTTTCTGTTCGATTTTTCGAACAGTAAATGCACCCTTTTTCAAAAAATATATTTATGTATGAAAAAAGTAAAATTTTGAACAAATTTTTGTCTAAGTAATCTTTAAACAATCGAGCAATCTTTAAATAATTAAAAAAATCGACGCTAAAAATACCCCCTCCCCATAGATAGTAGGGGGAAACCCATATTTTTTAATACTTTTTAAATTAATGTTAAAAAATAACAATAAATAATAGATGGAAAATTAATAATGAGAAATTCTCGCCAATGTATGTAACCGCTACACAAATATAAAAAGCATGGTGACTGTTCTGGGAAAAAAGAAAAATCAGAAAATTTTTCTAAGTAAATATTTGACATCAGTGGGCTCTGATTAACGACAGACCTCAGATTTTGTTGTCCATCAATTCTTAGGTCTATGACTTGGGGTCTTAAACCGTTATATCGATGAGTCACATGTAGGGCGTGTCAAAAGATGGAATACACGCTGTAGCCATTAGGCGGTGGGTATAGAAACTAAAGCTTTTCACCACACCCCAACTGAAGTAATCGTTTCCGTAGCGGGTGTATGTCTGAGATAGGTGGCATAACGGAGACAGGGTGACAGCACCAACGAAGAACACATAGCTTATTTCTATAACAACAATATTTGAATTTTCATCCAAATTTTCTTTTACCTTTTCGAAGCTTTGTTTTGGATTGATTTTGGTTTTGAAGACATTTATTAGTGCGAGAGCGCGGGGGCGCTTTTTGCTTGTCTCTTTCGAGCCGACCTCAGTGGCAAATTATGGCTTCCATTGGAGTCATGACAATGCCTTGTAAGGCACATTATCACTTATCAATCCGCCTAACAATATTGGAAAAATAACATCTTCTCCTGCTCCCTTGAACATTTCATCTTATGTGGCCCCCAGCCCCTGGATGAGATGTAAACAAAAATGCAACATTTCTCTTAGGCAACAAAACCAAACTCTGTGGATGGAGGCATGCTCTCCAGTCTGCCCAACCATATGATCACCGTTGTGGTCCAAGCGCACAGAGCAAACTTACTCAACTTACTTCGACTGTTTTGAAATCATTCAGTTTTGAACGGAGCGCGAGCGAGTAGCAACCAACCTAAGAAATACGCGGAAAAAGACAAATCGTCACTTTGCTTGTCTCTCTGTGCGCGTGTGTGTGTGTGAGTGTATTCATTTAGGTGTGTTTGTGTGCACATCTGTATAGCGCAATAGATACATATCAGATTCATTGCAAGTGATTCGTTGTTTGTGAAAAATAAGTATTTAAAAGAAATATTCCCGAATATTTTCGGGGAAAAAAGTGCGAAATTATTCAAATTCCCTTCTGAAAGTATTGTGGGAGCAGCAGAATTCGAATTGAAATCGATATTGAAGTGAATACGCCTCCCAGTGTGAATCATAAGGAAAACTACATGTTTGAAAAAATTATGTATTCGCGAATTCGGTACCAAATTTGAGGAAGAAAAGGGCCGCAAGTACCCACCAACAGATTTGTCTTCGCTGGAGTTACGTGCTGAGCTGAAATGGTAAATGAAAAACGTTGCAGTTTCATTAACTGATGAACCGATTAAAAAGAAAAGAAAAGAAAATTGCACCGTCACGGGAAAAGCCAAAGTGGACGAGTGTGTTTGTGTGCGACATTGTGTTTGAGCAGTTCTTGTTGTTTTTCTTGTTGACGTCTTCTGCGACATTCCTCAGTGTTAGCAGCAGAAAAGTTGCCCGACTAGTTTGGTATTTTTTGCCAGCATTTTTGTTGTTTTGTTTTTCGAAGGAGATCCAATCAACCACACGCACACACACACTCATTCACTCACCGCACCGCACCGCACCGCACCGCACAGCACCGCAACACCACATACGAGTTTTGTTAGCATGCCTCTGTCCAACTATTTGGCTTCTCCTGGTTAAATGATCATTGGGGTCGCCGAGATGATGAAGACGGGATCCGGTTTTAGCTCAATGCTGATACAAGTAGTGTGTTGTGTTTGGGCCATGCTGCCGATCGCGCTGTCGTCTACGCCACTCGGCGGAGAAACAAAAACAAAGCCATTCAAGTCGTTTTCTTGGCTTTTGCGGTCAGTTTGCCCAATTTGTGCATCCACCTGTAATTAGCAGTGACCCGTTTGGGCTGGTCGCAGTGCAGAGACAATTAACCAACAAAGAAACACACGGTTTGTTTGCGGTAGCGAAAAGTCAATACCTCCGACCAGCCGAAAGACGAACGACATTCTGTGGAACACGTTTGTTGCCTAAGTCTTTCGTTTTGAATACTTTGCATGCCATTCGGTGCGATTTCGCCCAGCAATGCGTGGAAGTACACGTGAGTGTGTGTCTGCGTTTTTTTTTTTTTTTTGTCGCTCTCCAATTCGAAGAAATAACAACCTAATCACATTATAAGAGCGCTGCTAATGTTTAGTTAATGGTCGGTAAAGCATGCCAGGAAATTTCTGTAAAAAAAATCAAGTGTCAAAAATGTGAGTCAACTGTTCCGATTCATACTTCCGATTTATTTTATAGTCCACCTACCGCTGATCTTAAAGAAAATTAACAGCATGTTCTCAGAATCAAAATAGAATTACATCATTTGTTAAACAAACACTCACGATTCAGTAGAAATACTTTTGATTTCCGACGAGCGTAAAATTTTCTGTTCAAAGTGAAACTCAAACTTTAACCAAGTTAAAAAGACAAACACAAACTGTGTATACCCTCCTCTATTGGATAATGAAACCTTTTAAAAGTAAAAGTATTGGGACTCAAAGTGGCAGCCCTTTATCTCGATTTTTTCGAAATATATCGTGTTTACTGCAGTATCGAGCTAAAATTCTACGCTGACCAAAAATATATTTAACGATCGACATATCCAAGTATATTAATTATAACTATTTGAATCGGTGTGAAATTTCATAGCTTAATTTTTAGATGTGGAGGTGCTTAACTTACGAAATCGAAGATGTGCTGTGTGTTTTTTTTTTTTTTTTTTTTTTTTTTTTTGAATAATTCCGCACCTAATTAATTATACAGGCACCAAATACAAAATATAGTTTAGAAAAGTTATTTTTTTGTGTTCAGTGAAAAATAGGTCGTTTGAGCCTTTGCATTATTGGGCAACAACTTATTTGAGAGTTCACTTATTTGAGATTTCACTATCCCACAATGGCCATTTCAAAAGCGTACGTAGGTGTTCCACATTGGCAATTGCGCGTTAAATTACCTAGACATCGACTGCGTTTTATGTGAATAACAAACGTACCGAACAGGAAGACCAAGCGAACTCTGAACTCAGTTGAGCAATGAGCTGTAAACTGGCGAATTGAATGACCGATCTTCTGCCGTGAACGGTGAACGTGAGAACTAAGGAATTAGAGGAGAATGCCAATTCAGAGAAATGATTTGAACATTATCCGCATTGCTATTCTGCCTTTGCATTATTGGGCAACAACTTATTTGAGAGTTCACTTATTTGAGATTTCACTATCCCACAATGGCCATTTCAAAAGCGTACGTAGGTGTTCCACATTGGCAATTGCGCGTTAAATTACCTAGACATCGACTGCGTTTTATGTGAATAACAAACGTACCGAACAGGAAGACCAAGCGAACTCTGAACTCAGTTGAGCAATGAGCTGTAAACTGGCGAATTGAATGACCGATCTTCTGCCGTGAACGGTGAACGTGAGAACTAAGGAATTAGAGGAGAATGCCAATTCAGAGAAATGATTTGAACATTATCCGCATTGCTATTCTGCAGGGCGCATTATTTTATCCAAAGGACCGACAACTCCAAGATGAAACATTGCACTTAACGTTGTAGAAAAAGGTATGGAAATGACCAACAAATCGCAAATGCACCAGTACTGCTCCACATGATCGGGGACGAGGAGAAGCAAACCCTAAGCCGAAATATATATAAACTCGAATGCATTGAGGAACCAAGACACATATGGATGTATGCATGTATGTTTGAATGAATGCACATAAAGCGAAACCGAAATTAACTTCTAGGTCGATTGTATCATTTCGCACTGTCATCATCTTCACATGTCATTGCTACGCACATACATATCGTACACACAACTCGATATTTGTAGATCAGTCTGGTCTCGCTTACGCCGTTTGCCTCTCGTTTCTAGTTTCACCATTGCTGTACAAGTGTTTCATTGAAGTTGTCACCGGACAAATGACGGCGCCACCTAAACCTGTGCCTCTAATACTCCCCAATGATATTATGTTCAATGGCTGAGTTCACGCAGACCACAAATCAATGCGATGATAAAGCAGAAATATGAGAAAGCTCTGACAGCTAGGAGCGCGAACTGTATTCGCATAAATATCAAGTGTGCTCGTAGTTCCACAGCTTTTGCAGCGGACCTTTTTTGTTTTTGAAAGTGCCGCCTTTTTGATTTGCTTCGGCGATAGCGATTCTGGGAACAAAGATTCGCCGGACGGTAGGCATTTGAGATGATTTGAATTTGAAATGCTCAATAGTGTTATCTGAGCAAATCTAAACCAACATCCGGCAAACGAAATGTCTTTAAACCGTTTGTCTGCGATAAACTGTCAGCAGGGCTTGAACTTGAACAAGTGGCGCCCAAAGTTGTTGATTGTTGTTGGTTGGTGGATAAATAGATGTTGGCCACAACTAAAAAGTCCAAGCCATCTAAAGTCATCAGAAATTCATCTGACCCCAGACAGTGAAGAAAAGAAGTGACGTCACAAAATCCCAATATAAACCACATTAAAGTACAAATTGTTCGCATTAGCACATCTTCCTTTATCCAACAAGGAGCATATGTCTGTTTGATAGGAAATCAACATTTGTTTTATGTTTCTTGGAAGGCTTTCGATCATCGAGTTCTCCGCGAGGAACGATTAGAATTATCGCTAAAATAAAAGCACAAAGGTGTAGACTTATTTCGAAACATTTTCGAAGGCAATATCAGCCCATCTTATTTCTTGTTATATGCATCAAAACCAATATTTTGGGAATTAAATAGTAATAACTCAAAAGGGAAAGAGTGGTTGAACATACCCTACTCTTACCCTATATGGTTTTGGAAGAAAATCGCTGATTTATTTCGCATGTATAAGGGTTATAATTATTCATTATGTTAAAAAGTGCAGAAGGTACCAGGGGGAGTGGGCTCATAAATTTCACATTCAGATCAGATCTTTTGTTGGTAAAAATATTGTAATATGCAAGGTTTGAAGGAAATCGTTGACATATTTCGCATGTTATGAGAGTTACCAGAAAGAGAAGACCGATATATTATATATCCATAGTAGATTTTGTGTAGTATTAGGTTGTGTGAAGTTGTCTCATGTTTGTTAATTCAAAATAATGATCCGTTGTGGGGGAGGTATCAGTTCCTTATACCCGATCTTGTGTCTGTAGAAATTTTCGGATGTGCGAAATTTGATGACTCTTATTTCACATTTTACAGTAGTTATTATTATTCAAAATGTTTACCCGTTGTGGGAGAGGTATTGGAAGGAATGGGCCAATATATCCCATCTTATTCAAAATGTTGACCTTTGTGAAGAAAGTACCTGAAGATGTGAACCGGTGTATTCTATCTTATCTTGTAATGGTTAAAATAAAATATTGGCAGGTGTGAAATTTAAAGAGAATCTGATGTATATTTTGCATTTTGTGAACGTTTTAGAGATTCCAAATGTTGACCCTTTGTGGGGTTATCCCATCTTCACATCAGATCTTGTTTTGGTAGAAATTTAGGGATGTGCGATTAGCTATTCCAAATGTTGACCCTTTGTGCGGAAGGTATTCAAAGGAATGGTCCGACATATCCCATTTTCACATCAGATTTTGTAATGGTAAAAATATTGGTATGTGTGAGATTTGAAGAGAATCTGGAGTACATTTCGCATTTTATGGGCGTATTAGATATTCCAAATGGGAACCTTTGTGGGGCAGGTACTAGAAGGAGTAGTCCGATCTGGTCCATTCTCGCACCCGATCTTGCGGTAATGCAAATATCACGATTTGCAAATTTTTAATAAAATCAGACTATCTGTTCTCTTCTCCTATGCGGTAAATTATTTTTCTATGAAAATATTGACCTTTTGTGGGGGAGGTACCAGAAGGATATTGCCCATCTAGACCAAATCGGATACTCGCTTCGAGAGTTATCGTGCGCACCAGCCAGCCAGACAGACAGACGTACACCGCTAAATCGACTCCAAATATCCTGAATCGAATTTGGTCCAAAGAGACCTAGTGTTTAAACTCGTTATTTCGACTAGGCACGTTTTGGCGGTATCAATTGCCATGTGGCTGAGGGTATAAAAAGAGTGTGGCAACATCTGCCGCCATTATGGTCGGTGTCAATACACAGTGTCAATTCTTTCTATTAAAATCACGGCTTCTTTAGAACGAGTTAATTTATAAGCTTCAGTTTCACACACATATTTATCCTTTGACAATTGCACGGTCGAGTTCGAAGATTGACAATCGGGGTCCACATACTTCAAGATATTTTCATTTTCCTATTGAGTTCACTGTCATCGCTCAATTCCTTAATCTGCTTTTAAAGTTTGTTCTCGTGGGGCAGGGTGTCCGAAATTCATTCCTAGCTTAATGCTATTCTATCTTGTATATATTTTTAAAGTCCACATGAAAAATAGATCCCAGTGTCTTGAACAGGTTAAAGTCGCAATACTTTTTTTTTTTTTTTGAAGAACTCCTATTTTTTTTCTCAGGGTAACCAATCCGTTACGTTTCGACACTTTATTAACAATGCTAGGGCACACTTTAGGTCCATCCCGATGGATTATTGTTGGAGGTTTCCACCATACACGAAGTTTTTGCCTTTTCACACGCATATGACCCGAATGCACACGACCGTCAGGCGAACAGAATAAATATTTGATTCTTACGTTCAATCACTTGAATGATTTAAAATAAAAAAATTCTCTCATATGCTCCCACAAACATGCTTTCTTTTTCCCCTAGACACACACACGGACATGCATTTTTGTTTGACCCTGTCATAGACCGCCAGAAAGCTGTAAATGGCGTAAAGGTCATATTTTTACATCAACCCATGAAACCTAGTACAGCCTATCTCCAGTGTGAACTAAGAATAGTTTTCCTCTTTTCTTTCTTTTCAGATAAAACAGACAAACGAAACGGAGGACACCAACCTACGGAAACTGAATTAAGATGCATTCACGGCATAGCTCCACTGTAGAAAAATGACAAATTATGAGAATCTATTAAATCTGCCATTAAATTTCAATGGCAACGAATTAAATGCCGATTTAGCCAACCACAGTGCCACACATGATGCTGTAAAAATGTCCCAAAGAGATTTCTCAGAGGTAAGTAGAAATGGATATGAAATTATGGGCACCGACTGACAGGCCATTGCAGACCGAAAGTCTTTCCTGGTGCGGGCAAGGGAAAAAATGGGAAGCGTCTCGAGAAAAATGATATCTAAGGGATAGGGCATTAATTTGTTTTGGAAAAGATGCTCCTTTCCTTGGCTTACCAATGATGGACCCAAAGAAATTCACAACAAATTTCCTAAAACTGTAGCAGTCCCTTCTGTCTTCGTATTTTTTTATGTTTTTTCGCTTCTTTCCCCCGGTATTACTTGACCTTGAACAGAGCAGACCTTCATTATTGGGATTAGAAGCTAAACAAGTTTAGAATTGGACTAAATTCGATACCACAATACGGATACGAGGGTTTTGCGGGTCGAGAGGTTCCTTTCCATCTCTACTGCGATTTGGGTGAGAAAATAAAGCGGGGTGTATGTACATGTGTGTTTGTGCCCAAACTTATTTATTTGAAGCATCGAAGTCAGATCTCTGCCTTTCTAGCGCGTCTGTGTCGTATAAAATGTCCAAGCGTTGACAACTTCTTGAGTCACAACTTCCAATCCCATTTCAACATTTTTATTTGCATTTTTTTATCTCAAAACAAAAGCTATTTGAATCGAACGCATGAATTTCTTTCTGATAACGTTCCATTGATTTGATAACTGAATTTATGAAGCCAATCAAAATAAAATTAACGACCGTTTCGACCATTAAAGTGATTGTTTCAATTTTAATTATCGGCATTTCAAACATTGTTTATATCAGAGCAAACAAAAGAAGGGTTTTATTTCAAAAAAAAAAAGAATTGAAAATTGAAATAGGATCGATCGAAAATTGCTGTAAATCGGTAGTTTTTATATTTCCAGTGGGAAGGAAATATTCTTGGAATGTACTCTTCATACAGGTCCAAGTTGTGTTATAGATCCCATAAAGTCTTATCTCCCGACATTCAGTATTTCGACGATTTTAGCCAAGTTTCCTGGGGAATTTGGAACACAAATTCTCCTGCAATAGAAGTTGGTTACAGATCCATGTTTTATTCAGCTATTGATGCTTACGTCACTCTTTTCGTCGGAATTGTTAAAATTTCTATATTCCAATAGCCCCAATATTGCGTTAACTCCCAATATTCCGTATTTTGATCATTTTAGCCAACTTTAGAAAATTGGTATCGCAAGGTTCGAAAAATCGAACTAACATATAACGGACCTTCGCCCTTATAGATATATATTCAAAAGTGTAGCTTTTTAAACGTTGTAGGGTCCTATATAGTCCGACAGAACTCAATGGGTTTTTAGTAACGCATCTGAAGCTGTCGCCTTTTTCCAACAATTTCTTCATTTCCGACTGTTTCTTAAGATCATGACAAACATCGGGCAGAATTTATTTTTAATAAATTATAAATATTAAATTATTATCAATGTTTAACACAACCAAACGACTGATACTTGGAAATACGTGTGTCATGCCTAAGCCAGGATAGGATTTTAAAAAAATCAATACCCTGAAAATTCGCCCTTGACTTGGCATACTCCAAGCCAACAATCAAATCATTCATTCCTCACGATCATTTAAATGGCCGTTGGACGCAATGCAATTGAGAATAACGCTGGAACGCTCCTAAACTGTCATTTGAAAGCATCGAGCAAAGAAGACAAGGGCCAAAATTCTTACCTAAGGACAATACATTCGGCATTCAATGCATAATCAGTTCTGTCCATGCGATGTCATCATGAGAATGTGCCAAATTCTCAGGAATTGAATTCATTCCGCCAAAATCACCCAGACGTTGTGTTGGAAAACCCTGTGCGTCCACTGCCGACAGACAGAAGTCACCGCCATGAGGATGAAGTTAGTAAAAGTGAACGAGTTTACTTTGAAATCTTTGCGATCAACTCACGTCTCGCGAGTCCATTTGGATGGGACAGCACCACATAGAGGATGTTGAGGAAACCAAACAAAACAGAGAAGATAAAAATAAAAAAACACAACAGAATGAAAGTCGAAGGTTTGAAGAGACATAGACAGATGTGAAGCCAGGAAGGAGTTGGCTATTTGGTCAACGCTATCGGAATGTGCCGTAAAGAGTAGCAGTTTGTCGGTCTGGCCGCATCGAAGTAAATGGCTTCGTTCCACTGCAATAGCTGCGGTAGCTGTGACAAAAGACAAAAAGGGCAACTATCGACCAAAAGAAAGAACAACAACAACAACAAGCCAAGCCCGTGTCACGTTTGTCAAATCACAGTTTTGGGGAAACTCAACGATCACGAAGACGAAATCAAGCTCTTTTCGGAAATGCATTCTTTTTAGGTTTTCCTTTTTGCCATGGCAACGAGACAGGGACGTACGCAGAAATGCATTTCTAGACCAGATCGAGTGCGTGGCCCAATGTAAAAATAACCAAAAAGTTAGAATAGCGCCCCCTCCTCCTGCGTACGTCCCTGGCATGCGGTAAAGAGAATCACGAGGGTATAACAAGGTATCTTAGCTTAATTAACGACAACAAGACAAGTAAAAAAAATGTCACAATCTAGTGGCCTGGATGAGGAATAACAAGTAACTCGGAGATTGATGTAGGTAATCGTGCATCCGATTGTATTCAGGTGGTTTAACTTTAAATCCTCTGGACATCCGGAGGCTCAAAAGCTCGATTGGAAACTGAACGGCGCAACAAATGGGCCCTACCCCACTCGAACATCATTTGATCCTCACCTGCAATTACCATAAGGAAGCCAGAACGTTGCAACTTTCCCTTATTAACCGAGAACGAAACAAGAATGCTGTGCGTCAAAGCAACTAACGTAGTCTTCTTGCTCTGCATCTGGAATCCAGAGCGTAATGACCCCATAATTAGAAACCATAAAGTGGTTGGAATTCAAGCCGCGTCTCTCCATTAGCAATTATCGCCACAGAAACCTAGCGGTGGTCGTGGTCAGCCCAACTGAGAAAAATACGAAATGCGAAAACCATCTGTGAGACCATGCGAAAACAAAAGAAACAACAAAGGAATTCCCATGCACGAAGGCAGCAGCAGCCGCATCTACACTTGACTGGGTAGACGGGAGAGAATAAAGAACACTATGCGCCAAGGCTTGCCATCTGGAATGCGATCAGTGGTGATCGGCATGTGTTGATTGGAATTCCTTCAAAGTGCTGGCCGTGTTTTGCGAAACGTGTTTGCGCATTCGCCTGCCTGCCTGCCTGATTGAATGATTTCCATGGCCGATCGACCTGTAGCACAGAAACAAGTCGCCGCAGAAAAGGCCTTGGCGAAAAATGGAATATTTGAAGTGGCATCCATTCAAGCGAGAGTCTCCTTTAGTGGACAGAATAAAACACAGCTCCACCAAAAACAATAGCAAGATGCGAACCGGGACTCCTTTCATTTTGTGCCGCTGTCATGTCACATGAATCGTTGCCTGTAAATGTCTTCCCAGGCAAACACGAAACGGCGATCCGCTGTTGTGTGATTGTGTGTTCGATTGCCACTGTACATGTTGGGCTGATCTTTTGATGGTCCCTTCTAAGGATAGAACATGTGTGCATTTTTCTGTAGAAATATTTAGCTAAAGACATGAGTCCTACAATTCAAAGGGCCAAATTTTCCTGTCTTGCTATTTTTTTCTTTGACTCCTTTCCTTCCCTCACTTCGTTTTCTTGTGGGTTTCAATTTTATTTTGCCTAAACGAATCTGCTGTTCGGAACATAAAACAGCCGAATTCAAGCGCCGCGCCTCGTTGGCGTTTGTTATGCTTTGTCTGGATCTTAATCGGTATGTAGCTTGTAATTGTTCTTGTTGTTCGTTGTTCGTTGTAGGGATCGAGTTGAACCGCAGATACGAAAACATGTCTACGTACTTTGATGTCATTTCTGAAATTGGCGCCCAACCACAAACAAAAGACGCTTTCCTTTTAAAATCCAATGAGAATTCATAGAATATTTCCTAGAACCGAAGAGAGTGTGGGGTAAGTCCAAACAAAGAAAGAAAACATAAAAAATGCAACCATGCCTGAATTACTGATGTCCATGTCATCGGGTCGAGTTACGAAAACTGCAATTGGTACGAACGCCCACATGCTGTTTCAACTCTTATTGCAATATTCTGAGACGCCAATTTCAGGCGAAGATGTTCTTTCGAAAACTTTTTTACTCTCTCCAAGGTTAAGATTCTCTTTGATTTTATATGGCGCTTCCACTGCACTTGATTCTCTCTCTATTCGTTGTTTGATCCTTAACTGTGAAGAAACTGCTTAATTCTTCACACAAAATTCAAATCACTCTCAGAACAACGAAAAAAATGTCCCATCCGGAACAAATGAGAGCATTTATCGAAAAAATAAATTATGACATTAAAAATGAAAACTAGAAAAATTTAATGAAATTTTAAAAATTTTTGGGAAGACTGAAAATTATGAATGAAAACTACAATGTTGAATGGCGTATGTACACTCAAACGAAAGTACATTTTGTTTTCTCTCTCATTCGAGGTACGCATTTGGTTCACGAGTTGAAACTTCTACAGAAAACTGCAAACAAAAGAGGCAATATTTTCAAAATGTTTGTATCGGCAGAAAAAATGTTTGACAAGTGTCTCTCATAAAAATAAAAAAATACAAAAATATGTTCACAATGTCAAAATTGTAGAATTAATGATATAATTATTCTTTGGAAGAAAAACAATAATTTCTTCTATTTAAGTTAGTGAGAATTTCATGTATTTTCGTATAAATTCCCATTAAAATCAACAAACAAAATTTTTGAAAAAGGGAATTATTTTACGCTGTTAGAAAATAAATACGTATTTTCGACAATAATTGTACAATAACACTGTATGGTCCTACTATCTTAGATTGTATTTTGTGGAATAACCCATTTCCATTCCATTCATTTTTGTGGATTTCCCCCCGATTTAAAAATTGTGTTAAAAAAAATTAAAATAGAACCGTGTTGGATTGTTTGTTCGGGATACCATAGTATTTTGTTGTTGCAAAATGGTCAGGCTCAATCCCTTTATTGTTGTTTTTATAAAAACAACGTTTGTTTATTGGTGCAGAACGATGGTAATGTTTACCAGGGGGTAAAAAATGTTTTTTTTTTTGTCATCGAAGTTATTTTTAATATAACTTCTGGGGAGAATATCCCAGACAAAAAAACAAGGGAACTGATGATGCTTGGTGGCTATTTCCGAAACCTAGGTATTTCCTGCCTTACCTCCTGGTAAACATTACCTTCGTTCTCCACTAATAAACAAACATTTTGGTGAACACATTTTACGGAAGTCTTATTAGACAATAAACACCTTGCAATAATGGATCTATTTGGATTATATATTTCTTTTAAACTTGCCATTTTCAATGGATATCTTACGAAAAATATGTAGGAAATATAAGGTTCGGCTCGCCGAGCTTAACTATTTTTCCTTTTCGATATTATGGTCGATCCAAAGTAATGCAGAAATATTTCGCAGAAAAAATAGAAACCTTAATCACCCACCGCCTTGTCTGCCTATCCCCTAATGTGATCGAAAGAAGTGTCTTCTTGTTAGAGCTTGTTGGCGAAAATACTGCTGCTACTGCTTGAAATATCATCTTCCAAGTATCCCATTTAAGCTTAAACCAACGAGGTGGTGGTAAATTTTACCCTTCTCTCTTCTATTGCGATGAATGAAGGTACCTGTTTTGTTTATTGAAAAAGGAAAATCTTGTTTTTTTAATTATCGTAATTTAAAACACACAAGTTTTCACTTACAAATAATTATCAAAACAATATTTTTAAATCAGTGGTAGGCGGAGAAATTCAAAATTATTTTATGATTTTTTGTGTTTTGAAATAAAACAAGTAAAAACATTAAGTTCGGCCGGGCCGAACTTTTAATACCCTCCACCTTAGGGTAATGGAAGCACTAGAACCAATTATGACCCACAAATACCAATTTTTAGGCATATTCGTGGGTGAATGTGGCAAAAATAATCAAAATACCGAATATCGGGATGTACCGGTATATGGGGACTATACCAAAACGTGGACCGATATATCTCGTTTCCAATACCAACCATCCTAGACACAATATTCTGCTAATTTTTGACGCTCTACGTCAAATAATGTTGGCTGTATTTCAACAGACAGACAGACATCGTTAAATCGTCTTAGAATTTTATGCTGATTATGAATATATATACATTATGGGGTCTACGACGAATATTTACGGATGTTACAAACGGAATGACAAAGTTAATATACCCTCCTTTCCAAGGTGGAGGGTATAAAATATTGCAAGTGTCTTTTGTTTAAACAATCGAAGCTATATTTGCACAATTATTTCAATTATGATTTATTTTAAAATTAAAAAAAAAATGAAATAAATATCCTTCAAAAATATATAAGTCGACATGACTAAGAACGTACATATCATTTCATAGAAATCAAGGGATATGAAAATCTCCATCAATTTGGAGGGACAATAAATTTGCTGATCAACATGAAATGAATTTCTATTCCTAAAAAATAGAATTCAATAAAAAAAGATAAATCTTAATAGTTGTAAATTTTACAATTTCGGAAATATTTGCTTCAAATATGTAGTAAGATATAATTATGTTCTACAATATTTCTTACGGTGTATTCATAAAAATATCCGACAGCACCTCCCGCTCGAACGACTGCTCGAACAAAACTAAATATTCTTCCTAAAACAGTTTCAATCATTAAAACAATATTGGTTATTACAGCATAAATTGTCTCCAAAATTAAACTGGATGTACTGACGGAAACCGTTGAAATCTTCTCAGAGGTGCCGACTTGAAATTACAAAGCAACGTATTGAATAAATCGGTTATCCGGTCTAATTGAACACACATTTGGCTTTTTGTCTTAAATCAGTTTGACTAAGACCTTTAAAAGGTCGGCCAAGCAGACCACTTCTGACAACAATTTGACAATAAACTTAGTACTTTTCGCACTTTGCCGATTTGACTCTCTTAGAATTTGAAAGCAGAATATGTATTTTTTAAATCGGTAGATCTTATATAGGCTAAGAGTTTGGCCGAACAACTTACTCAAACACACCCATTGTGGCCTCCCTTTCTGTTGGTCTTCTATCTTTGGTCTTTGGTCGATTGTGGCTTAAAGAACCGGTTTGCAGTTAGTTTTCGGTGTGGCATAGTGTTAGCCGAGCAGTCGGATGACATTTACAATGTACACTCTTGGGTGGACACGTCAATCACCAATTATAGACAATTTTCGAACAAGCCCATCGGGATCGGTGTGTTTGGGGAAGAGTACATGTTTCTAATTATCTACCTCTCTCATTGGTCTTTACTTGCAGAATGAACCCGAGTGCAATGCAGAACTGACGGCTGCCAACCGAGCACTGTTCCTGGAAAAAGTACGACAATCGAATGCCGCCTGTCAGAGCGGCGACTTCGGAACTGCTGTTCAGCTCTACACAGATGCATTGCAGCTCGATCCGAGCAATTACATCTTGTACAGCAATCGTTCGGCAGCTCGCCTGAAACAAGGACAATTTGCATTGGCGCTGCAGGATGCCACCAAGGCAAGAGAGTTGTGTCCGCAATGGCCCAAAGCGTACTTTAGACAAGGGGTTGCCCTGCAATGCCTCGGCAGATACGCCGAGGCTCTTGCTTCCTTTGCCGCCGGCCTGGGACAAGATCCGCAGAATAAACAGTTGCTGGCCGGACTGGTGGAGGCTTCGATCAAGAGTCCCCTGAGGCATGCTCTGGAGCCAACATTCCAGCAACTGCGTTGCATGAACCTGGATCAGTCGCCCTTTGTGGTGATATCGGTAGTGGGCCAAGAGTTGTTGCAGGCTGGACAATACCATTCGGCTGTGACGGTGTTGGAGGCGGCGCTGCGCATTGGGTCGTGCTCGCTCAAGCTAAGGGGCTCAGTATTTAGTGCCCTCAGCTCAGCGCACTGGGTCCTCAATCAACTGGACAAGGCCATAGCTTATATGCAACAGGATCTGGCGGTGGCCAAGAGCTTGGGAGACACGGCCGGCGAGTGTCGGGCGCACGGCAACTTGGGCTCGGCCTACTTCAGTCAAGGTTCGTTCAAGGAGGCGCTAACGGCCCATCGCTATCAACTGGTGCTGGCAATGAAGTGCAAGGACACACAGGCCGCAGCCGCGGCCCTAACATCTTTGGGTCATGTGTACACGGCCACCGGAGACTATCCGAACGCTCTGGCGAGTCACAAGCAGTGTGTCCAGCTGGTCAAGCAGATCGGAGATCGTTTGCAGGAAGCCAGAGAGATAGGCAATGTCGGTGCTGTTTTCTTGGCCATGGGGGACTTTGACTCCGCCGTCGATTGTCACACTCAGCACTTGAGGCTGGCGCGCAAGTTGGGCAATCAAGTCGAAGAAGCCAAGGCGTACTCTAATTTGGGATCCAGTCACCATTACCGGCGCAACTTCGCCCAGGCGATGACTTATCACGAGCAGGTCTTGCGAATAGCCCAGCAGTTGGGCGATAGGAACATCGAGGCGCGGGCTTATGCTGGTCTGGGACACGCAGCTAGATGTGCCGGTGATGTTGTCCAGGCTAAGAAGTGGCACGAGAAGCAATTGGAAATTGCCCTGGCATCGCGCGACAAGATCGGAGAGGGAAGAGCCTGCTCCAACCTGGGTATTGTGTACCAATTGTTGGGCGAGCATGACGCAGCACTGAAGTTACACCAGGCCCATCTCACCATAGCGAGGCAGATGCACGATCGCGCTGGCATGGGCAGAGCGTATGGCAACATAGGGAATGCCTACTCATCGGCTGGTCTATACGAGGCAGCCATTAAGTACCACAAGCAGGAGTTGATAATAAGCAAAGAAGTGAACGACCGCAGTGCCGAAGCGTCCACCCATGGCAACTTGGCGGTGGCCTACCAAGCCTTGGGCGCCCACGATATGGCTCTGATCCACTATCGGGCTCACCTCAACATAGCCAGGGAACTGAAAGACACGCAGGGGGAAGCCTGCGCCCTGTTGAACCTTGGAAATTGTCTCAGTTCTCGGCAAGAGTTTGGCCAAGCCGTCCCCTACTACGAACAGTACTTGATGTTGTCTCAGGAATTGGGAGATGTGTCGGCCGAAGGCAAAGCCTGTCACTTCTTGGGCTACGTCCATTACTGCCTCGGCAATTATCGAGAGGCGGTCCGCTACTACGATCAAGACTTGGCCCTGGCCAAAGACTTGCAGGACAAAGTCAACATGGGCAGGGCCTATTGCAACTTGGGTCTGGCCCATTTGGCATTGGGCAACACTCAAGCGGCACTGGAGTGCCAGAAATACTTCCTGGCTGTAGCGCACATGACGAACCACCTGTCGGGCAAGTTTCGGGCTCTCGGCAACATCGGCGACATCCTTGTGCGGACAGGGGAAATGGAGGAGGGGGCAAAAATGTACCAACGCCAACTGGCCTTGGCCCGCCATGCGCGTGAACGGTCCATGGAAGCGGCAGCTTGTGGCGCCTTGGGCCTGGCCCATAGACTACTTAAGAAATACGACAAGGCCCTGGGGTACCACACACAGGAGATATCGCTGCGCCAACAGATGTCCGACCTGAAGGGGGAGTGCAAAGCACACGGACATTTGGCCGCGGTGCACATGGCCCTCTACAACTACACGCTCGCCGTAAAATGCTACCAAGATCAACTGGCACGAGCCCAAGAACTGCAGGACTCATCCATGGAGGCCCAAACCTTCGGTAACCTGGGTATAGCTAAACTGAACATGGGTCACTACGAGGATGCAATCGGCTACTTGGAGCAACAGTTGGGTACCTTGGAACGAGTAAATCAGCCAACAACGCAGCACGACAGAGCGAGGGCCCTCGGCCATCTGGGCGACTGCTACGACGCCTTGGGCGACTACGAGGAAGCCATCAAGTGTCATGAGCGCCACCTGCAATTGGCGACATCGCTACAGAGCCTAAGGGATCAGGAGAAGGCGTATCGGGGAATGGGCCACAGCCATCGAGCCCTGGGCAACCTGCAAGAAGCATTGGTGTGCCTGGAGAAGCGTTTGGTCGTGGCACATGAACTGGGCAGCCCAGCTGAGGTCAAGGCCGTGGCATATGGCGACCTCGGCAACATCCATTGTGCCTTGGGTAACTACGAACAGGCAAGGAACTGCCTCGAGCATCAGCAGGAAATCGCCCGTGAGCTGGGCGACAGGAAATTGGTTTCGGATGCGACCAGCGCATTGGGCAACGTCTATCAGCGGATGGGCGACAACGACGGTGCACTGAATCTACACAAAATGGACTTGGAAATGGGAGAGCACTTGGGCAATGCCTACATGCAGGCACGGGCATGTGGCAACTTGGGAGCAGTGTACGAGGCCATTCGTTCCTACGACGATGCTGTAAAGTTCTACGAGAAGCAACTGTCACTGGCCTCGGATCACCTGAGCAAAACCCATGCATGCGGATCACTGGGTAAGCCAAGAACACCTCATCGAATAACCGCCTCCTGACTTCAAAATATTCATTTCAGGGAGGGTGTACCATCAGATGGGAAAGCACTCGGAAGCTGTTACCTATTTGAAACAGGGTCTGGCCGTCGCTCAGTCCATCAATAAATCGGAAGAAGAGGCGAAAATAAGACACCAATTAGGCAAGTATTGGTCGCAACTTCCCTCGAGGACATCTGACTAATTGTGTGTGTGTTTTTTTCGTCTGTGTCCATAGGTCTTGCGTTAAGAGCTTCCGGTGACAATGAAGGCGCCAGACTTCAAATGGAGAGTGCTGCTCAACTTCTGGAATCGGTGCGCTACGACCAGCGTAGCCCGGAGGCGCGCAGCAATATTTACGAACTGCAGACGTCCTGCTACCACATCCTGCAGCAGATCTTTGTGGCCATGCAGCGCAACGAAGAGGCATTGGTGGCCGCCGAACGTTGCAAAGCGCGCTCCGGCCCCGATGCCAGCAACGTAGCCCGCAAGGCTATGATGACGTGCAGCGAGCACATTTACGACATCGTCAATCGCACCAAGAACAACGTCCTATATTTCAGCTTGGCCACCGATGAGCTGTATGCCTGGTTCTTGCAGCCGCAGAAGGGCATTGTGCGCTTCCATGCCGTCAAGATCAGTGAAGAATCGCTGAAGATTTCGTCGGAAAAGCTGGCCGAGCATGCCAAGGGAGCGGTGGAGAGGGAGAGTCTTCTGGAACGGTACATCAATATGGTACGGGACAACTTGGGAGTGAACTCCGACAGTGTTCTGCATGAGGGAGACGGAAGCGGATGGAGGGCCTCGACAGAGAATCTGCTAGACGATTTCAGCAGCGAACGTTCGGGATTCCTTCGCATGGTGAACCGGAATCACCTCATGAACTCCTCAAACTACTCTCTCAGCTCGTTGTTCAGCCTGGGTTCTGTGGGTGGCTCTGTGGCCAGCCTCCAGGGATCGACGCGCTCAATCGGAAGCCTTCAAGGCTCGTCACGGTCGCGTCGAACCCCAACGGTATGGCAAGGCCCGAGCTGCCTGCACACTCTTTTCAATATTCTTATGGCCCCGTTTGACGACTTGTTGCCCACCGGCGGTGCAGTGTCTAGACAGGGACGTAAGGAGCTTATTTTGGTCCTCGATAACGAACTCTATTTGGTTCCTTTTGCCATTCTGCGCAGTTCCAAAGAGGACGGCGAATATCTGTCGGAGAGGTGCTCCCTAATAACGGTGCCGTCTCTGCAATCGTTGCGTGTGAAGAGCAAAGCGTTGCGATCCCGAGAACTAGCTGAAAACCTAAATGCCGCGTTGGTAGTCGGTGGCCCGCGCATACCGGCAACCTTGGCCGAAACATGGGGTTGGTCCGAATCGCCTGCCTCGTTGCAGGAAGCAGCAATGGTGGCGGACATGCTGCAGGCCAAAACTCTAGCTGGCTGTAACGCCACCAAGGAAGCCGTCATCTCGGAATTGCCCACGGCGGAGTGCGTTCATTTTGCGGCCAATCTGAGCTGGAAGTTGGGTGCCGTAGTCTTGAGTCCTGGCGATGTCGTAGACTCGCAGTCGCAGAAAAGATTCTACCAGTCGTCCAACTCAGAGAATGCCACTGGGCCAGGCAATGAGCCTCCAGATCTTTCCGGTGGCAACATGGAGCTGCCGCAGTTGTCCGATTTCATTCTATCCGCAGCCGATGTCTTGAACATTAAGTTGAACGCAAAATTGGTCGTTTTAAGTTCCTATCATTCAATAGAGCCCATTAGTGGATCTGGCGTTGCGAATTTAGCTGGCAGTTGGTTGTGCGCCGGAGCTGGTGCTGTGCTGATATCGCTATGGCCGGTACCGGAAACGGCTGCCAAAATTTTACTGAGAGCTTTTTACTCGGCTTTATTACAGGGAGCCAGAGCCGCAAGGTATCGCATCCTCGTCGTTTCCAATCGGCCCGTTTATTCTAACGTGTCTTTCTTCTTTGTTTTTTAGAGCCCTCGCCGAAGCTATGCAAACTGTTCAGCATACGAAGCACTTTGCTCATCCCGCCAACTGGGCTGGATTTCTGTTGGTGGGCGGAAATGTACGTCTCTCGAACAAGGTGGCCCTAATGGGCCATGCCCTGTGTGAGCTGATGCGCACGCCGGACAAGTGCCGCGATGCCTTGCGTGTGTGCCTTCATCTGGTGGAGAAGAGTCTTCAGCGCATTCATCGAGGGCAAAAGAACGCAATGTACACCACGCAAAAGAGCATTGAAAACAAAGCCGGACACGTAGCCGGATGGAAGGATCTCCTAATGGCAGTGGGATTCCGCTTTGAGCCCGCCGCCAACGGCATACCATCCAGTGTCTTCTTCCCTCAGTCCGACCCCGAGGATCGCTTGTCACAGTGCTCCGCAAGTCTTCAAGCCCTTTTGGCGCTAACTCCTTTGACGTTACAGGCCCTGGCCAAGCTAGTCAGTAGCTCCGACATGGCCGACGACATTATAGCCGTAATCCGAAATGTTTTGGCCCAGTATCCGCCCAAGGGTAGTCCCGATTCGGAAACTACGATCGAAATTCCTCTGTCGGTAAGACTTTGGCGCGTTGCAGGATGTCACGAATTGTTGGCTTCTATGGGCTTCGATCTGACGGAAGTCGGCCAAGACCAAGTAACGCTGCGGACCGGAAAACAGGCTAACCGCCGAATCTGCCAATTTGTGTTGCAAGCTCTTCTAGCTCTTTTCGGTAAGTAAGCGTGGCATTGCATTCCAAGCGTTTACTTTCAATGTTTCTTTTCAGACACCCAGGAAGCCCCTAAGAGCCTGGGCCTCGACTCGTCCAGTAGCTGTGAGTCTCTAATCGACGACGAAGCCATCACCGACACGGTGGCCTCAGGTACCACGACAAATCACCCCCAGCTATTGGTTGCAGAGCCCAGCAAGCAATCCCAAAATGTGAGCGTGACACTACCCCCACTGCCTATTAACAGGTCGCGCCTAATAAGTACAGGTGGTGGCGCATTCATATCCTATGTACGCCGACGAGGGGAGCCCGATGGTGGCAGAACGGACAATGAGTCGATACCGACTGCAGCCGCGGCCGTGGCCTGTAGTTCCTCAGCTATGTACCCAGCACTGGATTCCAGTTTAAACAACACAACCGACAGTGAACTGTCCGATGGATACATATCGCAAACCAACATCGGCAAGACGAACGCCTGCCGTCTGGGGTCGTCAACATTGAGAGGCCCCGTTCGCGTCTCCAGGCCCGGTGGGGGAGGAGAGAGCGATGCTGCGTTCACACCTAGCCCTCCAGTCACCACGCAGAACCCCGTCGATCCAAACGTGTCTATGGCCCTGGCCCACCAAACCAGAATACGTAATCTATATTCTGGAACGGGAATGGGCTACTTAGGTGATTCGGTCATACCGGAGATGACGTCCAATGCAAACGCAACAAGCCGAAGGCCGGATAGTTCTAGTTCAGCCAGTTCCACCACCGATTGGGAGGGATCCGGTCACGCCACCGTTTTAAGGAGGGGCAACCACATGCCGCCTCTACCACCGCCTCGTCAAAACATGCCATTGGTTGACAGTTTGAGGCCCCTGGCACCAATGGTCCCTGTATATAATAATTTAAATGCCAATTTGCCAGCCTCCAACACCGTGAGCAACGCAGCCGACTCCAATAGTAGTGAGTCCGAATTCGAAAGGAGCCTAAAAGGTGGTCAAATTCCAATGTCTCAATTCCGACTCAAACCAAAAATCAAACTTGGAAGTGCCCAGAGTTCAGTGGCGTCGAGAGTCAGCAAGGAGCATGCCCTGTTTATGGATCGGCTAAATGTGAGGGCCGAACCGAACTCGCAAGTAGCGCCAGTCAGCCAGCCAACGACAACGACTGCGATGGCATCCGGAAATAACACGGCCGGCAGTAGGAAGCCCATCAACCTACCGGAGGACGATGACAGCGCCCTTGTGTTCAATGCTTCCAATCTGTATTTCTCGCAATCCGATAACGACCTGCTGCAGGAGGCGAAGAAGGACCTGAAGCCCAGCGCCCACAGTGGACCTGCATCAAGCAGCGCAACGCCTCAAGGTGCCATTGCAAAAGATGCCAACAGCAAGCCTAGCCAAAAGACAATTCAGGACTCCATAATGCGTCACATGAACCGAGAAATGACGCCAACCATATCCGAGGTCTATCACGAGCGCAACTTGGGGCTGGGCTTGGCCCCACCCCTCTCTCAGTTGTTGCTCAGCAAGAACTACGAAGAGACTGAAACCTGCAAGTCCACACCAGCCAACACCATGGCTCTGAAGAGCCTGTCAGATGCAGTCAATGACATCGAGCTGAGTGGCGCATCATCGACCTCCTCCGTTAGCACGACCAACACCAAGACTCTCAACACCCAAAGTTCCATGGTAGCCACCGCCTCGCATAGAGAACAATGCCCGACATGTGGCGAACCGGCCGATATTATTTGTCGTTGCAATGCCGCTACGGTCCAAAAGAAAGCCTCTCACAAGCCCTGGCTCAGCAACGTGCCCTCCAGCATAGTGAAGGCCAGCGACTTAACAACCGCCGACATCCTGGAGAGACAGAACAAAATCCGCACCAGTGTCAACAAGGAAACTGCCAATCCCCCGCCAGTCGCGACAAGCTCCCTGTCGAGCTTGAAACGCGTGCCCAGTCCGTTCACTGAATTCTGTCGCCGGGACGAGGGCGACGGTCGCTCTGTTGCCGATTCGCAGTGCAGCAGTAACTATAAAAATATAACGATAGTAAAAGCCGAGGCCAATCAGGCCAGCATCGTGACCAATCGGAAAGCGTAAAGCAGCACCCCACAAGGAGCTGTGCGCATTATTCCATCGTTGAGTGGACCCGGCCCGGCCAATGTACAGACCACCAACCGACCCAGAACTGATTATATTTAGTTGTGCTAATAGTAGTAGTAGTTGTAGTTGTAGCCCCATAAGTTGTTAGCTAGAACCTACGTTTGTTTACTAAATAAAACCCATCGTTTATCGCGTGATTGTTTTTATTTTTGTGGAACAACAAACACTACTGGCCGAAAGTGGCTGGCTAGAACAATCGAGTTATCTTCGAACACCCCAAATACCCGACTCCCGCTGCAAGGTCATGCATTGATAAAAGTAGGCCAGTGATGCCTCCCCTTCCCCCAAATGGGGGTAGTTTCGATGAAAACCCCATACGGTGTAATTCGGACATTTGGGAAGATTGGTAAAATCGTATCTCTTCTTCTTTTGGAAGTCGGTATATAGTAACGAAAGAATCTCGACGCCCGCCACAGGTAAACAATGAAACACACACACACATATACATATATGAACATTCATTATCAAACGAAAAACAAAACAACTTTATCGCTGAACTATGACGGCGAGGGATCGGGGTTGGTGCAGGCTGGTTCTATCGCAAAGAGGTCAGTGCTGAAACACACACACACAAAATAAAGATCCTTATCGCTTTTACGATGCCCAATAATGCTAGAGTGGTCATAAACTCCGCACACACACGCTCAAAGTGTTTCCCTCTATCGATGATTGGTAATCGCCAAATCTGAACAATGCAAAATTCCAGGCAGGCAACATTGGGTTGTGCCCTGACTTCAAAATGATCAGATTCAAACACTGCATCGGACATTTTCACTCTAAGAATGAGAAAAGGGTTGGCCCTGTCCATGAGCATAGACAAGTAAAGGTATAGACTAGAAAGTTGTCTCATATGTTGTCTTCGAAAAAAGTGCTTCGTCGTTCCTGCTGCGAGAGAGCTTAAGTCTATTCACTCAATACTCCCCAAATACAAAATATTGAATATTTTTATGATTTATTTTGTTTATCGATTGAAAACAAGACATTGGCCTTGTTTAGATTTGCATTACCCAACTACGTCGTGAAATATAAAAACATGTAACTTAATTAGCAGAAAAATGAATAAATTGTTCTCGCAGTCGAGTGTATTTACGGTCCCATGGTGGCCTCTACCAGAATGGGTAAACTTTTCTGTCTATACCACTTGAATAAAAAACAAAACTAACTTTCCGTTGTCCATATATTCATTAGTCTGCAAGCTGATTTTGGCACTCGACCAACTCGATTTCGAAACACACATTTAATCGTTGTTCGAGAATTGCACTGGATTAATGGCGTATTTTTCGATGTCATCTGTTAATATACACTCAAATCTTATTATGGGATAGTTTTTAACTATCTAATATCCTACAGATATTGGTATTTTTTCCCAATTGAAATACCTAACGCTCTCTCCGCTAACAACATCGAACAACATAAGAAGCAGCAGATGTCGTCTATGTCGTTTCAGGGATATTGAAGTCACTCAAACCAAAAATGATAAAAATATTAACCACTGTAAGATATTTATGAGCTGTAAAAAAGAAAGAGAATTGTCCAACTCTCTCGAAAGAACTGACCGAGTAAATATTACCGGAAAAGGACACAGACAAACAAATTATTTTGCCATAGAGGAAAAAGTACGGATATGAAAACAACCATAAATTCTAATTTCAATAGATACGCGTCTAAAATGTTTTACGGAGCGTTCGAATGTCATTTTTACCCAAGAAATTTGAACAAAATTATAAGTCACAGACGAAAATGTGGAAAGGTGCTGCTCTTAAAACTGGTAATTGGCGTATGGAACATGAACATGCGTACGGAATATGAAGCACGACACGGACGATATATTGTCCGTTAGGCCATTCATTGGTTGTACAAATAAGTAAAAATAAGGTAACAAAATAATCGGTCGGCCTTATGCCAAGGCATATATTATATACATCCCAACAATAGCATTCCAATATGCTTCAATTGGAAAGATTTCATCATCTATTTACACTCCAAAGAATGAATTGATTTTGAAATAGCAGGACGAAATGCTCAGTTCCATGACTTGCACCCTCTGCTAGATTATAGTGCGATCCCAAAACTTACTTCAAAATTTCCATCACGTGTAGCAACCAGCCTAATCATAAAGGCTAGAGGCGGCTTACTTGACTTAAACTCAAAGGCGTTTAAAGCCCATACCGATGGAATCTGTTCTCTATGTAATACAAGGCAGCCAAGTACCTTCCACTTTATTGTTTTTTGTCCAGTATTGAAAGTTTAATAAACTTAAAATAAATGAAGATGAAGTAACAAGTTTATTAAATGACACAATTTTATCATCGCTCTACTCACATCTTGAAAACTGTGTTAGGTACAGACATTTATTACAACACGAATTTAATATTTAATGTTTCTAAACTCACAAATGTACACCTCTTAAATATATTGATGCTACGCCAGATATAGATTGTAATTTATCGCATGCATTCCGTAACATTTGCAAATTGTAATTTACCAATCTATTAATAAATAACAATCGGTCATTGAAAGTTAGGCGTTAAAATGCTAGACGTTCATGAACAAATGACATTCAATTAGTTTAAGATGAAAAGGGGGAAGAAATATTCGGACCAAGTCCAGTCGATCCAATTCGATTAAGGTCCGGTATAGCATAATTTCCCAAACACTGGGATCTTAGATTAGCAATGACAAAACGAGGCAACGACAAATAAAGTGTCTCAACTTTTCCATAACTTCTCTAACTTCTCTTCTCTAACTATGCTTGCAGGCTAAGGTGATTTGTCAAAACACATGTCAATCTACTAATGTCTGTTTGTTAAAGCAGTCAAATGCAGCCAATCCAATTCGGGATACTCCTCTCTGGCCCGTTCGGCAGCTTGGAAGGCATGAACGATATTCGGCAACTTGCTAAGCTAATTGTTTATCTTAATTTTGGTGTTTCTTCCAATCTCCTCATTCTTCCAAAAGGATGTGTTTGGCGTTCTTTCCCATTGTTTTTAGTTCTCGACGTGTTGTGTTAAACTCTTATGGTGGCTAATTATCTGGCAAGACAATCCAAAACAGTTATTCATAGACACATTATATAACAATTTATGTCTTATATCTATCGGAATTTGAACCGACAGTCCTCTCAAATATCTACAGATCTTCAGTGTCCAGGCACGTGACAACATTCGAGGAATAGGCGGAAACGCAAGCATATCAGCGCCATAACTAATTACAATAACTACAATTAATGCTGTGGGAATTATTTTTGCTACAATCTCGAGAATTTCCGCGATAACGTCTGCAGGCTTTGAACTTCTAAACCTCCATAAATTATCTTTGGTCCACAACGTGTAATTAAAATTATTTTTGGACGACAATTTAATGAGCATGTTCAAGTTAATTATTATGATTGTTTTTATTGCATGTCATTTTCGCCGATAAGGCACAGTCCGAATTTCGGAAAACTTATGACCGACCATTTGGTTTAACCTCCGGAGAATTGATTAAAAATGAAATTGAGTCGAGATCAAACCCAACACACCAAATAATCAAATAATTGAAACGTGAACGTGAATCGTGAAAATCGGTGGCATTCATTTCTCTGCCGAACTTAGAGTCGGAGTAAAATGGAAATTTTATGAGCAACAATGGAAATTGTTATTTACATTTTGAACTTGTAAACCTAATCTGGACATAACAAGTCAGCGATTTCCCTCACATTCCGTTTGTTTATTTGTAATGGAATAGTTTTGTGCGAAATAGACCCTTCTTATCAGAGCGCTATGGTTTGACGTTAACACTCGCGATCAATTTGAAAGTCAAGAGTCGTTAAATAATCGATTGCTGCAAAATGTGAATTAAATAATAAGTCTTACAACGTATTACTGCATGCTGATAATCTGCTTAACGTCATCCAAAGCGTAGGCACATGCTCTGATATCCCCTTAACCGGAAAAGATGTGTATTCATGCTTCCTAAGCGGGCATTGCTTGGCTTATTTTTATAGCATATTCCGAGATGCATACCATACTAACACTAGGCGCCACCGATAGATTCCCAAACGTTATCATCATTTTTATGGGAAACGCGATTAGAAACCCTTTGCCACATTTGCAATTTCAAAAAAAAAAGACGAAAATCGATAAATACCAAGACTTGAGAGGCCAGGTTACTTCTCCAACCCAAGAAAAAGAATTCCATCCATTCAATTCGTTCATCATACATCAAATATACTATAGACGAACCTATACACATACCTTGCACAGAACGATTTGCGCTTTTTAATTGCACATGATTTGGGTTATCAGGCTCGCGCTCTCTTTCGCTCTCCTCGGATCTCGCCCTCTCTTGGCGAGTATAAAAAAGCAGGCTTTTGTCACAAACATTTCAAAAGCGAATTTCAATTTGAACGAAACGGTTACGGCGTTAAGAGTTAGTAAATTGTTTTGAATAAAAGAAAAATTAAATAATCCCAAAACACACAAACACAGATACAAACTCAAAAGCAAATTTGAAAAAAAAAAAACGGAAAATGCGCATTTTACAGGAGGTAGATACAGTGAAACAAAAATATATCAATGTGTCCACACGTATGCCATCTTAATAATGTGAAATTTAATTTAATCCTAGAATCAGATCGATTTCATTGATCCTTCGGAATTATTGAGGCCTGAGCCAACTTTCGCGGAGAAAAGTATATCCAAGTTCCGCGACTACAGCATCGACGAAAAGGATCCGCTCAAGGAGCGTGTTAGGCAAACTTACCGGCTGATGCATTTGAACCAAACGGTGGACTTCGTGAAAGGTCGACACGAACGCTGGCTCAAATTTAACACAATGAGGGCTACGGTGCGCCAAGCTTTGGAGAAACTTAACGACCTCATAGACGAATCTGATCCCGATATAGATTTGCCGAATATCGTTCATGCCTTCCAAGCTGCCGAACGGGCCAGAGAGGAGTATCCCGAATTGGATTGGCTGCATTTGACTGCTTTAATTCATGATTTGGGGAAAATAATGGCATTCTACGACGAGCCGCAGTGGTGTGTGGTAGGTGACACCTTTCCCGTTGGATGTGCCTGGGGCGACAGCATAGTTTACAGAAAGGACAGCTTCGAAGGCAACCCGGATGGGCAGAACCCTCTGTACAATACCAAATACGGTATGTACGAACCAAATTGCGGCGTGGACAATCTCATGATGTCCTGGGGCCACGATGAGTACATGTATCAAGTGCTGAAACACAACAAGACAAAACTACCAGACATGGCCTGCAAAATAATACGCTTCCATTCATTTTACCCTTGGCACAACGGCGGAGATTACCAGCACCTTGCTCAGCCCGAAGACGAAGAAACGAAGAAATGGGTTCTGATCTTCAAGTAAGTACATTGTCTGATACAACATTAAAGCGGATGCTTTAAGAATACCATTACCTTTTACTTTCCAAACCAGCCGCTATGATTTATACACCAAAAGTGCAAAAGTTCCCGACATTGAAGCTCTGTGGCCCTACTACCAAGGCCTAATAGATAAATACCTACCTGGAGAGTTGGAATTCTAGAAATATGTAAGCTTTGAAAACTGTGCACTGTGATCAAACAAACGACATCGTTTCCACTTGTTTTAAGTTTGAATGGAAAAATGTATAATTTAATTAAAAAATCCTCAAAATGTTTTATTTATTTATTTATTTTTTTACATTATTGCCTATGACCAATATGCTTATGATGCCTATACACGCAACAGTACCATGTCAGAGCACTGCATTGCAATTTGGACGCAAGACATAGTCCGGATTAGCCATAACGTTGTCCTTTTATCTCTGTGGGAGCGATCAGCTTGATAGCAATCCGAACTGTCACTAGAATAGTTATCGGAGTAGGTACGGGAACGTGATCTATCCCGTTGATGCCGATGATGATGTCGACGGTCCGAGTGTCGATTGTGGCTACGTGAACGGGATCGGGATCTGGTCCTTGATTTCGATTTTTGTGACTTTTTTGATTTCTTCTTCGATTTTGATTTTTTGGTTTTGCTTTTCTTTGATTTGTGTGATTTTGATTTGGATCGGGACTCCGACCGATGTTTCCGCTTCTTATTGTCTTCAACACCAGCATTGCTCGTTTCGGAGGAAGACGATGTGGATCGCGATTCCTGTTTTCTATACTGACGCTTATTGTCAGAGACAGGCGTCGAAGATGGAACCCTCTCTTTTGGCCTACTTCTCGATCGTGACTTTCTTTTTCCGATCACGTTAGTATTGCCTGTTATGGGCAACCTATCGTCAAGCTGTTTGGTAAGTTTTGTCGATGGAGTCACTCTAACAGGTACAAATTGGGGAATGACTTTTTCAGTCTCAATATTAACCGGGTTTTCTTCTTCGCTGTTATCTTCAGGTCCGTAGGACGTAATGGGTATCGATTGCACAGAATCTTCCGAATCGCTAGCACCTTCTTCTCTGTAGGGTTCATCGTTAGTTTCATCAGTTTTTGTAATCTGCTCCTGATTGCTGATTTCTCCTGAGGCGACGGCTAAAATAAATTAATTCTGTTACTACTTATCAGAATTAAATGTAGGGAGACAACTAGCTTTCTCGTTATTGATGGCTTTGATTAGTTATAGATTGGAAGGGTATTGGAGAATAAAGTGCGACCGGTGAGATTATTGCCAGAGCTCCTGAGTAAAATTAGCCAAGTGAAGTTGCAATTAGTCAGGAATGACTTGCTCTCCAGAACAAAAAAATAGGAATAGTATCTTCTGTATGGCTTCGATTAGTTATAGATTGGAAGGGTATTGGAGAATAAAGTGCGACCGGTGAGATTATTGCCAGAGCTCCTGAGTAAAATTAGCTAACAAGTGAAGTTGCAATTAGTCAGGAATGACTTACTCTCCAGAACAAAAAAATAGGAATAGTATCTTCTCATAATGACAAATAAGAAGGGGAAATTCAATGTATTCGTCATAAAACAAATTCAGAACTCAAACCACATCACAAATCATAAACATAACGAAGAACAGAGTTAATTTATGCAAAGAACCGGTTGATGTCCCATACACGGCCTCCAATCAGTAATTTATATGCACAATATCATTCCTTACAGAGGGCAAAATTCTTATACGACCCACTTCGACAATTTATAAATATATGGTCTTAATTAGTTAAGACCACGACTAGTTCTACATTTTTAAAATTGACAAATGCGCAACAGCCCTTAAATATTTGTCTCAGACGCAGAATGTGCTCGGAATGTCGACTTACCTTTAATTTGGTTCAGGAATGCCATAGCTTTTCGTTTTCGCTCGAGCTGCAATTGTTTTTCCTTTGATACAAGTCCACCCAATTTCTCCCTGGCAATTTGAGCCAATTTGTCTTTAACCTTCTCCTCGGCTAATGTTATAGAAAAATATATCAGTTAGTTCGAATGCATGTGGTCGGAATAGATACCTTTTTTTAATTCCTTATGTCTCTGCTGTTGCTGCTGCTCAAATATCGCGTTTCTTTCTGCTTCGGCTTTTGTTGCGGCTGATAAATTCGACGACAGTACCGCTGGCCCCGAAAGCAGGGCGGGCTTAGGTTGGTGAGTTGCAGGAATCGTTGGCATCGGAAGCAAATTATTGACGGGTAGAATACTAGAAGTTCGGAAGGCTAAGGCTGCAGCGGCAATTTGAGCATTTCGTGCCATTAATTGCGATTCAACCTCAAAAATAGCCTTTTGCACATGCTCTGGGACGTGCCTGTTGGGGTTGTTGGTTGTCGCTGTTGTCGTAGCAGCCCTATTGGTGACTATGTTCGTCGCGGCAGGAGATGGTGAAACTTGCTTTTCTTCGTCATCACTTGTATCTTGTGGCAGGACTGGAGGCTGTAGTGTGGCGTTGGATGACTCTTCTTTTGCTTTTATAGAAAAGCAAACGGGATCTGGAATAAAACCCAATACTCGTTAAAAAAAAACATATCATGATTCTATTGTGTGTTTGTCTTCTTACGATTCGTGACTTTGTCTCGCGTCAATCCCTTTTTATTCATCAGCGCCTCTGCAACTTCTTTGGCTTTTCGTTGCTTTCTTTCCTTCGAAGCGGCATTAACATCGCCTGTTATTTTGTACATATAGTATGGATAATATTCATTATCTGGCAATAGAAAAGTAAAACGTTCCGCCGATTTGCTACGCAGTGTCTCCTCAAACTGGCGTCCGTTTTTAATAACATACACCGCTGTTTTGTCAATTATATTTCTTAGATTCTCAGTTGGTACGGGGAACTCCAGATTCGGTGGAGTTTTTTCTTTATTGAATGACGGCGTGGAAGAGCTCTCATCTTCGCCGTTGCTTTCGGAGTCTGAAGAGTAGTTTTGTGCCAAAGCTAATGCACTGGAATTCTTTAGAATCTCCACTTTGGGAACGGTATCATCTAAATTTGCGTCTGCCGCTATGTTGCTTGTCTTTCGACTACCAGAATCGGACCCATCATCTTGTTCCGTCATAAATGTTGCGCCATTGTATTGCAAGAGAACAGGAGTGATGCATGGAGAAACGTTTGTCGCCTCTTGTTGCGATGTTGCACTCTGCCGTGATGAATCATCGTGCAACTCTTCCAATGGTACACCCTTAATTTTACTAATCAACTGCGTATACGCACAATCTGCCGATGGTTTGTACTTGACCATGGGCACTAAAACAACTGGTTTTTCCTCGGCATTCACGTCTGCGTCTCCGGACGTTGCAAATGAACTGTCGTCTTCGCAATTGCCAGTGTCCTTCTTGCTGAACGTCTCAGGGTATGTTCCGGCCTTAATAGCACTTATAACATGTTTGTAATAGGGGTATAGCTGGGAACTTTGCGACAAAAATTCAAACTGTATGTTGTTGGACTGTTTGGCTTTCAGGAGAATCTCCATTTGAACACCCTGTGAGGCAATAAATCGAGCTGTCTTCTCAATAATTGCGTGTTGTTTCATTGTTTCAGGCTAAAGTTGAAATGATTTTGGCCTTAAAATTTTAACATCCACATTAAAAAAACGCGAAATATTAAACTCACCAAGTGCATGTCTGGAGGAACGTAAAAACTTGGAGGCAATTGGAATATTTGCTCAGGTTCTTCACATGTTGGCGAATTACTAAACTCTGGACCACTCTGCTTCGGTTCGTCGTAAGTGTGACCCACTTGACTGTAGCCGCCACCATTTGTTTCTTGTTTCAATCGTTTCAATTCCTCCTCTGTTTGCAGCGAGTTGAGTAGAACGGTAGCCAAGTGTGCCCAAAATAAACCCAAAAAAACGTTAGAAGAAACACAACATTTCAGCATGAGTCACTGTCCATGGCATACATTAAGATAAACATAATCGAAATAGCCGAAGCCGCTCAAAATATTTAACAATTATTAGGAACATATTCTAAAATGTAATTGAAATTGGTTTTTGATCAATAGTAGGATTCTATTCGAATCCAAATCTGCAGGCGCCGGGATGTATGGAGTCGGCGAGTCTGAAAATAAACATTAATCGGGTGTAAGTTATGGAAAATATTTACCTGCGGTCAAATATTGTTATTATTTCCAATGTTGGACTCTTGTTGTGAGCGATTTTCACTTTTGCGAGGTCACCTCAACAGCTAACTCCAACCTGAAGAAAGCTACTTACGTGGAATCTGCACTTCTAAATGTACAAACTGTCGGTTTTCGTTTTAAAATTATATAGGTACTTAAAAAATAACGCATGTCGCAAGGCTTCTATCGCCAAGGAACTTTTAGAAACGCTTCGTGGTTATGTAATGTTGTGGGTACCTCTTATATTCGTTTCCAGCTTACCTTGGTTGGTTACTACGTCTTCCTCGTTCTTGTACAAAAACATATATCGTTCCTCTTCGCAAAGCTGTTCGGCCCTTTGTTCTTCGGCAGTTAAGCAGTCGAGTCGATTTTCATAACCACCACCAGGTGGAGGCTCATACGGCGTTAAATCATAGAGAGCTCCACGTACATCATATCTAGAAATTGATTTTGGCAGTGAGGAGCATCCCATAGTTGCAACAGTGGCCGTCAACAATAGGTTGTTTGAAAAAAAAGGAAATGACAAAATATTAAAAGCCATTATTGCAAAGATACAATAGCTAAACTAATGGTCACAGAGTCCAGTGGGTTGAATTAAATATTATAATAATACGTACCAGCCAGTGCATTCTATCTGGAACACGTATCATACACAAAAAGTAATAAAGAAATTATTTTTAGATTGGGTTTAGTTAGATTGAGGATTGGGTTCATTGGTTGCGAACAAATGCAAATACACCCATTTATCCTATTTGAAGCGTTGCCCGGGATGACAACTAACTAATAGCGAAATGCAACTGCAATTATCTGAAACAATCTTGTACATTACCAGTTGAATGCGATGGAAGCCAAAGGATATAATTTGTCATTAAACAAAACAAGCGAACCATGTATGGCTTAAGTTGATTTTTAGGTCTATTCCCAGAATAACCTGAAATTTTTATCACATGCAGGTATCTTTAACCTGCATCAGGTTTAAGAAAATGTTAAAAAAAAAATAAAAATTTGAAAATGGTCCTAGCATAGCCCCATGAACTCAACTTGCTCTCCATGTATTTAGAAAAATTAAATTTGACTCATACGGTTTTTGTACTTTTTATACTTTATCTGATTACAAACAACAATATCAGCTGCAAAACTACCTTATTTTGACTTCTGTTGAGTTTAAGACATTCTTTTAAACTTGAGGGCTTTCCATTACATAAATCCTTTCTTGAAAAGCATGGCTTTCCTGGGATAGTTTTGAGGAAAACTACTACACAAATGTTCGCCAAAGTACATATATTATTTTTACGCTCCTGAAAATTTGCATTACATTAACCACAGAATTTCATTTCACAGAAGAATCAAATCGAAATCGCCAAATGTTCAACCGCACAACTGAGACAATTGCACTGCATTCGGTTCCCAGTTGAATTACAATGGTACGGACTCTTGTCCACAATGTAACGCAATAGGAGTCTATTTTGATTGGACTGCTTCGTATATTCGGTATGTGTGTATGTAGCTACTCCACTACAAATAGTGTGGTCCTTTCTGCTTCTAAAGAATGTTCGGTCTTATACAAGCGAACAGCAAATCGGCATTTAAAAGATCAGACAAACAGTAATATCTTTAAATGGAGAAAGAACAAATATTAACCTGTCAATTTTCAAAGTGTCGTCGCCCATCCACGGTATGAGGTGTTTGCCCTGGTCAATCTCGCGTGCCTTATCATCATCACGAAAAATCTTGCACTGCGTATCCGAAAACCAACAGATCAATTTTTTTCTCCATTTCTGTCGAGTTTTGCCATCCAGTTATCGTTGGTGGCTTTCGCAAAATACCTCCATCCAGCAGCAGACATATCAGGTCGCGAATATGACATTATGTTTTTTACGTTACAACTGTTGGAAACACTCCGATATCCTCTTCCAAGAACTAGAAGTAGTCCTTTACAGCTATACGATTTACCCAAGAATGAAGAAGAGAACTACAAAGCCCTATTATTCGAATAATATACAATTGTTTGTTCACTAAGAAGAAATGGAGGAACCAGCGTCGCTTATCGTTTACTCACATCCATGATAAAATGGTACAGTAAGCTATCAAAACATTTTTGAAATTCTAAATTTGGAATGAAATATTATTTAAATTAGTGAAATATGTTAAAAATCGCAGCCTATGAACGGCATCGTATAAGAAAGTATTTAAAATTCATTATTTTGACATATTTTTAAATATTTTTGACATATCAATGTTCGCAAGAGTTGATGCATCTACCTCCATTCTTCTACCTTGCTCACATCCATGGCGCAATAACAAAGTGTTCCTGCAAATTTTATAAACCATATGTAAAGTCAAAATTTGTTTACATTTATTTGGATATTGTTTATCTTTTGTTTTGTGATTTCAATCACCTACGATGCATGGAGCAAAATCAGCATTTTTTTGATTTTTCTCGCGCATGACGCTCGATTTTGACGTGTGTGCAGTCGAGGGAGGGATCATGCATATTCTCATGAATAGCGTGAATTCAATTTTTTGTGCCACTTTTTCATCCAGACTCTGCTATTTCTCTTACTGTTTTTATTTTCTTTCTTTTTAACACACGGCCAAAATCGCCAAAATGTATCGCCGGTTATCGACATTGTCTTTACGACACGTAATCAATAACAAATTAATGCATGAACCGTGTGAACTGAAGGCTTCATGCACACGTACACGATTTTGATGTCATGCTTTTTGACCGTCTACGGGGCACTTAAGAGATATGGCAATAAAATGGGTAGTCATTCGTAAGTGCAATTGGTAGTCATTGCACAGAGGCTCTTCTTGTTCTTGCTTCTTTGTTCCAGTTTAAAAAAATAAACAAAACGAATTTGTGAAACCATTCTATCATTCTAGCATCAAAATGTTGTTGCCGTTCCTCTGCGCACTTTTTGCGTTTCCCCTTACAGCACAAGCAAACTTGGAAAAGCGTTTGGATGCCGCTGCAGTGTATTTTCAACCGGAGCAAATCCATTTGTCATATGGAGGTGTGTATATTTGTTTGTTTGTGCTTCCAATCATCGTCTATCATCAACAAAGAAAATTGCCGTAGTTTGGGCTTTAACAAAGCAAGTGGCTTTGTTGATAACAGGAAAAATGTGACGCATTTAGTTTATTGAATATATTTCAAGAGAAATCGTAACTTTTTGAAATGTATTTGTTGATATGTATGTATAGGTATAGTTATAGTTTTGCAAAAATTTCTGAATGACTTGAAAATCTTCGCTTCGATAAATCTTTATCCGCAGGACACTGCATTTGTTTGTAAAATAAAAATATAAAGTAATAGTTAGGGCTATTGTTCCTATTTTTACTTTCGATGATCTTCATAGACCCACTTTCGAACACTACCATTTTCGATATTGGATATTTTTATCAATTTTTTCTAGGATTTGCTATTTAAAATGGAACTCGCAATGGCAGCAACTGTCCATGATGCATTTAAATTTTTCCTTTTCATCCGCATTCATTCCAATCGTCAACTTGATTGAAGAGTTCCATTTCGTCCATTGCTTGCAGCATGTCTGTCTTGCCAGATTCGAGGTAGTTTTAGGCTCATGATTTCAATTTATATTTTTTAGCTTGTTATATAATACGTTTTACAATTGAATAATTAATTTCCTGCTATGTGTGTTCCTGGATGGACCAGAGTAACAACTTCATCATCCTTTATCGCAAAATAACACACGCCTAAATAAATCGAAATTAGTGTAATTCCATTTTTTTCTAAATAGGCAAGCTCTAGCTAATTAAAAATAAATAAAAAGAGACATTTGAATTTTAATTTTCAGAGAGATTAAATGACATAGTCGTAACGTGGTCTACACGCAATGCCACAAATCAGTCTGCAGTACTTTTTGGCGAAAGCTTCCGAAAACCACAGTCGCTTGAAAGGGCTGAGGGAGTTTCAAAACTATTTGTGGACGGTGGACCAAAAGGTTCCACTCAGTACATTCACAAAGTAACTCTGAGCGGACTAAGACCGAGACAGCGTTACGAATATAATTGTGGCAGCGATTTAGGTTGGTCGGCAACATATTCCTTCGTCGTGCCACCGTTGGGGGAAAACTGGTCACCTTCCTTGGCCATATACGGCGATATGGGAAATGAAAACGCACAATCGTTATCCCGCTTGCAACAGGACACACAAAGGGGAATGTATGATGCCATCATTCATGTGGGAGACTTTGCATACGATATGGACACAGACAATGCCGAGGTCGGAGATGCCTTTATGCGTCAAATCGAGTCCATTGCCGCCTACGTCCCTTATATGGTTTGTCCTGGCAACCACGAGGAAAAATAGTAATATCCTTATGCTACAGGAAATATACATATGCAGAGTGATCGACAAAGCCTAACTTTAATTTCAGCAATTTCTCCAACTACAAAACCAGATTCAGTATGCCCGGTAGTCATGACAGCTTGTGGTACAGCTTCAATCTGGGACCTGTCCATTTTGTCTCCTTCTCTACTGAGGTCTATTACTTTCTTAACTACGGCTACAAGCTGCTAACAAAACAGTATGAATGGCTGGAAAATGATCTAAAGGAAGCGAATAGACCGGAAAATAGAGCAATCCGTCCCTGGATAATTACGTATGGTCACAGGCCCATGTACTGCAGCGATGACAAGGAGTATGACTGCAATGATAAACTGGAGACGTATATTCGCAAAGGCCTGCCCATTGTGAAAATGTTTGGTTTGGAAGACTTGTTCTACAAGTATGGCGTTGATGTGGAATTTTTTGCTCACGAACATTTCTACACCCGGCTGTGGCCGATTTATGATTTTAAGGTCTACAACGGTTCGACGGAGAATCCATACACAAATGCAAAAGCCCCTATCCAGATTATAACTGGCTCTGCAGGCTGCAACGAGAACCGGGAACCGTTTTCTAAAGTACTGCCCGAGTGGAACGCCTTCCACAGTAATGTATGCAATGAGTCTCCTAAAATGCCACATTGTTTTAATAAGTTTGTTTCGTCTAGGACTATGGGTACACCCGCATGAAGGCTTTCAACGCCACCCATCTGTATTTGGAACAAGTCTCTGACGACAAGAACGGGAATATTGTTGATTCCTTTTGGATAATCAAAGACAAGCACTGTTCCTACGCTGATATGTGATTTTCCCCGCTTCTTCACTGGGAGCATGCTGCTTGCAATTTTATCCTATTGTAATATGCGATGAAATCCTCTTGCTTTTATGCTGTGACCCAAAATTTTGACGTGTTAGCTGTAGTGGACAATATACGTTTCATTTATCTTTATTCACATATATATGTAATTATTATTGACTGTCGCAAAATTGACTCTTTTATTGATAATACATTCTCTATACTCAATTTTTGGTGTGTGTGTGTGTTACTACGTTTGTATGCTCCTTACAGATTCAAAAACGGCTGTGATAACTCTCGCATGCCTCTGTCTTTAAATACGCTTTATCTTCCTCAGCCGTATGAGGAGTAGATTTGATTGTTATTTAGAAATGACCACAGTATGTTTTTTATGGTCCCTTTATTGGAGACAGAAACTTTCAAAACTAAAACAACGGGTTAGCAACGCAGTCTTTGTCAGCAATTCATTCACGTATCTGGTTTTTTTTTGTTATTTTTTGTCCCAAGTATGTAAGGAATATATAAAAGACTTCATCGTAAATCTATTGTAGAAAATGTTTATGAGTATGTTGTTACCTGGTCCACTCGAGACAACACCAAGGCTTCCGTATGCAAATATGGGGTGGGGAACTTAACAAATATCGCAAATAATAAATATGGACCGTCCAAGTTCACTGATGGCGGCAAGGCCAAAAAGACCCAGTATATCCACAGAGTAAGTACTATATGGAGATTAATTGATGTGCAACCTTATTGAAGCAATTTTTGGGTAGGTATCATTAAAAAATCTAAAGGAAAATACACGATATATATACCATTGCGGTAGTGCTTTGGGATGGTCTTCGCTCTATTGGTTTAAAACCCCGCCGAAACAGGACGTGTGGTCCCCCAGCTTGGTTATATACGGAGACATGGGCAATGAAAATGCTCAATCCTTGCCACGGCTACAAGAAGAAATTCAGATGGGCGGAATTGATGCTATCTTGCATGTGGGAGACTTTGCCTACGACATGCATTCCTTGGACGGAACAGTGGGTGACGAGTTCATGCGACAAATAGAGGCCATATCAGCTTATGTACCATACATGGTAGTGCCAGGAAACCACGAAGAAGCTTAGTTAGTTTGTTTAATGCTGCGAACAGAGCATCGTCATTTAATCCCTCACGTTTTATCCCATAGCAATTTCTCGAACTACAAAGCACGTTTTAGCATGCCGGGAGGCGGAAAAGACAACCTATTTTACAGTTTTGATATGGGCCCTGTTCACTTTATTGGATTCTCAACTGAGGTTTACTATTTTCTGCAGCTTGGGCTGAAACCTTTGGTATTTCAATATAAATGGCTGGAAGAAGATCTGAGATTAGCCTCACTACCGGAGAATCGTGCAAAACGTCCTTGGATAGTTACGTTCGGACATCGGCCCATGTATTGCAGCAATGACAACGGCGATGACTGCTCCCACCACAATACTGTGGTACGGCAGGGTCTTCCAATACTAGGTGGCTTTGGTTTAGAGGAGTTATTTTACAGGTATGGCGTCGATGTTGAAATATGGGCACACGAACACTGCTATGAGCGTACGTGGCCAATATATAATTATACAGTTTTTAACGGTTCTGCGTCGGCACCATATCATAACCCCAAAGCTCCAGTACATATAATAACAGGCGCCGCCGGAAATAAGGAGGGACGAGAGCCATTTTTTAAAAATATTCCGAAGTGGAGTGCTTTCCACAGCCAGGTGACATTTCATTTGAAAATACATCTGTCACTCCTTTTAATGGTTTATCTTTTCAGGACTTTGGTTACACCCGCTTTAAAGTTTTTAATGAAACACACATATATTTCGAACAGGTGTCTGACGACAAAAACGGAGAAGTTATCGATCGAATTTGGATTGTAAAAGAAAAGCACGGGCCATATATATAATTCTTATGTGATTTTATCATTCCTTGTTGAAATGCAAGTATTATCGGAAAGACCAAAACGGCAAAGGGCTGACACAACTGCACTTGTAATATAGAAACACATTATTTTATACAATTTTTAATACTGGTTAACTACAGATGTTGAATTTTAATGAAGTACTCTAATAATGCATTTCGTTTTAAACTCGACTTGTATTTTTCCTACCGATTCTATAGATTGAATGAGCGTTTATTTATTTAAATATTTACAATTTTCACTATAGCTTGACCCCTTGGAAAAATATTTAAACAAAAAAATCATGATTTTAGCTAGATAGCACTGTGCAACAATATTTTGCTTTTTAACTATTGTAAAAAAAAAACATTTTTTGTTGTTGTTTTTATTTTTCAAAACAAAAAACATCATTGACTAAAAGGAAGGAACATTGCGGGCTCTCACTATAGATATTCACCAGTTTTGCCATGGAATTAAAATATAGAACAGTTTGGACCATATTTATGACAGAGAATCCAGGCATTTCATTCACTTTTCGCCTTAATAACTTAGATCAAAAACGGGTGGAATTGCAGTAAAGGAGTGGAAGATATATTTCCGTCTCCTTTCCATTCGACGAAAAGTAGGTCTCCCCTCGAATTGTTGGAGTGGAAGATAAATTTTTGTTTGTATTATATTTGATTTTCATTCTTTACCCGTTCTTTCTGGAACTAGTGTACTAGTTCCGCAGCTCATTTAATGAACGTTTCCAGGTGATTGAGTTATCCCTATGTTTGTTTTGATTTTATCATTTATCACCTACTCCCGTTTTGATCTTTGTTGCCTTGCAACTGCGTCGATGAAATTGGACTTAGACTTTGAAATCCAGTTCAGTCCTGGTGAAGTTGGATTTCATTTTTGTTATAAAAATTGAGTTTTGATGTTGGAAATTTAATTAGAACCGAACACATGTGCAAAAAAATGAATATGAAAATATCTTTCCAACAGGATCCAGAGTGGAGCAAATAAAAATTGCTCCTTAAAATATATGAAGAAACTTTTGTAAGAAGTGTCCGAGGTCTTTGGTGTTCTACGAAATTAAAATTTTTTGTCAAATTGATTTTGGAAAATAATTAATTTTTATCCAATTCATGATAAGGAGGTTGTTTTATTCCTCTCCATAAGGTTGGATTTAAAGCAGATTTTCGATTCTGATGGAAGTATAATTGAATATTTTGAAAAAATGCACGACTTGGAAGCAAACAAAGATAGTGTAAATTATTTAGTAAAACGGCTATGTTGGTGCATTTTACAGCAGGAAGGAATTGTAAACGACAGTGGAGAACAATGTCTGAGAAAACTAAAGGCGGTGGCATTCACTATTCTGCTCTCGAAATATGCCAAAAATGAATCAGAAGCGGAGTTTGAACCTCAGCGAGCATTGGGGCTGCAAATGTTTGCGGCTAAAATCGGCTCTCACGCAAATAATGAGCACTTCTTCTCAGTCTTCGAAAAGCAAATTGATGCCGTACAAAATGAGCCCTACTTTAATGTCGGACCAGGCAAACATGTAGTGAAATTTCTTTTGGCTCTACAGCGGAGCGGACACGATGAACGTGAAATAGTATGATTTTTCATTCACAGCCCAAAATTGGTATATATTCTAATAGGTATCTATTGCGTTTTCCAGGCCTATATAAGTCCCCCAACATTGCTAATGCCGGGCAGTTTTACCCTACATGCCGATTCCAGCCATAATAGACACTATCCCGAACCGAGTGATTATGACCTAATGAATCCAAAGCCAAGACTTTTTAAAGGTGTTCAACAACTTAAGTCACCTGATAATCCCTATTTGCCCCGATCCATTTTCGACGGCGAAAGGGACCGATTGAGTACCATGCATGATAAATTTGCTAGTACACACTCAAGAGTGTATAATGACGATCCGTCTGAAATAACTTTCACAGGAATGACAAAGCGCTTGCTTGGAACAGCAATGCGTATAAATTCCAGTGCCCTCCGGTTATTTCCGGAGTCTATTTTTCAGCCCATTAACCGTTTGCAACCAGCCAAGAAAACGCAGCAAATACCTCTCCAAAAGCATGCAAATAACGAACCTCTTGACCCTGGAAACGAGCATCGTGTTTTCTCTTGGAATTGGGAAGGGCTTGGTTGTTTCGGAGTTTCGTGCTTAAAACCATTTGCTGGCGATGCTAGTGTGACATTGCTTTTGCAGGGCTATGTAAATCAAACAAGAAATTATCATAGCCAAGCAAAAATTATGAATGAAAAATGTTTTATCACCGATCTAAAATTGTTAACAGGTACTCACAAGCTTTAGTTCGCATACAGTTGTTATAATACAAGTCCCTTTTCAAACAGTTGGAATACAATCGGACACATTCCAGCATGACGAACTCATCGTGTTTCATATGGAGTCCAACGTTACCATTGAAGGCGTATTGCCGACAACAATCAAGAATTTAGTATCCGAGTTCCTTGAATGTGGAACCTGCTACAAACGAATGCAAACCATGATAATGAAGAGAGACTATAAGCTCATGTTCGAAGGATTCATGTTTAAGGTAAGGTGTGGGGAATGATGACATTTATGGAGGACTATTATCATATGATGTACTCATTATCAATGTAGGCCTTGTGTAGTGCCATTGACGAGTACTTGATGACCTTTCGTCAGTTCGTTTTCGGGCACTCCGATGAACACATACTAGGCTTACACCAGCGTCTCAAGAAAGTAATGAAACAAATAATTTGCCTCTCTTACACATTGGCCATTCATCCAAAAGGTATGCGAGCAATTGCGGATTTAAGCTATATTTCTCCTGAGACATTTATTTTACCTTATTACAGTGGACCCCAGTGTTAAACCCCCAATGGGATCTCAATTCCTGGGCTATTTGTATAGAGAAATTATGCGTTTGACGGAGAACGACTTAATTTCAGTCTTAATATATTTGTTAAAGAAGTGCTGTCATGTTTATTTCAAGTAAGTAAGTGTAAGCCAGTAGGTATGCGTGTGGATCCAATGTGGTCGTAAACGAAAAGTACTACTTGATTTGGAGCAAAATAATTAACAATATATTCTACACTTTCTCAATGCAAACACCATTAACAAGTTTCCATTGTCAGGCACTTACAAAAGTGGATATATTATGGTCTGTTGGAAGATCCTTGTAATGAGCTCTTTGTGGCATTTGTGGACCATTACAGGGAGAATACAAAATACTTCTACGATAAGGCATATTCAGTCCGAAGGGAAGTTGTACCAGACTTTTTTCAAAGCTTCGAGGATCAAATACTGCAATGTGGCAAATATACCATGCTGCTCAAGGCGTATGACCCAAATGTAAGTTTTTTTTTTCTCATAAAGTAGAGTACAGTAATCGTTTGGTTTTACCCACATATAAACAATTGAATAGCACCCTTTGTTTGACTTGGAATACCCGCCCATATCGGTGTGCCTTTCAGTGGCTGAGATAGAGCGTTTAGAAGAAACATGCAAGTCGTATTTTAATAAAGCGCGAAGGCTGTGCTCGAATCCAATAACGATAAGCGAGGTTTTTGAAACCAGGAAAGAAGCAAAACGACAGTTTTTTCAGCGAATGCTTAAAAGATCTCAAGCTAACATTGAACGTTGGAATGATGAACGAAACGATATGGCTCAGGCAGCAGCAGAGCGAAAGAAAAAACAACTGGAGGAACTCTCAGCGCAGCTGCAAGATGCCAGGAGGCGCAAAATTCTTGAGCGCAAGCTTAACGTAGAAACTGAACTCAAGTACCTGCGAGAAGCGGAAAAAGTAGAACAACAGCGTTTGGCAATTGATAATATAAATCTCCGCAAACGCATCGAGTACTACCAGGAATTGCACAACGTAATAAGCGAAAAGGACGAAGAAAAAGCCAGTAAATTATCATTAGTTATACCATCCTCTGTTGTGGTGCAGCCATCGCCTCGTACTCCAGTAAGTACAGCTGGAACAGAATTTGAATCTTGTTTCGGGGACGAGGAACAAACATCGGAGTATGAAGAATGTACTTCGGAGGACTTTATAGAGGGTTTCCAAGAAAACGAAGATGCACTCCACATCATGACGAAGGCTAATGAAGAAAGGAATGAAGAGGCAAGAAGTGAACACGACACTATTACAGCGGTAATCGATATGAAAGGAAAAAATTTTAATAATACCGTGATAAAGCGTAGCGCCTCAGATGTATTAAACTCGAATGAATTACCAGATAATGATAATGTTTTGTTGCAAAACCGACAGAAAGCAATGTCGGGCACAGATGTTGAATGCTGTGTCCACTTTGAAAACACTTCTGCCGCTACAAACCTTCAAGAGGGGCGTAAAGGAATATTTCGTAAGTATTTTTCTACACTCCCTTTTAAGACCGCTATGTTCCCTGTCGACTTTTCTACCAATGTCCTTCCTGTTTTCAAATGTAGCTGGAAATAAGATACCGTTAAAGGAAACTGAAGGAAATCAACTCAAAGTTTTACCTGAGGAGATTGAAATTCCAAGCAAAAATTCCCAAGGCGTTATGGAGTCAGATATAAATCTAAACCAAGAGGAAACCCTGTTGACCGATCTGCAGCGAAATCGCCGACGCATGATGCAAAACGATTTATTCAGTGAAATCAATAAAAATGCGTTGGAGAACCGAACACTAATGTACCTTGATCTGAACAGTGATAGGGCCAAAAATCGCAAGAGAGTATTAGAAAGTGAATACAATATTATAACCGGTGCTTTAGATATCAAACGAGCTAGTTCGGAGGTGACAATTCCCACTGACACACCCCTAACTCCCATGTCAACGGCATCGGACGATGTTCACTTAACAACAGACGTTTTGAGTGAAAAGGATGCAGATACACGTAATGGAAACTCCTGTCCAGAGGCACTGCTTATGTCAGACGCAAATGATCGTAGACCCAATTTGAAAGTAAGTGTCCTTGTATCTTCAGAATTCACTCAACAAGCTGTTTCAACGACGGCATGTACCCTTTCTGAGGCAACACCTGAATGTGCATTGAACACAGCTGGTATTATGGCCAAGCAAGGATTTTTGTTTCCCGACGATTATATTCCTACCAAGCACCAGAAAAATGCGTCAGCCTTGACGGCTTTTACCGAACACCTTAAGCAAGAAGGTGGCGATGAAAAAGATACTTTACCTGAACGAGCCTACGACGATCCATATAAACGCTGTCAAGAATTAGTGGCCACGAACTTTAAATGTGGAACGACTAGTCCTTTCATGCGATTGAATACTTTTACACACAATTCGGCGCCGGTGAGAAAGGATTCTGCTTTAACAGAATTTTTAACTGAGTTTCTGCAGAAATCTGTAGTTATTCCAATGAGTACCCATTTGGAATTGATAAACAATGAAGTTATGCGCATGTTCTTACATGACCTTAAAGTGCTGGATCACTTCCGCAGCTTGCGCAACTATTTTTTCATGATGGACGGAGAATTTGGTTCTATTATATGCGATGGAATTATAGGCAAGCTAGAAACTGGAGCGAAGCCGGAAAAGCTGCTAAACTACCAAATATTGCATTCGATTTTGGACACTGCTCTGGGTGCAAGTATTACGGGTGAGTTTCGACAGTAAGCAGATTTCGTGAACTCGTATAATATTTTGTTCTGTTATTTATTCGATCAGGAAAGGATAAAAATGCAGAGAACTTGTCATTCATAGTAAGCGATGTTCCCGAAAAGTTTGAACTCACGTCGCCAGATGTTTTGAATAATCTCAGCCTAAGCTATCGAATAAGCTGGCCACTGAATCTCATTCTGAACCCGGAAACATTGGAACAGTATGCTAATATTTTCAAATACCTTGTGCGCGTCCGACGCATAAGTTGGATTTTGGAAAAGAGCTACCAAATTCTAAAGGAGAACGTCAAACAATATGGAAAACGCATACTAAGGTCACCCCAGTACAGACATGTCCAGCTGATACGCCATAAATTCTATCACTTTGTTGTACATTTGCAAAATCATATAACGTCAAATGCCATGCAAGCCTCCTGGAAAACCTTCAAAGATGAACTTGTTTCGGCAAAGACCATCGAAGACATTTATCGAAAGCATGCCACCTACATAAAACGCATCTTGTTCTTGTGTATGCTAAATAAAAGGAGTGCCGAGTTCTACAATGCCATAGACAATGTCTTCAAAATTACAATACGTTTTTACAAGTAGGCATCTGCTTCCGTTTCTAATCCCTTAGTTTTCTAAAATATCGATTTGTTTTTTATTCGCAGCAACCTGAAGTCTAGAGAGTTCAAATTGAAGCCAGGAGAAGAATTCTACACGCATTCCCGGTATGAAAAACTGGCGAATGATGAAATCGAGTTTGATAAGTTCATTAAATTTACCATATATTTGGGCAATAAAATTGTCCGACATGGTTATCAAGCTGAAATTGGCGAATTTATAAATTTAATTAATTTCAATCAGTATTATCTGAAAACAATATGCTAATAAAAATGTACACATAATAAGCTAACGAAGTTGAAGTAATTTGAAGCAAAAAAAAATAGCCTTTTTTGACAATCTTAACGTGGTTTGGTTTTGATTTGTCGCAGTAATACAAAAGTTAGATCAAATGCAATAACTACAAGCGCCAATCTTGCATGGTCTGCAGCTATAGTCCCACCAGTTTGCACCCATCGAAATAAAACTTCTTTACGTTTTCAGTGACCAAGTCAATAACAAATCATAATTGATTAAAATTTCAGTTTGGTCTTCCAATTGAAACGTAAAGTAAATTTCGTTGGCAGTATTAATTCTACATTATACCCTCGGGCAAAAGGTGCCTAGTCGAAATAACGATTTTAGACCCTAGGTATCTTTGGACCAAATCTTTTTCAGGACATTTGGAGTCGAACTAACAATGTCCGTCCGTCTGTCTGGCTGGTTGATGCGCACAATAACTCTTGAAGGAAGTGTCCGGTACAAGCTTGGTACATCGTAATGTTATTAGCAAACTTGGATCGATTTCGAAGGTGGTACCTCAACATTTTGAATAATTATAACTCTTATAAAAAGCAAAAAAGGCTTCCACCCTTCGCACATCACAGTATTTCTGCTAACAAAAGACCTGGTGTGAAGATGGAATATGTCGGTTCACTCCTTTGGTGCCTGCCCCAACAACGGTTCAGCATTTTGAATAACAATGAAGCTGATGAAACGAGAAATGGGCATCGGATTATCATTAAACTTTGTACTTCCCAATATTTCTGCTAAGACATGGCGTTAAGACGGAATATAGCGGTACACTCTTTCTGGTACCTCCCCCACAAAGGTTCAACATTTTGAATAACCAAAACGCTTAACAATGCGTAGAAGGCATCCGCCAAATTTCACACATCCCAATATTTCTATTAATCCAAGATCTGGTGTGAAGGTGATAGATAAGGTATCTCCTCCGCAAAGAGTCACAATTTTCAATATTCATATCTAACAATGTCCGTCCGTCTGTCTGGCTGGTTGATGCGCACAATAACTCTTGAAGGAAGTGTCCGGTCCGGTCCAAGCTTGGTACATCGTAATATTATTAGCAAACTTGGATCGATTTCAAAGATGGTACCTCAACATTTTGAATAATTATAACTCTTATAAAAAGCAAAATAAGCTTCCACCATTCGCACATCACAGTATTTCTGCTAACAAAAGATCTGGTGTGAAGATGGAACATTTTGAATAACAATGAAGCTGATGAAACGAGAAAAGGGCATCAGATTATCATTAAACTTTGTACATCCCAATATTTCTGCTAAGACATGGCGTTAAGACGGAATATAGCGGTACACTCTTTCTGGTACCTCCCCCACAAAGGGTCAACATTTTGAATAACCAAAACGCTTAACAATGCGTAGAAGGCATCCGCCAAATTTCACACATCCCAATATTTCTATTAATCCAAGATCTGGTGTGAAGGTGATAGATAAGGTATCTCCTCCGCAAAGAGTCACAATTTTCAATATTAATATCTCTTATAATTTGCGAAACAAGTCAGCGATTCTTTTAAAACTTGGTAACCAGAGATCTGAAGTGAATATAGAATTCATCGGCACACATCTTCTGGTACCTCCCCACAAAATGTTTAAAATTTTATTAATTATTCGCATAAACTTGGAAATAAATGTTATATGTTCGTCAAAATACTTGTTCTCATGATTAGTTAAAGTGGAATACTTCGATTCACTTTATCTGGTATCTCAGTCACATTTCTTAATTTTCCAAAAATTATTACATTTCTCATGTAAAGGTGAATCAAGTAGTCGATATAACCCAGATCTGAAATCTTTACTATCTTTGATGTGAATATGGCGGACCAGTATACAAAGGATAACAGCAATCCAAAGGTCGGCAGAAGTTTGGCATCTTTGAAAAAGACAAAGTATTCATTTATTTTTTAATTATTAAATTTGTCAATGTTAAATCGATTGGAATGTACAATAACAATGCCGAATAAGTTGTACATATTTGTATTCGAAACAGGTGAATTCGATTTCTGAAGGTGAGTAAATTCTTAAATTACCGACTACTGGTACACTTAGCCTAACACAACCACGGATATCCTTTCCCTTTGCTCTTTAAAAATAAGTGCACAAGGATATAGAGTACCTAAATGAAGAAATATGGGTCAAAACAACGCAATCAAGGTAGTGTGCCAGCTGTCTGTGAATAACATCTAAAATCTAATTACTTTTTCAAAAATATTTATTTTTTAACCCCAAAATAAAGAAGGAAACAAACAAATATGCATTTCTCAAGAGGAAAGAAAATTATATGTACATAGGTAGGTATCAGACACAACGCAGCTGCTGCTTTGCATTGTTCCTTCACTCTATTAAATGGTAAAAGAAGAATTTTTGAGTAATAAGCTCCAAGTCATTTTTTCAAGGGAAATGTCTCGGAAAACACGCACTTCAGAATTAAAATTGTTAAAAGACATTCTTTCAGGGGAATGACCAGCACATAACACGTATGGTTGTATGCACATTCATACATATGCACAGATATGCCACATACATATATACTACAACAATAATAATAAAGCAGAAACCGAATTGTTTATCGCACTTTGAAATCAAAACAAAGAATTATTCCACGGAAATTATTGCGTGCTTATATACAAATTAGATTGAAAACAACGCAGTTTTTCTTCAAAAATGTTTTTCCCTAACAAATGTTCAGGGGATGGTTGGGGATGTACATAAAACATACGTAAATACACACATACGTACGTTGGTATGAGTCATGTATATATGTAATTCATGGACGGGGTTGCGAAATAAAAGTTTAAACTTCAATGTTTATTAGTTAATCAAATTGTCAATCGCGAATGTTCCTTCCTTAGATAATTTTATTTTCAGTTGTAAATAACAAAATGTTTTCCAGAGAGACATCGAAATAAAAGTTTAAACTTCAATGTTTATTAGTTAATCAAATTGTCAATCGCGAATGTTCCTTCCTTAGATAATTTTATTTTCAGTTGTAAATAACAAAATGTTTTTCAGAGAGACATCGACTTTCCAAAAATGATTTCCAGTGAGAAATGAACTTTCCAAAACAATTTTTTGTCTCAATTACAGTGTTGGCAAGTGTCTCAATTTTTTTACTACAATTTCTGGTCTTGTTAGGGACTCAATTAAGAGTTATGTTCTGTGATGGATGTGTGATTTGTGTTGTAAATTCCAAACAAACTGCCGTTCAAAACTTGTTATGTGCTTAAATTTATTTCCTCAGAATCAACTTTATATTAATTCGTAGTATACCAAGAGTTGGCAATACTGCCTCTAAATACGTTTTCCAACACTGCGGATAAACTCAAAGAGAAATGAGACTGCAGAAATATCGTAATATTTGGTTATTGGGCCCACTGGATGAAATTGAAATTGCTAATATTTTTTTTACAATGGGGACGATAACAAATTTAATATTTCTTCGGCTTGTGTTCTGAAATGCTTTTTTATTATTATTATTATTTTAGAGTAGTTTTGACGACAGAACTAGTTCAAACAAAGAAAAAGAGCGAGAGATAAAATGTTATGTGTGTATGACTTTCCAATGGTAGAAGGGGTAGGAGGTAAATATAATCGAACAAAGGCATTCCAGTTTCCCACTAAGAGGGTATATAAGGAGCCACTCTCTCGCTGCCAATTTATTGTATTGAGAGCAGCGCACTTGAACAGAGATAAAAAAAGTAAATTTAATTTTTGAATAAAATATATAAAAAGAATACTGACAAAGTAAAGGTGAGTTTAATTTACGCAGTACAGAATTAATTAAAAAAAATTAGGTGTGACATTGCAAAGGAATATTTTTTTTTTCTAAAAAAAACTGTTTAGATGCATTTGTGCGAGGTTATTACGTAGCAGAATCAATTAGTTAAATCATCGACAGTGAGAAGTGAAAATCCTTAGAATCGCATGAAAAATGCAACGAAAAGAAGAAAATGTGTATGCGTTGAATATTGTTACGTACGTGGTGGTAAGCAGTCCCATTGCAACTGTACATACATAAACATTTTCAAAATGGCGTCAATGACATTCGTTTCGTGTAGTGTGGAAGTGCATTGTTCACGGCAATCTTTAAGAAAATTGTCGACAGGAATACATTTTTCGTTTACTTCGTCGCCTTTGTATTACTTCTTTTTCAATAAAATAGAAACTGAAAGATTTTGCTAAACGATGTAGTCGTAAATGTTTCTATAGGTCCACATATGAGTCAGCTTTAATAAAAACTTCCCTTCCAATGCGCATTAAGAATACAGGGATGAGCAAGAATTTTGTTTGATCGTAGACTATTTCATATGATTTTGAAACCAGTATAATTTCATCATCACATTCTACCTTTCTTTAGACTGACAAACTAGCTTAGTCTTTTCTTTTTTTGTCATAACGTTTGAATAATTTAAAAAATATATTTTCAGAAACAAAATGCAGATCTTCGTGAAGACTTTAACTGGCAAAACCATTACCTTGGAGGTGGAGCCTTCAGATACTATTGAAAACGTTAAAGCTAAAATTCAGGACAAAGAAGGCATTCCTCCAGACCAACAAAGACTAATCTTTGCTGGTAAGCAGCTTGAAGATGGACGCACATTATCAGATTATAATATCCAGAAAGAATCAACACTTCATTTGGTCCTTCGTCTAAGAGGAGGTATGCAGATTTTTGTTAAAACATTGACTGGAAAGACCATCACATTGGAAGTTGAACCTTCCGACACTATCGAAAACGTCAAAGCTAAAATTCAAGACAAGGAAGGTATTCCTCCAGATCAACAGCGTTTGATCTTCGCCGGCAAGCAGTTGGAAGATGGTCGTACATTGTCTGACTACAACATCCAGAAAGAATCTACATTGCATTTGGTATTGCGTCTGCGTGGTGGTATGCAAATCTTCGTAAAGACCCTGACTGGCAAAACCATCACCTTAGAAGTAGAACCTTCTGACACCATCGAAAACGTCAAAGCTAAAATTCAAGACAAAGAAGGTATTCCTCCAGATCAACAACGTTTGATCTTTGCCGGCAAGCAGTTGGAAGATGGTCGTACATTGTCTGACTACAACATCCAGAAAGAATCTACTTTGCATTTGGTATTGCGTCTGCGTGGTGGTATGCAAATCTTCGTAAAGACCTTGACTGGCAAAACTATCACCTTAGAAGTAGAACCTTCTGACACCATCGAAAACGTCAAAGCTAAAATTCAAGACAAAGAAGGTATTCCTCCAGATCAACAACGTTTGATCTTTGCCGGCAAGCAGTTGGAAGATGGTCGTACATTGTCTGACTATAACATCCAGAAAGAATCTACTTTGCATTTGGTCTTGCGTCTGCGTGGAGGTATGCAAATTTTCGTAAAAACCTTGACTGGCAAAACTATCACCTTGGAAGTTGAACCTTCCGACACTATCGAAAACGTCAAAGCTAAAATTCAAGACAAGGAAGGTATTCCTCCAGATCAGCAGCGTTTGATCTTCGCCGGCAAGCAGTTGGAAGATGGTCGTACATTGTCTGACTACAACATCCAAAAAGAATCTACTTTGCATTTGGTCTTGCGTCTGCGTGGTGGTATGCAAATCTTCGTGAAGACCCTGACTGGCAAAACCATCACCTTAGAAGTAGAACCTTCTGACACCATCGAAAACGTCAAAGCTAAAATTCAAGACAAGGAAGGTATTCCTCCAGATCAGCAGCGTTTGATCTTCGCCGGCAAGCAGTTGGAAGATGGTCGTACATTGTCTGACTACAACATCCAAAAAGAATCTACTTTGCATTTGGTCTTGCGTCTGCGTGGTGGTATGCAAATCTTCGTAAAGACCCTGACTGGCAAAACCATCACATTGGAAGTTGAACCTTCCGATACTATTGAAAACGTCAAGGCCAAGATCCAGGACAAGGAAGGTATTCCTCCAGATCAACAACGTTTGATCTTCGCCGGCAAGCAGTTGGAAGATGGTCGTACATTGTCTGACTATAACATCCAGAAAGAATCTACTTTGCATTTGGTCTTGCGTCTGCGTGGAGGTATGCAAATTTTCGTAAAAACCTTGACTGGCAAAACTATCACCTTGGAAGTTGAACCTTCCGACACTATCGAAAACGTCAAAGCTAAAATTCAAGACAAGGAAGGTATTCCTCCAGATCAGCAGCGTTTGATCTTCGCCGGCAAGCAGTTGGAAGATGGTCGTACATTGTCTGACTATAACATCCAGAAAGAATCTACTTTGCATTTGGTCTTGCGTCTGCGTGGAGGTATGCAAATTTTCGTAAAAACCTTGACTGGCAAAACTATCACCTTGGAAGTTGAACCTTCCGACACTATCGAAAACGTCAAAGCTAAAATTCAAGACAAGGAAGGTATTCCTCCAGATCAGCAGCGTTTGATCTTCGCCGGCAAGCAGTTGGAAGATGGTCGTACATTATCTGACTACAACATCCAGAAAGAATCTACTTTGCATTTGGTCTTGCGTCTGCGTGGTGGTATGCAAATCTTCGTAAAGACCTTGACTGGCAAAACCATCACCTTAGAAGTTGAACCTTCTGACACCATCGAAAACGTCAAAGCTAAAATTCAAGACAAGGAAGGTATTCCTCCAGATCAGCAGCGTTTGATCTTCGCCGGCAAGCAGTTGGAAGATGGTCGTACATTGTCTGACTACAACATCCAAAAAGAATCTACTTTGCATTTGGTCTTGCGTCTGCGTGGTGGTATGCAAATCTTCGTGAAGACCCTGACTGGCAAAACCATCACCTTAGAAGTAGAACCTTCTGACACCATCGAAAACGTCAAAGCTAAAATTCAAGACAAGGAAGGTATTCCTCCAGATCAGCAGCGTTTGATCTTCGCCGGCAAGCAGTTGGAAGATGGTCGTACATTGTCTGACTATAACATCCAGAAAGAATCTACTTTGCATTTGGTCTTGCGTCTGCGTGGTGGTATGCAAATCTTCGTAAAGACCCTGACTGGCAAAACCATCACATTGGAAGTTGAACCTTCCGATACTATTGAAAACGTCAAGGCCAAGATCCAGGACAAGGAAGGTATTCCTCCAGATCAGCAGCGTTTGATCTTCGCCGGCAAGCAGTTGGAAGATGGTCGTACATTGTCTGACTATAACATCCAGAAAGAATCTACTTTGCATTTGGTCTTGCGTCTGCGTGGAGGTATGCAAATTTTCGTAAAAACCTTGACTGGCAAAACTATCACCTTGGAAGTTGAACCTTCCGACACTATCGAAAACGTCAAAGCTAAAATTCAAGACAAGGAAGGTATTCCTCCAGATCAGCAGCGTTTGATCTTCGCCGGCAAGCAGTTGGAAGATGGTCGTACATTATCTGACTACAACATCCAGAAAGAATCTACTTTGCATTTGGTCTTGCGTCTGCGTGGTGGTATGCAAATCTTCGTAAAGACCTTGACTGGCAAAACCATCACCTTAGAAGTTGAACCTTCTGATACCATCGAGAACGTTAAAGCCAAGATCCAGGACAAGGAAGGTATTCCACCAGATCAACAACGTTTGATTTTTGCTGGCAAACAATTGGAGGACGGACGCACGCTTTCCGACTATAACATCCAGAAGGAATCTACACTCCATTTGGTTCTTCGTCTTCGCGGAGGCTCTCTAAATTAAGCGCGTGATAAAAGAGAATTGATATTTTTCATTGATGTTAAAATTAAAAGGTCAACTAAAATATGTCTCAAAAATTCAGTACGAGTGCTTTCGAACGTTTTTACTCAGATAGATGAAATATCTCAATTTTTCTTGAATAAAAATTAATTTTGAAAATAAATAAAATAAAACACGACTTTCTTTTTTCGTTTTTTTTTTTTTTTTTTTTTTTTTTTTCTTAAGGAATAGGATTCAAATACATAACAAAATAGACATGCTTAAATATGCACGGATTAGGCGCACAGGTTTCGGTTCATTCTATTGGCAAATTAAAAAAAAAAAAAAAAAAACAAATATAATAAGACCCATGGTACAATAAGAAGGTAGGGCAGAGCAACCAGCAGGTTATAATCTTTTTCTTAGTTTGCCCGACCGCTGCCAATTTTGTGTGTGTATTTTTGGTTTTGAAAAATAATAAAAAAAATAATTTCGTGAGTGTGATGCCAAGGAATGGAAAGGATATCAAAAAATATTTGAATTTAAAGTTATTCTTAAAGGTAGGATATGGTTGGTGGTATAGAAATTATATGATAAGACCCAAATATACAATAGGATGTTACGACATAACCACCTACTCGGATTCAAATTTAAGGATAAAATAAAATCATGATATTGGTAAGCGATCAGCGTATTGCAAAGCTGTCATTTTCGTTTGAAAAACATTGCTCACTGCAATAGAGACTGCATATGATTTCCTACAACTAAATGTGTATACTCGTAGACAACTAATAGATGTTTACCTGAAGAGGATATAGATACACATTTTCGACATGGTAAAAAGCCAAAAATGCAGAGCTACGTCGCAATTCTCATATGAAATGATGTACAAATTGTATATATAACACCTGTATAATAATGTTATATACACCTTACAATTTATATAATTAAATTCTGGAAACAATGTCGAGGAAATCGTTTTTAAAAATTTGATTCATTGAAAGTTACTGACTAGGACAGTATTGTCGTTACATATTCTTTAGAACTGCAGCTTAGTGGGATATGTAACGAGTGAAGGATACCATTAGGATTTTTACTAACACGGGAATTGCGGTAATGAAAGGTATACTTCGTTGGCATAAGGGGGCTATCATTAAAAATAATTTTACTAATTTGCGATAGACATTCTGTACATGTCCACTTGTTCCAGCAATACCGCGGCTATCTTGGACCAAATCGTTTGTGCTTTCATCCAAATTCAGAAGATTGTATGTTCGATATTCCCCACTTGCTGCTAACTTATTAAATTACTTTTTAGACAATCAGGTTGGCCAAACAGATGTCGCTTCTCCCGCACTAATTTTCAAAATATTTGTTTCTCAAAACGATTTGGATGCTAGTAATAAGTCTTGTTCGCGATTGCAAAAAACTCATTTGGCAACAAGCTACTACAAATTGTATTCATACTAAAACAGGCCAATGGATAAAGCGGAAGCTATTTTCAACAGAAACGTGATTGCCGCTGTCGACAGTGATATATTTTTGGAAAACGAGCAAGCAATGGTAGAAGCGACCAAATAATACCAATTTTAGAGCATTGCATTATTGGTTTGAAACGTATCTTTAGTGTTTAGTAACTTTACCTGTTTTTAATACACACATTTATTTTCTAGTTGTAGATGGGGGTTACATAGGAAAGCGAAGCGAATAAAAATTTAATTTGTACACAAAGCCTCTCCTTTCCAAATGTCAACCTCGCCCACACATGGTGACCCCTGTTTTCGCCAAAGAGGCTCTGACGAAAAACTTACTCACGGGTTGCGCCTGGATCCTGTGTGGATTCAGAATTAACAACCAACATGCAGGCTTCGCATGCTTCTTCTTTTTCTTTAGACGTTCCCAACGTATCAAAACTTGTTTTTGACGTCTAGTGACGTTTGGTTTGTCATCACAAAAAACACACACACCAACCCGACACAAGAAGAAAACTTGTTGTGGATTTCATATTAGTTTATCATATTCGTCATAACTTATTAAATTTACAAGAATGGTTGAGATTACGTTGGAAACTGTAAAGCTGCACAACAAACCAAGTGACCTCTGGGTAGTAATAGAAAACAAAGTTTATGATTTGACCAAATTTCGGGGCGAAGTAAGATGAAACGGTGTTTTATTCTAAACCTCTTACGATAAAATGTACCTTGTGATTTTCTATTAGCATCCAGGCGGAGAGGAGACACTTGACGAAGTAGCGGGACGGGATGCAACAAAGGATTTTATCGACGTTGGCCATAGCCAGGAGGCAAGGTGGGATCGATATTTGGTCACTTAATAGATTGGTATGTTTATTTTCTTTTTAATTTTTAACCATTAAAGGGAAATTATGAAGAAGTACTATGTTGGCGATTTGGCAGCCAAGGATTGCAAAGGCAAACTGCCGCTCAGGTAACTAAAAATGGCCGCATATGGAACGTGCATGCTTTATCTTCTTTTCCAAAGTCTTACATAACTCTGGCATTCATTCTCAAAAAATCCATTACGCACTGCTAATATTTAATCTAGCTGTCAATATAGGTACACTGTTCCTCACCAATTCAATGTATTCCCATTAATGAAAAAAGTATGGCCCATTTTGGGTCTCGGCGTTATGTCCGAGTCATTTGTTCCCATTTCTTTGTTCATTGTAAATCGTTTGCTAATCCATCCATACATACTTTTTGTTAGTTGTAGATACTTTTACGCCGCAAGAAAAATTAAATACTTCAAATCAAGCAAATGAGAAATATTCCATGTACCTACAAATATGTCAAATAAGTACATATCTATCAACAAGTAAGTTTCGATGCGAATTAAGTCATTTCATTTTTGATCGCACCGTTTTTTCCTCATGGGTTATCGTTTATTCAATTTGTCCTAAGATTCAATTAGAATTCTAATGCACCATATGATAAGTTTGACATCTGACTAAATTTATCACATGTCTTCACAGGGAAATCGGAATATGCCTTGCGTCAGTGGTAATTGGAGCGGTTGCCGTGCTTTTGGTGAAAAAAGTTTTAGCTAAGAACTAACGTGATGCTGTGAAATTGAGACCGTCATTCCTACCGTTTAAAATGTGTTACCTTGTGTGAAATAAAATGAAAATAATTTTAAAGTATGTGTTTTATTATGGCTGTATATATACAAGTATTTTACTAGTGACCCTTATTCTACAGAAGTGAAAAATCCCCACACCATAAACTTAATTATTTAAATGAATTTAATCTTTAAATGCTTCGTTCAATGCCGATAGATTGCGGTCGGTCACATGACCTTGTAAATCGTTGCGACCCATTAGGGAAATGACCATTTTTAATGTACTCCATATGGACTCTGACATTTGTTGCCCAGTTCCTAGGGCGCCTGCAGCCAGTTCTCGACTTGCGGCCACATTTGCCTGCATATTTAGTGCTGTTAGCAAGTGCTCACAAGCTTGCTTGTAGGCCTTTAAGTTTAAACAGCAAACTCCGACGTTGTAACGGACTCGGATAAAACCGGGCTCTAGTTCCAGTGCTCTTTGATAGGCTTCTACGGCTTCGACCGATCGAGATCCATTAGCTAAGCTGGCGCCCAAGCGGTTCCAAACCTTGGCGTTCTGTGGGTCAACCTGCAGTGCAGCGCTGAAGCAGTCAGCAGCTTTGTCGTATTCGGCTGAGAGGTTGTAAAGTACACCCAAAGCTTCCTGCACTTCAGGATCAACATCCTGTGGGTTCATACGAACAGCTTCCAAAAACATATCTTGCACTTCCTGCAGTCTATTACCTCTAATCAAAGACGATGCCAGCGTTGCAGCCGTGTCAGCAGCAGTTTCAGCATTTGAAGACGTTGCCAGGTGCCCGTATTTCGGATTGTTCTCCAGCCATGTGGTTAACATTTTTAGAGCTTGTGACTGCAAACTTTCATTTGTATAGCAGACGGCTAAGGCCATCAGAACTTTCTGATTATTCGGTTTTAAATCCAAAGATTTCTTGAGGGCGGCTATTCCTTGGGGGTCCATTTCATTTTCTGCTTGACTAATGCCCAAATACTCCCATGCATCGGCGTTTTCGGGGTCTTTACTTACAGCTACCTCAAAACATAAAACAGCGCTGGGGATATCTCCTTTTGCCAGATATTCTTTTCCTTTTTCCAGAGGATTGTGCACATCTTGCATTGGATTTTCTTCCGCAAACTTATATTCCTTATATGGGTCGTAGGTCTCATCGAATTCCGAAAGCCAAGGATGATCCGATTCCTCCGATATTTTGGCCCATTCGTCTTGAAGACGCTGCCAAAATTTTTCATTGTAGTTCGCTGCTGCCTGCTCATTACTTTCATTGCTTGCTTTGTAATCATTTACCCAATCTTCACTCTGCACATTTGTAGAATGACCTAACGCATCCAATGCTCCAGCTTCTTCAAAAAATTTGTCCGTTAATCCCGTCTGGTCTGAGTGACCAACATCTGTTAGAGGAGCATACATTGGCATGTATGGAGCGTGTCGATTTAGAAAGGATGCTGAGGTACCAGGAGCTTCGTCAAAAAAATCTTTGACATGACCTTGTTGATGACGAGCCATTTGATTGGTAAATCCACTGGCAAACTCCTTTGACCACTGACCAACCACTTCATCAATTACCCGTGGTGCTGCTTGTGGCTGGCAGTTAGCCTGCTCTATTTCCCGCATTTCTTGCAACAGGGTCTCCATCTGAAATGATTGTGGCGGTGCAGATACTTGTCCCAAAAATTCATTCACCATTTGTTCATCCGGACGCATGCTACGTTCAAATATGCTTCCCTGTGAGAAACCTTCATCTTTGCGGGCGACGTCGCGTGTAAACTCTCCGCCTAACTGCATGAGAGGATTAACTCCGCCACAGTCTCCTTCTACCAATTGCCTCAACGACATGTTTGAGTTTCCCGCACTTCAATTTACTAAAACTCCTTCGATTCTACCAGTAATGTTGATAACAAGAATTGAAAACCAAGACCTCAAGTCTAAAGTACAACCGACAACAACAGTGAAACAATAAAGGAGAGCTAACTGATTGCAAAGTCTGGTCGGAAATTGTCGACGCCGTTGAAAAGAAACGAGGAACATAGCGGGAATGAGTGATAAAAGATAAAAATTAAAACAAACATGACAATGGAAGCTATGTACATTGAAATGATAGCTATGTCATAGACAAACGAAGGCCCGTTCTTATATATTTTCTTTATAGTCCAGTTTTGTTATTCTTTACTTAAGAAAAGTAAAGGGTATCTTCTTAATTTTATTTGTAGGGTGTAGGGTGTTATACTCTCTTAAGTGAGTAATAAAATAGTATTTTTTTTTAAATCGATTCTGCTGCACTTTTTCACTGCCTTACTAGACTTTTGTTTAATTGGTGATGGTGAATCGTGGTGTAGGATTCGAGTTGTTAGTGAATTTGTAAAATAAACTATTAGGATCAATCTGTTAATTGTTAAGTTTTAATAAAACATTGAATTTGTATAATATTAGGGTAGTGTATGTAGATATAAGTCCCTGTGGGCTTTATATTTCACTGCAAGGTAAATAAATGAAACGAAATTTCACATTATCGAGTGTCCATTATTTCATCTTTCCTTTGAAATAAATGCATTTTTTCAGATATATGGTCAACTTTTTGTAAAAAAAATGAATATATAGAGGAAGAAAGCTTTCAATATCGGTTGCTAACAGATGTCTCAAAAATAGTTTTTCACTCATACCATAGACTAATACAATATATGAAACAACATAGACGACAATGATGTTAGTCAATGCTATAAACCCTGATTTTCAGAAAGAAATTACCAGTCCAGACTTCAAAAGTTTGATCCTGCGAACAACATTTAATCATGGGCGGGGTTTAGAATTTTTTTATTTATTTTTTTTTTATTTTTGTATACAATCATTCACTCTTTGTGTGGGAAAATACCTCGGCTACTGACGCCTCTTCATTTTCAAGCCAAAATTTATATTTCATGTTCACAATAAATTTTCTTTGATGGCCACACAATAGACATTGATTTATTACTTTTGATTGTTCATCGATAGATTCCTTATTCGCCACGTTGGATTTCTTTATATGTAGTTCACTGGTTGTTCCTGGCTCTTGAGCCAACGAACAGCGCTTGCAAAATGTCCTTTTCAAATTTGGTTCCCTAGAAAAATGTTTTGAATATGATGAATTCGCTTATTGTGAGGGCACAGGTGTACTCAGAGTCACTTAAGTGTTAATGTTAGAAAAATACCAGATACGTACATTTTGAGCACCGACTTCTTCGCAATGTTCTTACACAATTCACCATAATACGCCGATAGAGAGTTATTTTTTCCTGCCATCAGAGTCGAGGCTTGATATAAAAAATTCATTCGGCTAAACGATTCTTTGCCTTGAAATTTCTGGATTCTCTTGGCCTGGGACATTTCAATGCTTTTTATTTGTTTATCTGAGCTTCTTCGTTTACTGTAATGCAGGCATACAAGTCGCAATGATAGCATGCAGAGGCGAGGTGTACTTAATAAGGCATATTTACTTAGGAAACTTTGTTCTCATTTTTTCTTCCAAAACAAAATCTTTACATGATATCCAAACTTCCAACTTATGATTATTATTTTTTTTTTGTAATTATTCATAATTTCTAATATTGTCTTTTTAATGTTAGTGTTATATTTTTTATTGTATCTCCAATACATGCGTAATGTATGGAGATGATTTCTATGTATTGATTCTGAAATAAATAAATAAATGCCAACCATGGTACAATAATTTTTTAAATTTTGTCATGAAACCAATGATGAAAGGTTGCTCGACTTCAAAAAAACCATGGTACAACAAAAAGGTAAGGTAGAGCTACAAGCTGATTACAATTTTTTTCTGAGTGTGCCCGACTTCTGGCAATTTTATGTATGTATTTATTGTTTTGAAAAATAAAAACAAATATTCTCAGAGCAAATCTCAGAGCTGTATTTTTATAGTTTTATGAAGCTTTTCTACCTCCATATTGTACCATGAAAAAAACTAGAAAAATGCAACTCTGTGCTGGAGTCTTATAGTGTCAAATAGACTTTCAAGTATGCAACAGTTGGTTTGGTTTGTTTTTCATTTTTTTTTTTTTAACAAAAGTCAAATTCTTACATATTCAACAATTTTGTACATATGTGTATGTATTGTTTTGAATAATATTCAAAAATATTTTGAAAAAAGATCAAATTGTTGAAATTCAAATTTACAACTTTTGGGGACAATAAATATTGCCATATATCGTGTGATACATGGTCGCCATTTCAGTTGTGAAATACACGAGGAATGTATATTTGTTTTCGACCATATCACTGTGGTAATATATTATAATCAGGTGTCTGTTTTTTATGCATTAAAATTTGACAAGGTAAATTACAGAAAATGCAGAGCTGGGAATGCTAATTTGAAATATGTTTACCTTTATTTCATTATACCATGGTTGTACCCATGGTACAATAAAAAGGTAAGGTAGAGCTACCAGCTGATTAGAATTTTTTTCTAAGTGTGCCCGACTTCTGCCAATTTTATGTATGTATTTATTGTTTTGAAAAATCATTGAATTTGAAACTCTTCGAATCATTGAATTTGAAACTATATTGTTTTTTAAGTGTTTGTTTTCTCTTTCGAGACGAGCTTAGTCATCTGAAATTTGCAGTGAAGAGAAAAGCCAGATAGGCACTATCACACACTCACCACTATGCGACGCGTTTCGCCGTTAGTTAAGCGGCTCATCAGGCATATTTTGTGTGGATGATGGCTTACAAGGGTCGTTCTCTGGAAAGTAGTATTTATTTCGGACCTATTGCGATTAAGCATATGTGAATTAAACACCAGAAACCCTCCAAGTTTGGCTCAAGTTCAATTAGCAACATTCTTTTCTCACAGAAAAAAACATCGACATTATAATTAAAACTAACTATTTTGCAACAACAAAATACTACAGTATCCCAAACAAACATGCCAAAACTGTTCTATGTCTGGTTATCATTCCTGCAGGAATTGAGAATTTATAAACTTCTCATTTCCAATCGCTCTTATTTCAAAAACATTTGTGTTAGAAGACGTCCAGTAACTATTTGCCATTATTGTTAAATATTTTAGAGTAACCAGACAGACCTATAACACCGTGACACAACTCAACTAAACTGACGCAATTGACTTTTGACCAAAACTGATAGTGTGTTCTCCGCTTAAGTTCGATTGAATAACTGCGTGCCGAATAATATATCCCTATGGCGCCTCAATATTCGGCTTATACATCCCTTATGCACGTGTAAACAAACATTTGAGTTTCCTTGGGCAGAGCATCTTGGGAATAAATCCTGTCGCAATATATATAAGACTACTAGAGCAATGGGAGGCCAAGGAAAGGTTATAAGGAAGAAACGAAAGTTCCAAGGCCATAAGGAGGATGACCCGGAATTCGATTTGGCCAAAAAACACTTAAAAACTTCACATGTACGATCCATGGAAAAGAGGCTAATAATTGTGCTCGAAGGCGCGCAGTTGGAAACAGTTAAGGTAAATAGGACAAATTCTTTATTAAACGCATTGATGGTAATACTGTATACAACTTCTTTTCTAGGTGGGCAACACTTTTGAATTATTAAACTGCGACGACCATGCCAACATAATGCGCAAAAACAACCGAGACCCTGGCTCCTGCAGACCAGATATTACACATCAGTGCCTATTAATGCTTTTTGACTCTCCCTTGAATCGTGCCGGGCTATTACAGGTTTACATAAGGACAGAAAAGAATGTACTTATTGAAATAAATCCCCAGACAAGAATTCCCAGGACGTTTAAAAGATTTGCCGGTTTGATGGTGCAATTGCTTCACAAATTTTCCGTCCGGGCCAATGATACTTCTACCAAGTTAATGAAGGTCATTAAGAATCCTATCACCGACCACTTGCCCGTGGGCTGTAAGAAGTACGCAATGTCTTTTTCGGGAAAACTGCTGTCAAATATACGGGACATAGTGCCAAAGAAGAATGAGGAAGGTGAAGAAGAGGAGCCAATTGTTTTAGTTGTAGGTGCATTTGCTCATGGTGTCCTAAAGAGTGATTACACAGAAGGATTATTTTCCATTAGCAACTACCCACTCTCTGGGGCTATAGCATGTTGCAAGCTGTGTTCAGCATTCGAAGAAGTTTGGGGCATAGTGTAGTAAAACTTGATGAAATAAAGTCTTTAAACAAAGTTGACCATATCTGATTTCAATTTAGTTCTTTAACATTTTTCAAATCATACTATCGCGTATCTGTAAGGGAAAACAATTCAATTTGTGGAATAAAGTTTTCAAGATTTACTCTCAATTTCAAAATAAAGAACTCCAGTTTTGAAATATAATAAATAGCCAAAACGGGTCGAAATGTTCCCATCACATTCCTGTATGCGTCATACAAGCTATCTGTAAGGGAAACTAATTCGATTTGTGGAATAAAGTTTTCAAGATTTACTCTCAATTTCAAAATAAAGAACTCCAGTTTTGAGATATAATAAATAGACAAAACGAGTCGAAATATTCCCATCACATACCTGTATGCTTTTTTATTTTCTGATGTTAATTGTATTGCCTTCTACAAATAAATGTCTATGTAACTATTTTTATCGAGTTGTTGCACAAACTTTATGTCACCTGCAATAATTTACTATAATTCATAGTCCAATTGAATGTACTGCTTCCAAAAAATATTAAGAACGCAAATTTCCCCACATGTATCCCATCTGTGTCAAGATGCATTATTCCTACGAAAATCACCCAGTATTCCTTAAAAGACTATTAACCAATCGTAACATTAATTGACAATGCCCTAAACGGTAATAATTGTATTTGACAGTGTAGCGATATGTATTTACGTTAAGCCGCAAATTAATATGTATACATCTGAAATTTGTTGAATCAAAATTATTTATATTTTAAATATAATAAAAAAAAACATTGCAAGAGCTTGTTATTATGACAAAAGGTCACCTAGAGCAATCGATTAGAAGATTCTGAAGCGTCAGCCAACTGTTTTAACTATGCCTTGGTGTTCTTCTTTTCTTCAGCGAGCTTCTTTTCTGCTTCCCGTTTTGCCGCTGCATCGGCTCTTTGCTGTCGTATAAGAGCCAGACGGGCCAAATCAGCTTTAGCTTGGGCAGTCTTTCCTTCGGCATGAAGTTTTTCGTAGCGAAGGCGGGCCTTTTGTTTTTCAATTTGTTCCCTCTCTCGTCTAGATAGCTCCGGCTTAGGTGGCGGATCGCTAACATTTAATTTTGCAACTTTCTGCGTTGCCTTCTTTACGGCACGATTTGGGTTCTCAATCTCGATTAAGCTAGCAACACCCTTCTTAGCATCGCGGTCTTCTTCCTCGGAATCCTCTTCCGATTCTGATGATGATGGCATGGTGCCAGGTGCAACTTTTTTTACCCTTCCGCTACTTCCGCCCGCTTGATCTTGATCCTCCTCCTCATCCTCACCACTGCTGGAACTTTCCTCTTCACTTTCCTGTTGCTGCATTTCTTCGGGCGAGGTGAAGTGGCGACTTCTGCCCTTATGGTTAACATATTTTCCACGTGGCATCTTAATGTGTGAAACTAATAAAATATGATTTTATTTTCGTAAATGCCTTAATGACGAGCTGAACTGCGTACGAAATTAACTTTGGATACTATGTTGTAGGGTTGAACAGATCGAAAATCTAAACTTTCAAGGTTTCTATAGATTGGAAAGAAGATATATATGGGGTCTTAAAATCGTAAACGATCCCATGTTTTGTTTGTGCTATGAATGATAGGATTTTCGGCGACAATGCAAAACTATTTAACAACCGCTAAAACGTTGATTTTGTTTAACGTTTTATTTTCCTTTTTTTTGCTAAACTTTCTCTGTTGAACTAAAGGTGGGAATACAAAAGCAGATTGGCATTCGATTGCGAATCTGTCATTCGTTTTTACAGTGTCACTTAATATGCCACGCGGCGGTGTTAAGCTGCTTGTGTATACGCACTTTAAATCCTCAAACAAGATCAACGTCAAAAGTTGAAATTTGCGTTGTTCCTTTTCAATCTAGTAAATGTTGCAAAAGTTGTAAAGCGTAAACAAGGCAAACGATTTGAATAAAAAGTTGCCAAAGTTAAAAATGGAGAACTTCATGTCATACACAACATCAGAGTCAACAGCCATTTTCGTTCTGTTGTCGTTTCTTGGCAACGATAACCGATTTTTTCTTTATAATATCGAAAAAATGCAAAACCAGGTTCTGTACAAAATATACTAGCAAAAAAATATATATTTTGCAATTCATTCGATTATCGTAGTAACATTTTTGCACTTCTTATAGAAACAGAATCAAGTTCCAAGACATGACGCAACGCATTTATTGAGTTGTCTCTTAAACGTTTAAGCTTCCCACAGTATTCTTGATTCCGGCTTTCCATAATATTCGTAACTGATGAGGTTCTTGGATTCTGTTTCCCCCTCAAATTCACACCACACAAATTCGAACTAAAAACACACTACGTTTGTCTCGTTTGCTCCCGTGCACATAAAACAAAGTGAAAATGGTGGAAATATTTTCGCACTAAATAATATTAAACAATGAAAAATCCTTTTTCCCATTAAATTTTACGTGGACAATGGCCCGTATATGTAGGGTTGTGAGCTAAAGTTAAATTTAATCGAAAAAGTGCACGAGAACTTAAATGCGTAATCAAGTGAGAACGTGACGAAATTTACAAGTAATTAACCCCCTTACCATACCCTATCAATATGCCAGACCACAGAAAATTTCGGGAAAAATGGCAACGACCAAACTGTGAATGTATGACTTAATATGTGGTCTAAATGGAGTCGATCCCATGAAATTCTCGCAGCAAATTAAACATGGGCTCATTTCTGGAATTATTTTTTGTAGATTTTCATTTTCATGTTTTCTTCATTCGAGCCATTTTGTTATTCATTTAGTACATATAGCGTTTAGTACAAACACGTAGAACTCTTTGCTTCTCCCTTTTCGAAATCAATGTACACACTGCGTTCGTCTCGCTCACTCTCGTGTCTACATGTGCGTAGTGTCCGTTGTGCGAGAATGCAATAACCATAGTGGTATATTTTTTCCTTACCCTATTTTACTCGTGAGTAATTCGACGACAAATGTATATTTGGTTGAAACCCGCGTTCTTTCGGTCGGGTGCGCGTACGTTGTGCAGAAAATTTGTTAAATATAGTGTTTAAAGCCATTGCAATTGAATAAAAATACTACAAAAATATAATTTAATGTATGCTTCAAGAATATTGAGTGAAATTTTATGAATGCCTTTTGAATTAATGATCGGAAATTGTGTATGAAAAAAGTGAGACTCCGCTGGGCAACAGCACTGTATACAGAGAAACTACCCGAACAAACAACGAGAAACGGCAGAAACAACAGAAAACACTACGAGCGAACAATACCAAAAGCAATTAACAGATGAAGATGTGGAAAGAAATGTGAATAAAAACGTAAGAAGAATAGGAGTACGAAATACAAAAATTTTCACTATTCAATCTCGCTCGCGTGTATATGCGAATTGGTTGGTGACAGAAAAAAAAGCGACAAAAGGAAAAATTGCTGTTGCCAGTGTGCGTTCGTCTATTTGTATCAACGAAGAAGGAACGGTATAGGTGCTAAGTTTTAATAAAACCAGTTTCTCGACTGTTGTTGCCCGCGGGAGTTAATTCTAGTAATAAAACAAATTATCAAGGATTATAAGTGAATATGTTTGCATTCTTTAGATTCTAATCATAAATACATGCAACCAAACAAAACCAACTAACAGAGGTATATAAATAAATAAATCAAAAAAAGAAAACAAATTTAGCAATTAAAAAAAAGTGAAAAAGCAGCATTTTGTAAAGGATTTCAAAGAATGTAATTTTCAAGTATTAAACATCCCCATGAATTTACATTGAAATGGTAAATATATGTATATATACATTTTCTATGATTACTCCATGTTTGTGTTTATTTTGTCGATTCAGATAAATTGGTTTTTACAAGCATTGGCTTGTATAAAATTGTTTGTTGTGCTTCCCCAGATTTCGATAGAATTGTTGGTGTTCCACAATATCATATCAATAGAACGTTTAATAAATGGACTTAATTTTGACCTATAAAATGCAACTCTGTTTACTGTCAAAACCTGGCGTCCTAGAAAGAAAGGTTTACCGAATCTTGTCACTTGTCTAGAGGCGCACGCAAAATACGAAGTCGGCGTTAGAAGTTTTGTTAGTCAAATGCAATTGATAACATTAGTATAATCCTTGATAAGTGAACATGCATTGAAATAAATTAACTGTTTGTGAGAGAGATTGTAAGAAATGCCTCATATAGGCAATTTGTGGAAAAGAATGTGGTGAGTTTATAGAGCTATCGTGCAATCTGGAAATTTGTTCACGAAATTGTATTTTGTATATAGGCCTTAGATAATTTTGCCTTTATATACAATAATCACCACTCGTACCGAGTGACGACGTCGAAATAAAGTGTAGTGGCGGCTGCATTGTTCCGCACCGCCGTCATAACACGGCTTGGTTGTTTTTTTTCTTTTGGTCTAACACATTACGTCTCTTTCGTTTGTACTAAAAATCTACCGCCATTTTTTTCTTTCGAGAGTGAAAGAGACTTCTTCAAATTTGCTTCCAACCAGATATCCAGCCCATTCGCGCATTATTTTTGTATTTTTATTGTACATCATCACGTCGTTGTAGTCTTTTGCCGATGTTGGTGAGAGCGCACAAAGAAAACTTCTTCATTTTTATAATTCTTAATTTTCATTTACATTGTTCATGTGAAATAAATACTGTAAAAGCATCATTGTAAGCTCGAACAGTATTTAAATATTCTAGCCATGACGACTATTTTCTACAATCCTTCCGTTTTGTTGTGTTTTCTTCGTCTGATTGGTTTTGTTTTGTACGCAGCGAAGTTCCCCTACGCTGCTACTCGGCTGTCCTCAGTCTTCACACTTTTCCGCTACCACTTCATTCATCCATTCAGTAATTCTCTTTCTATGCCCATCATTCACTCTCGTCGATAACTCCACATACACAGAAAGACAACGAAATGGACATCGTATCGGATAATTCTTCCGAGTTTTCACCACAATGTCTACTGTACTATATTCGCCAGATATGTTTCTGCTGCTCATCTGCTGCAGAGTGCGTCGTTGTGAACTGATAAATGTGCTGTGTTGGGTATATGCGTTAGAAAAGGACAACAGCATTCAGGACGAATTTGAAAAGAAATGATTTTTCTGTATTGTGTATCAAAAGATACAAGTTTTGAAAGAATATCAAAATAATCAGGTAAACATTTTGTCTATCCAATACTTTCTTTTGCTGCTACATGCCATCCGAACATTGAAACAGGTGTTTTGATCGTTGGACGTTTGTGTATTTGTTTATTTTAGTGCCACTTGGAATAAAATAAATACTCGTCCTGTGACCAATACCTAACGTAGAATATGCCTCATCTAAAGAGAAAATTAAATGTAAATCCCCCAGATATTGACCTATCAAAATCCTCCCCTACGTTCATTAGCAAAGCATATGCAAGGGAATCCGAATACTCAATATAATTATAAAACCTACAATCCTAAATGAAAAAGTTTCATGAATTATGTTTTAAACGAAAGCATTGCATTGCTTACAAACATTTTTGAGGATTTAAGGAAGATCCATCAATAAAAACAGAGTACGTCATTAAAATGTCCTTTTTTTAATAGGATGGTAGATCAGTTATAGATAGCATGCATTGATTCTTTGTTTATAACAGAAGTCCTTATTAAGTTTCACTTTGACCATCGTAAATGTTTTCCACTGATAAAATTATTTTACTTTTCAGTATATCACCTTAATACCAAGGCCGTAAGACTTTAATACCTATGTACATACTGACGTCTCCTTAGTGAAAGCTTCTAAATAAATACCATTTGTTGTTACAAGTCATAAGATATACCTATCAGAAGACACAAAACAATTCCAAGTCAAGATTTGCTACGAACAGGTACTCCGAGACATTGCACGAGATATAGTAATCAGAAAAAACCTAGACGCAAGCACAATGTCCAAAAAACTAAGCTGACTTCCGATTTATTAGCAGTAGATGTATGGTAAGTATGAAAAATGTCCTTAGCAGAGTTTAGCAATTCCAATAAGCAGTATTCCTACTCCTCGCTGCCTACGGTCATTAATATGTATGTATATTTTTTTTATTTCTGTTAGTCATTTTTGCCGTAAAATGCAGCCTCCAACAACAGAGTCAGACAAAGCACAGAAGCAGCATTATATGGCCAAAGATCATCTTACTTCAGATATGCCCAGCATGATATACAAATTGCTCTATCAAAATAATTCCAGACCACTTCAACGGATTTGAAAACGCAAGATTTGCAAGACACAGTAAACATAAACAACATTTCTTAATAACAAAGAATTAAATATTATATATATATAAGTGTGACAAGTGACTATAAGGAAGGATTTGTCAACGAATTAGGAGGGAAGGAAGGAGGGTTCTAACCCCGATTACCAGTCAGTCCAAAAACAACACTAGATAAGTGTTTTTTCCACATCCACAGAATAATATATAAATCAAATGGCTCCTCCTTTCTCACGTTAAAGACAGATTATTACAGAAAAAGCACAAACGAACTTTGTATAGAAATTACAAACAGACCAAAACTGCATCACACCTTCGCTGGAAATAATTTTCTTTGACAACGGAAACAGAGGAGATTAAAGCCAACAAAATGTCACAAGAACCACCGCCCCGTATTGAACCCTACGTGGAACCGGTCAACGGTGTAGTGCAGCCTCCAATTGTGCCGCCACCTGACCGACCTGGCCGTAATACAAACCAACTACAGTATCTCATGAAGACGGTTATGAAAACCATTTGGAAACATCACTTTGCTTGGCCTTTCCAGCAGCCGGTCGACGCCAAAAAGCTAAACCTACCCGACTATCACAAGATCATTAAACAGCCCATGGACTTGGGGACAGTGAAAAAACGACTGGAAAACAATTACTATTGGTCGGCTAAAGAAGCCATACAGGACTTCAACACAATGTTTACCAATTGCTATGTTTACAATAAGCCTGGCGAAGACGTAGTTGTTATGGCCCAGACGTTGGAGAAAGTGTTCTTGCAAAAACTCGAAGGCATGGCAAAGGAGGAAATTGAATTAGAGCCTGTCACCCCAAAAGGTGGCGGTAAGAAGAAAGCCAGACCATCATCTGCTAAGCCAGCGTCGACAAACGCATCGCTGCATGGGGCTTCGACAACACCGTCTGGTGCTGCGTCTAGGGCTACGGGTGGAGCCAGTGGGCGGCCGCTTTCGGCGATGGGCGGAACTGTTTCTTCGTCTGGAGGAACACCAGGGTCTACGACTGGCATACCACCTATTTCCACAATCCCTCCCCAGACAGTACCGGGAAGTACGAACACGACTACTACCGCATTAGCGGGCGGAGCAGCTAGTACATTGCTGCCGGGAGCAAGTATCCTCCCAGCTAGTGGTGTAGCTAGCCATGTTTCACTGGTGGGGTCAGGCGTTGGATCGGGTGCCGTTGCTGGTGCAGTTGGCGTTAATTCCATTGATGGCAGTGCCGCCGGAGGTATTGGAGCGAACCCAACGGCCATTGCTAATACCGCGGCACCTGTACCTGCGTATCATGTAAATAGTACAGCAGCAGGCGTTGAAACTGTAATACCACCTCAGCAACCGGCTAAAATGAAGAAAGGAGTGAAAAGAAAGGCTGACACCACCACGCCCACCGCGAATGCATTTGAATCGCCCTATGCACAAATTGAATCCAAAAGTGCAAAAATCGCAACGAGGCGTGAGTCCAATCGGCAGGTAGGCAAAAAGGTAGGCAAACGTGTTGGAGCATGATGTGCGTACACAATTACGTACATTTAAAATACATACCTACATAAATAAATATACTTGAATATAGACACACAGTAGCCAATCACATACTTTTGCATATCATCACTTAATCGATCTGGTCCGCTCGCCATGAGCTATGTTCTTGGCAGCCAAGTTGGCGGTAAAATAATGTATACACTCTGGTTATTTTATTTCCAACTCGGCGTATGCCCTGATCTTTCATACATGTATATGTCATTTCCAATTGATTTATTCATTTTGAACATCATGCTTTCACCACACACGCTGCAACGCCTAATTTCTTTCATCCAAAATTAAATCATGCATGCTTTTCCCCCTCCATAACAACATGATAGCAACAATGGAGAGATATGTAGTTATAATCCATGTACTGTAATTTGTCTTCCACAGGACGCTGGTTACCCCATGTCACCGATGGGTGTTGGTGGGGTTCCTGGTGTAGCAGGAGGCGCCGTCGGCGTTCCAGGATCGGCGAAGTCAAAGGAGAAACTGTCAGATGCCTTGAAATCCTGTAATGAGATTCTCAAAGAGCTCTTTTCGAAGAAACATTCGGGCTACGCCTGGCCCTTCTATAAGCCAGTCGATGCCGAACTATTGGGGCTGCACGATTATCACGATATTATCAAAAAACCAATGGATTTGGGTACGGTTAAGGGGAAAATGGACAATCGGGAGTATAAAAGTGCACCTGAGTTCGCAGCTGATGTGCGATTAATATTCACCAATTGTTACAAGTACAATCCCCCAGATCATGATGTCGTCGCTATGGGCCGCAAACTTCAAGACGTCTTCGAGATGCGTTACGCTAATATACCGGATGAACCGGTGGCCAATGCTCATGCAGCTGCCGTAGCAGCAGCAGCGCATCACGGCTATGGCAAACATGATGCATCTGAATCATCTTCCGACGAGTCGTCAGACAGCGAAAATGAGTCCAACTCCGATGAAGAGCGTAATGCGAGGTTGAAGATGTTGGAAACAAAACTTCGCGACTTGCACGAGGAGATGAGAAAACTAATGGAGGAGGCCTCCAACAAAAAGAAGGCTAAGAAGAAAATGAAAGAAAAGAAGAAGGCTACAGTCAGTGGAGCTATAGGTGCCGGTGGGTTGGTGCCGGCGACGGGTGGTGGTGCATTAGCAACTGGCGGCGCCGGCGCCGCCTCTGGTGTTACCGGTGCCATGCACGGCCATGAAATGTCCTCTGCCATGGCTATGGGTCAAATTGGTACGGGCGGTAAGGGATCCGCTATGACACCGGGAATGACAGGGACATCTGCAGCGACCACAGGAAAAGGTGCTAAGAGTAAAGGGCAACGTGGTCCTAAAGGGGCAAATGCTGGAGGCGGAGCCGGTGGTGCCAGCGTCGCAGCTGGGGGTGCTTCCAAACGTACCAAAGGAAGTGCTGCTTCTGCTGCTGGTGGTGGTGCCAGCACTGGAACTGGAACAAGAGGACCCAATAAAAAGAAACCAAGTACTCAGGCAATGGTGTTTGATTCGGAGGAGGAAGATACCGCCAAACCAATGTCATATGACGAGAAGAGGCAACTGTCTTTGGACATTAACAAACTGCCGGGTAAGTGTTAATGTTTCAGAAACTGCAGAATTAGTTAACTATTCTAAGTGTTACTCCACAGGTGATAAACTAGGACGTGTTGTGCACATAATACAAAACCGAGAACCATCGCTGCGCGACTCAAATCCAGATGAAATAGAAATCGACTTTGAGACCCTGAAGCCCTCTACTCTACGAGAGCTGGAAAGCTATGTCGCGTCTTGTCTACGCAAAAAAACCCGTAAGCCTTACTGTAAGTTTATCCCAATGACACGCACTACTCAAATGTTGCAACTGCGACAAAAAGAACATCATAAACAGCTCTTAAGGAGCTGAAACGAATTTAAGACAAATTTACTTCTTTTGGAAATACAAAAAAAAAAAAAAAAAAAAAAAAAAGAATCTATGCACACCCACACCCCTCAAATCGATACAGTATAAGAGGAACTTTTTTAATTTTATGTTAAAATGACAATTTATTATAAAGAGTTTTTGTTGTTGTTCTTAACGTGCCTCTTTATTTAGTTCCCTCATGCTCGGTCATTTTGATTATACATTTCCAGCAAAGTATAGGATATCATCTATTGCCAATAGTTTTATTTGCACGAGAATGTGATGTCATCGGGCATCTCAATAGTATGTGTGTGTTTTAAGTCTTGTTTTAATTTAAGTTGAAATATCTCGCCAGTACATATTTTCGACCAAAAAATTCTCCGCCAAGATCGGCTAACTAGTGCCAATGCAAACAAATTGAACAGAAACAGAAACCAATAGGCGAAGATGAATGGAAAGTAGTGAACGTGTTAATTGGATGAACTAAAGACAAACTATATATCACTATTATATCTCGATTTGTATCTATAATTTACACTATAATTTTAATCTTATCCTATGTATTTCCACTTGTATGTATACTTTCTTTTCTATTCATACCCTGTAGTACCAAAAGTCTCGTCTGTAAGAGAAGGGAAAGAACATGTTTAATTAATGCAAAATTGAAAATCTGGTGATGGTTTTATAATTTGACTATTGTGCATGATTTTATTTTTCCGTCTAAATTGGATTTAGTTTGTTTTGAAAAGCCTATCAATTAATTTTACATTACAATTGTTTAACAATAACGTGCTATTAGTAAATTTCGATAGAAGAGTCTGATTATATTTGTGTTGTATGTGACGTCAGAAATATTTAAAACTCTGCTTTTCCCTATTCTCTTTTTTCCACAGACAAGAAGCCCTCTGGCAAATCAAAAGATGAACAAATGGCCGAAAAGAAACAGGAATTGGAGAAACGTTTACAAGATGTCACCGGTCAATTAGGTACCAACAAGAAGACAGCCAAAAAAGGTAATTATTTCTCCTGAATACATACGTGTTGTTTTTGTAGTTTGATGACTTGTACACCATAGCCGAAGATCACCTATAATATTCTCCCATGTTAGTTTGCTCTCTGACTATATTCCATTTGCATTTTTCATTTCAGACGAATCATCGAATAAAGTGGAAGCTGTTCAGCCTGCAAATCGCCCATCATCCAGCTCTAGTTCGAGCGATTCATCCTCGTCCAGTTCAAGCGATAGTAGTTCTAGCGATTCGAGTGACAGTGAAGCAGGTTAGGACGCGTTTATTTATTACAAATAATTTTGTTTTATATTATGTTTTATTATTATCATTATTATTACTATTACCATCAAGAATATCGATTTAAACGGAAATGAAACCTACCCTATCTTAATACTATATACCTTAGCCCCTTACCTACCTATCCTATACTAGAGAACAAAACTAAAAACAAGGATGTATCAACAAGTTATCTTAAGCACTAAATTGTTTTAGTGACCGCAATTCCTTTTGTTCAGATACTTTTCTTTTTATGATTTCAACAATAACATCCTCTTTATGGTTGCAAGCATTATACACAACACAACTACTAACAATCGAAAATAGATGTAATAATAGAATATTTGTATTTAAGTCGAGAAATATATATATACTAAAAAATCATCATATATACATAAAATGTATATATATCCAGTTGCATTAAATCCTTTGAAAATTTCAAAAAAACAAAACTTGCGTATAATTTCATGCTTGTCGGGAAAGAGTAGTCGACTCGATTTCAAATTTTCTATTTTCCATCAAGAGATGTCTCTTGCTTGCTTGAATGAACCTTAAAGACCTTGTCCTTAATCATGGTTAGCTTTAGCAATAGCACTATATTGCGTTTTTGTGCGTTCGGTGTTACTTCAAGCAAAGCCTCCTTCAAATAATTTTCATAAACGGGCAAAGTTTTGTGATCATGATCTGTGCACTCAAAGAAAAATGAAAATAACTTCCGTTCAAGGTATTTAAAATAATGTATATTCCTTTTTCTGCATATGTCAATTGGCACGATGTACGAAAGTGTAATAAGTGGGTTGTTTGTTTGTTTCGTTTAAAACACTCTGGAACAAAGTTCCAGTTTTTAAGTGCAATATAATTTTGTTTCCTTCTGTTGTAATCAAAACCACGACGGTTATAGACATTAATGTGGCCAGTGTCGGTCCGGTTTGCTCGCTGTGCGCATGGTTCCATACAGCCGAGTCCGACATGCATAAGTACTTCTTTTTTAGCTCAAAGCGCGAATGGTCACAAAACTTAACTTGCATACGATCATGAAAATAAAATTATTTGGCACTTCTTTCTTCCCCATTAAGTCTGTTTGTTATTTTTTTTTATCCTGATTTTTTTTTTTTTTTTTTTTTTTTGGTGGAAATAGATAGTTCAGTTAACTATCACGAATATCCACTGTATTTTTTGGTATATATGTATGTATCTTCCCGATAATAAAAACGTTTCCTTTGTAAACCATTTTAATACTACTAACTAACGTGGCTAATGCTTGAATCATTAAACTTGTACAACACTAAGTTTTACATATTTATTTCCGAAGTAGAGAGATTTTTTTTATTATCCCTATGCTTATTAATATTATTATTACCAATTATTATTATTTCCTAATATGAATGTGAATTTGAAGAAAATCGTGAAGCAATTGTGTATTGGGGGCAGCCAATCATTCCAAGCAAATAAAAAGCAACATATAGCAGTTGTAAGACAAACTCGAATTGAATCAACACGTCAAAGAAACCATAAAATAAAAGCAGCAGAGCATTGCTACGTTGAGTTTAGATTTTAAAACATAAATTTCAATTGTTCACTTGTTTATTTGGCTAATGAAAATACAACTTTCAAAGTTTTATTTGGAGGTTTCTGATACTGATACTGATACTGACACTGACCTGGCTTTGACGCAAACTCACTTCGGTAAATGCGAAAGAAAATGTCTAACGTACCGTACCGTCAGTGCTAAAACAAAAACGCATGTCCTACTAAAAAAATCAAAAAGTATCTTTTTGCGAAATGTTTGTAATTCAAAGGCCCATGCGTTTTGTAGAGAAAAAAAGAATAAAAATTGTATTCAAAAGAAGCATACTTGCATTGTGAGTTTCCTGGCCTTTTTCTTCGGGGTCGGTCAGTACGTTTGGACAGGTTTCTTCTGTGTCAATGCACAAGTTAGGAATACTTTCTTTCGCATTTGCAGAAGTACGTAACAAACCAAATGGAAAACATACATATGAATACTCCGAGATAACCGGCTGACGAAAAAATAAGGAAACACGTTAAAGTCGCGCGTATTTTACATTTTTGTAAGAGAAGTTCAAGTTACAGATTTCAAAATTGTAAAAATAACTTTACAATTATGATTCGTAGTTTTAATTAAAATTATTGTAGTACACTTGCAGACAATGTGTAAAAAGTGTGTAAAGTTAAAAACAAACAGATTTGCAAAACGATATCCTCCTCCGCCCACGACATGGATAAACAAACACCAATATATGCCTCACTTATACTGTCATGTGTCCAACATATCTTACTTATTAAGAATATAATAATAACTTTAAGAAAATGTCTTCCTTCTTCGGGATTGCAACGACAATGATATGAAAATAATAGCACGCCTGCAAAACAGCAAGCGTAACATTCTTCCTAAACATAGAAGCAAGCGACAAAATGCAGTTCATGTCAGTCTGTTTATTTCTTTTTTAAGTTGCAGCCTAAGTCAGTTTGGATTTATAATTGTACAATGGATCCTATGGATTCAATACCAACCCCACCCCGAATATGTGGCAACACATCCCTCCCTTCATCTATTTTAAAGTCATTGGACTGGCATTTCAATCGCTATATATTCTATAAGTCTCATTCGAATTAAATACATATGATCCCTTCCTCCACCAATCACCCCTCCCCCTTCATTGATGTTTGCCTCGCAACTTGGCAATCCGGTCGAATCGGACTTTTTAAACACCATATTCTTGTGGACCTGTTCCATGGGGTTGGCTTTTCTAATGTAAAACGAGACGCCATCAAAGTCCATTCTTAAATTCCAACTCTACTGCCCTCTATTGTATTGTGGATGGATATATATATGTATATGTATATATGCTTGGTCCTCCCCACATATTTTTAATCATTAACGTATTTTAATTTTATAATATTTTTACTTGTTGTCCTTTGTATATGTTGTGTATCACGAAGAAGTGGAAAATTGGTCCAACCTGTACAAAAATACAACTTAAATCATGAATTTTAGGCAAACTTTAGGTGATTTAAGCGCGCGTCTAAACTTGTTATAGCTGAGCGAGAGTGAAGAGTCGTTCGCTTTTTCCCCAAATGCGGTTAATTTGATAGATTTCGGCTGTCGGCTTTCCCCTTTACACATTGTTTGCACGTTTTTCATTCCTTTTTAACAAGAAACAAATATAAAGTATGAACTAAGAAAATATTATTGTTTACACTGATACTGGAAACAAATGTTAAAGAACGTACAATTTTGAAATTGTAAAATACAAGCATAAAGAACGAGAGTGAAATATGTTATTATTATTGTAAACTTAAGTGTGTACCATCATTTGTGTGTATTTAAATTACGATTACTTTACAGTTTTGCAGCTCTCAGCCTCAGAGAAGAATATATATTATACATTGTAATAGTTAAAATCAGTAAAAGGGAATTAGCGTTGAACTTGAACGTGAACGTCATAAATGTAGTAGCTCTCAAATCCGAATGCTGCGAATGATGCGTTTGTGTCGTTCTAATGCAAGTGCATTGCGGAGATTAACTCCAACATTTCTAATTTACAATCAATCAATCAATCAGTTCATAAGTAATATCGAAAACTTGCAGATATGCACGACGTTTAATAAATATTCACAAACGATCGAATCGCAGACTGTTGAAAGTTATTCTCTCTTGACACGGATAATACGGTCACAATCCGCCTGGACCGCGACGAAGACAAACGACGAAGATAAGGAGTCAAAAAAATACCACGGCCAACCGCCATATTTGGACTCTAAACGCAATATTTCTTGTATACTTTTATTCGTACTGAAGAAAGTACTGTCGAAGACCTTCTGCATTGCATTCACAGTATTCCCGCGGTGGTAAACTGAAAACATTCAATGACATAAAATGCACTATGCAACAACATTTTGCCAAGGCATGCATCATTTATAATAACTAAGTTTAAATTTAAGTGTTATAGAAAGAAAAAAAAAAAAACGATAAACATTAATGAAAAAAAAGTAATACAAATATGTTAAAAACAGACAGCAGACAGACAGACAAACAAACAAGCAAACATGATATCTAAAAGTGTTTAAGAGCATATTAATTTTTAAATTTTATATATAAATATACATACATATTTTTAATGTTAGTTTATTTTCTAACACATTTCAATTGTTGTTTAGCATTAAAATGTAAGGAAAACTCAAACAGAACACCTTGAAATACACATACTATTATTTTTATAATTGATAGTCGGTTACTTTCATGTATTTTTATTTTTCACACATTTATATATAAATATTCAATTCAATTATTATTACAAAATATATTTCTAAATGAGAGCCACACTAAACATTACCAATTCTTGAACTTGAACTTGAACTAACGCCCTCCCTTCGTTCACACAAACCGAAGGAGGTGATCCCCAATAGACACATACATGCATACATACACTTACACACTCGTATATTAGTGGCTGAAACTGAAAAAGAAACCCATAAATCTAAAAAGAAGTAACATTAAATAAATTATAAATCTAAGATGATAGTAATTAAAGAAAATTCACAGAAACAATACAAGAAATAAACGTGTTTTCAATAAAAAAAAAAAAAAACAAATCGCGGCTATTTTTCAATCTTTGACCTAGTCCATTTTCGGTTTTTTTTTGGGAATTCAGTAGGGATGATAGGCTTAAATTATGATGATCGGTCTTATTGTTCAACTGCTCATCGTCGTACTGCTGCTGCTGCTGCTGCTACAACACAATTGCTTCCAGGTTTTCTATAGAAGAAATGATATTTTGTATTTTATTCATTTGTTAAAAACCAACATCAAAGGTATTTACCATTAAGCTATGGAAGTTGACAGCCAACACTCACTTATAATGATTTTTTCATCACAATTTCTAGGCGATGCCGAAGGTCCACCGAAAAAGAAAAAAACCCGCGATTCAAATGGCAGCAATGTAAGTATCCTTCATTGAATTTCTTTTAAATAAGAGTTTGCAAAAAGTTGGCATTCGACAATGGAACGAACTGTCAATTTTCAACAGGGTTGGGACCGCCTGCGACAAAATGTCGCCCGGAAAACACCTTTATCGGCTTTATTAGATGCAGCGAAATAACATAAAATGTTAGAAAATCGATGAAAAACTTAATGGCCAAAGAGAACGAGATATAGTTTTTTTTTTTTTAAATCCTGGTGCTTCAATCTTTGGCATGGTATCTTCAGGCAACCTCTGGTATTAGTCTATACAACGAACGAATTCTAATTAGGCGATCTTAATCAAACCAGAAAATGACAAAGGATTTCAAGATTTTTCGTGATAGTCGGTCTTTCCGCACAAATGAAGCGGGGCGATGAAAATCACCTTTTCTTACGTAGGCTATATCTAATTTGTTCTCTATTTTTGGTCGTACACATAATCAAAACTGTATCCTAGTTGAATTAGCCACTGGCAATTGCAATTTTTTTAATGAATCAATGCACACACACACAGTTTGTTATTGTTGTTGTTGTTGTAGAGAAGCTTTGGCCGACTACCACCCTCACATAAACGGGTCTAGCTAAAACACTTCTAGTGACTAATCTTATTAACGGTTGAACTCGCTATGTCGGTACTTGCATTTGTCATTTAATCACGAGAATCGATCGTTGAAGCCGAGTTTTATGTATGTTACATGTATTGCCACCTTAGGATAGCAGCCCAGCCAATTACTTGGCACTGTACTCAATCAAATCCCCATTTAACAACGAAATTCACTCATATTCTTGTTTGTGGCCATTGTCAATAACATTTTGTAGGTAAATAATACAGTTATAACGACACCAACTAGTGCGAGTGGCGGTGCGGATTCGGCGGCAGCTGCTGGTGCTTCAACAGCAGCAATAGCAGCTGATCCACCTCAAACCTTGAATACTGTGCCGACAGCATCGAGCACGGCTTCAGCAGGAACCATGTCGTCAGTAATAAGTACCCAATCAACGTTAACAGGATCAAGCAGCCAAGCAAGTGCTACTACTACACCACTGGGCGGACTGGGAATGCTGAATAGTGGATCTCTGATGGCCTCAACGAATGTGTCGATTGCAGGGCCGCAACAGCAACATGTTCCCGGAATGAGTAAGTTCTCTCTAGTTGCATGGAGAACTGGCTTCTGTGAGCGTTTAAATGATTAATTCTTTGTTGTTTTCCTTTTTTTTATCATTTTTTTGCCTTCCTCGCTCCGTTCATTCTCCCCCTCCGTTGTTCAATTGTGAATTTGTCTACGTGTGCATGATGCGTTTGTGTAGTGGGCGTAACGACACCAACTTCAATGGGAAGTGCCACAATAATATCAAACAACAACAGTAACAACTCTCTGTCTGCGGCAGCAGCTTTAAATAACAACAACATAAATCCTATTAAGACACCTTCTGTCACACCTACATCAGCAGCGAATCCATCCGTCGTTCCGACAACAGGAACATCATCTACATTAGGCCTATTTAGTAGTGTAAGTTCTGATGTTGGAAGTGCCGGAGGTGGTGTTGGTGGGGCTAACGGCGGTGGCAGCACAAATGGACCAAGTGACTTGACAATGCCGCCAAACTCATCTGTAAGTGTTAACACGGCGACGGCCACGGCTGCGGCACACACCAGCGCACTGAGCAGTGACGGTTGCCCTGTTAGTGCGACAAGTGTGGCCAGCAGTAGCAGCAGTGTTACACACACAAGCAATAGTGCGGGAGGAGGCATTCGCATTGCCAGTAACCTTCACAAATTACCTTCGGACGTTGTCGATACGCCAGCAAGCATAGGTGGCCCCGCAACCACGTCACAGGTGCCATCTTCAGCTTCTCTGGCGACGGGTCTCAAACAAATTCCTCAGTTCGATGACCCTGTCGAGCAGTCACTTGCTTCCCTGGAGCAGCCCTCGTTGTTGGCACAACCCTCCACCAGCAAGAGTGCTGCTGATAATTTCCTAATGGCTGCTGCCGCGGGTATTAATGCGGCTCATTTATTGCAACAGCAATCATCAGTACAACAACAGCAGCCAGTGTTTGGAAGTGGCCAGGCACAATCGCAGCCGAGCCAGGCTCATGGCGGGGGAAACAATCAGCACCACGTCGAATTTATGAATGAATTGCTGTCGAAAGGTGCGGCATCAGCCGCAGAAAACGTTCCGGGAATGAATGGCAACCATTTTCCATTGATGCAATTTGGTCTAATGGAAGGTCTGAATTCCATGATGCAACAACAGTTCCAACAAGCCGTTCAACATCAGCATGCTCATAACAACGGTTACAATATGGGTGATGTGGCAACTTCAAACGCACTCGACAGCCTTGGGATAAGTTTGGGCCTACCGCACGGAGGTGGAGCGGGAGGCGCCTCTATCTTTGACCAGTTACCGGGTCGAAATGATAATCATTTGCTGGCCATGATGATGAGTGGCGGAGCAGCTGGAATGCCTAGCAACTTGTCACTCGGGGGCCCAACCGTTGGAACAACGATATCGGGAATGGGTGGAAAAAAGGATGCTAGCTCCAGTAGCAGTAGCAATGGCGACCAGTCGCAGCAGCATTCATCAAACAAGCTGCTAATAACACCCAAGCCCATCGAATCAATGATGCCTAGTCCCCCCGAGAAGAAAGGCCAACATGCATCCCAGCAGACGATAGGTGGCACAGTGGTGGCTCCACCACTACAGTCGCCATCCGATTTAAAAATACCCTCAACAACAGCTGCAGGTGCAGCTGGCAATCAAGCAATCTTCGCTCCGAATGTAAAGAATCCCAGTTCATGGTCAATACTCGCCGGATCGCCACAGAACACTCCCACCTCGAACAAAACCAAACCAGCCATGGACTCATTCCAGCAATTCCGCAATAAAGCCAAAGAAAAGGCCGACCGTCAAAAACAGCTGGAGGCCGCTGAAAAGGAAAAGGAACAGAAGCGCCAAAAGGAAGCGGCCGAAAAAGAGCAGCAGCGTAAGCAGCATTCAAAACCACCACTGCACATTGTCGGCGGAAGTTCGAATTCCAGCAGCAGCGGCAACGGTAATGGCAGCACCGGTCCAAATAGTCTCTCTGGGTCGCATCATCAATCGGTGAATGTTTCAAGCGGTGTGCAACCGCCACATGCACATGGTGGCAGTGTAGCCAACCCGCATTTAGCTGCATCCATAATCGAATCTATGGAAAGCGGGAGGTAAGTCCGAACAGTGGATTCATTGCATTATAGGGTGGCGCTGATCATGTTTTTCTTCCTAGGAAAAGCGTACACGACATTCAGCCATTATCGCGAGTAGTGGACGATATCAAGGCTTCCCCACAGGGTTGTGGTTCACCTGCGGGCACAGCGCAGCAATCGCCACAAGATCGGGCAGCCGCCAAACGAGCTGAACTGAGACGCATGGAACAAGAACGAAGAAGACGAGAAGCGGTAAGTAGCACCTACCACTCCAGTACCTATGTTAACCTGTTCCAAGCCAATACTCAGTTTAATATTTAAAGAAATGATTCAGAAACAATGCGATTGTTGTATTTTACTAATGGGACTATTTTCCATTCTTTCCAGAGAGCTGGTCAGATTGACATGAATATGCAAAGTGATCTAATGGCAGCATTCGAAGAATCGCTTTAATATATGGCTAAATAACTTCCACATCGGATCCTGTTGAATATATCTCCTCTTTGTTGTCATAAGAAATTAATTTATATACATAACATAAATATATACAGAAACAAGAAAAGAACCCTATATCACAAAAAGGAAATAAAACTTTTAATTACCACAAACCTCTACTAGAAATGCATATTATGTTTATAAATGTAGAACAATTAAGAAAAATGAACAAAACAAAGCCACTCCAAGTTTACAAGAAGAATAAATTATAGAACAGCGCTGGATGGAACCAGCGGCAGTATAACAATCACTATTAAACTTAGTTAAGAAGAGGAACTACGTGACAGCAGACACACATTGGATGTAAGGGCAACGAAACCCCACAATATATAAGCAAGGAAAACAAACCCCTTAAGCTACTAGAACCGATTTGGAACAGAGGAGAGCAAGGATTTACGAAGCAGTCACATGGAGCAATTTCTAATTTTTATACATTAAACTATAATTTTTTACTTTATTCTTTAAATCGTTATTTAATTATATGATACGAAAATATTAGATGATGAACAATGTTTGAATCAAAGGTAACATATTAATGGCATGATTTCCTTTATTATATATTTACACACATCTTATTATTATTATTCTCTTTTCTAAGCGAAAATACAAAATAAAAAGTAGATGTAATTAAATTATCATAAATAAATAAAAAAAAAAACATAAACAATTACAAATAACTATAAAATATTGTATTAGTAGTTAGTAGTAAACTACTTCGTGTAATAATAAACAAAAATAAAAATGCAAAAGAAAAATCACATTATAGTAATAAAGAAAACAAATATGTAATAATAACAACAATACCAACAAAACAACAATTGTAATTATTATTCACATAACCTAAACAAATAACACTATACACATTGACATGGTAAAATGCTGCATCCCCGCAAACAAATACATATGACTCTCCAAACGGCTTGCCAACGTCTGCGTGTATGCTTGGATTGTCATATGCATTTCCTATATAAATATATTTACATACACTTAAGTAAAACCCTCAAACAGCATTCATCACTCATTACTAATACGATGGACTAGACACTCGATCGGAACTTCTCGTATACAAAAATGACACTGAAAACGTTTAAAAATCAATAGTTTATTTTTATTATTTTTAAAGCGATATTTTTCTGTTTATTATCAGAAATAAAATAATACAAATTTTCAAAATGTTATGTGAAGACATGAAAAGCAAAATCTGTAGCATAAAAATTAATGTTTTTTAATTATAACAATACAATAATAAATATTAATTAAAAATAAAAGCGAACACCAATAAATACAAAATCCGAAAACGATGCAGTGGAAACTGTTTTTGGAAGAAAACGAATTATAAATAGGTGAGGAGTTTTACTCTTTTTCCATTATCTCTTACCTGCCGATATCGGAGGTGGTCTTTATAGCTTGGCATCATTACACTCTAACTAGTTGTAGCCACCATATTAACGTTTGATGATTTTCACAGAATCACTTTCTAAGTTCATTGGCTCGTATGTTCATGTATTTCTTCTTTGACCCCAGGATGAATCCTATCTCGTCGATGACGATCGGTTTAGATTTGAATATGACTGCATAGACAAATGAAGATATAGACAACGAAAAGTTAGTTTTGTCTTTTTATCCAGATGGCGCTCATCATGTTTTGCATAGTCAATCAAATCAGCATTTACGCGTTCAACCCACTCGACTTCGAAAACACATTTTATTTGTTATTTTAAATGACAAATATCCTACAGTTTATAATATTTTTTACATTTTACTTCAATATTCTCACTCAAACCGCTTAAACTATATTGATGACATCTGTTGATCCGATTTTTTCCAAGATAAACGGTGAGAGCATTTTGTTTGCCATATTTTCATTTGTCTATGATGACTGTCTTAAAGTACGTTTACATTCAAACTCTCTGTCCGGTAATTGGCCAATCACAATAAATTTAATGTATGCTAGTATAGTCGGGGCTATCTATACTGCTGCGAGTTTTTATATGTAAACGTACTTTATCTAGGTATATGATCAGGTCAGACGGAAGGAGAATTAATTAAAATATGATCAGTCTGAATATCAAAGCTTCTCTGTCGTAGCGATTAAAGATATTTCGCCTCACTTCAAATACATTTTTTTTGATACTTTTTCAGCCGACAGCATTAATAAACAGAAAAAAAAACTGTGCACCATTAGTTGGTTTGTGTCTTTGAAATCAACAAAGAATTTTAATTGCTTTCACTTTTTTATTCACAATGAATATTTTTTGGCGCCCAATATAATATTTGGCGCAATAACGATTTTAGCTGCGAAATTGGAAGACTTATTGTGTTACTCACTGATAGTCCATGATAATTTTGTTGATTTCGGAGAAGCAAAGCAATTCAAGTGGTATTTTAAGTGTTGTTGCCATTGGCAAGTGAAAATGTAGCGGAAAAATATATTGAAATGAGGTTAAATGAAATTTTTGTTGCAGCGGAGAAGTTTGGTTCGGTTCATACGCCATGGTTCAAATCAGAGCCTATTCAATAAGATCACACAGGATGCGATTTCAGTCCAAAGTATATTTCACAAATTAATTAATATTATTAATAAATATATCGACAGCTAATGAAGAGAGTAGCGCTGGCCTTATCGTGTCATCTTGTAAATAAAGTCCATTAAAGAGATCGTATAAGCACAACGAAAATCGACCATTGTGATTGAAATAATCTCTTACCGTAAACATTTTTGTTTTTATATTCGCACACTCACGCATATCGCAAGTGCATCCATTTTGATAATGCGGAGGAAATCAGCTGGTCTAATCAGAGTACGAAAACTGTATTTTCTCAAAGTGCGAAATGAATTAACGGGATCTGTTTTATATTTCATACTGTGTAGGTGAGTGGAAACAAAAACTAAACTGACGCAACATTGAAAACGAAACGTTGCAAACGTTTCCCCGTAGATTAACTGATTAAAAATTATGTAGAAACTAATATTATGTTTATGTTACGGCATTCGTATTTTTTTCCTATAAGTTGTTTTTATCATATAAAACAGCAATAAGTTCTGCCCAAGGCTAGTTTTTGCACCACTGTAATAATATAAAAGGTGTGTCCGGTTATTTTTCCTGCAGGAATTATACACCGACTTCTTTCTCTGCCAGTAAGGTAGTTTTATTCTCTTTTGCCAGAAAACTGTAAAAGTATTAGCTGATTTGTCAAAGCAAAGCAATTAGTGCGTCATAAACAGAGATTAATCATGCAAAGACTAAAAATTAGCCGAAATGTTTTTAAATCGCTTGTCCGAATATAAATCATTGTCCAAAAGGTGGTAGTAAATAGATTTATGTTGACTGCTAAGTTACTCAATATGAATTATCTCGTAACTTCAGTTTTGTTTTAATTATTTTTCAGATAATTAGAATTCAAAATTGTATTATACCACTAAACTACTAGTTTATCACTTGGAAAATTGCATGCCAAATTGATGCCATTTTCTCAACAATTTAAAAGGTTGGGTGCATTCATTGTTTGGAACAACCGTTTTTGCTATATTTTGCTTAATGCTGTTCGCGAACTTTTTGAAATATTTATAAGTGGGAGAGATAATTCTGCAGTATAAGTTACTGAGCAGCTTTTACTGGAGAAGTTGTCGTACGCACCTTTTTACATCGGCCACCAAACAGCAGTTTCTCAATCAGCTGTTGATGATGCTAAACAATTCTTGGCGAATAACATTTTCGAGTAAGAAAATCTCAGCAACTCAACTGTCAAAATGAATTTCAGCACTCGTTCTCACTTACTGGACTTCTGGCGGTTATTTAGTACAAACTATTGGATTATCATACACACCTCTAATGTTGCGAGTTTTCTAACTCCGTTTGATTTTGCGGCATTTTATTCTATCCCTTTGTTTTAATGAAAACGTTTACGTTTTTTTTTTTAAATTGTTTTTTATTTTGTATAAAAGTACTACTAAACTATTTACTACTACAAGCAGGGGATGGAGGTTGGAGGTATGTATGTACAAGAGTAACCCAAAAATTGGTTCAGTCAGTCAACCGATCTACAGCTAGGCCTAAGGTCTAAATACAATTGTGTAAGTGTAAAGTTTACGAGTGTGTCACAGATAGGCTTTTGTAATTGAAGCGTTCAACGCAAGCGGGGCGGAGGCGGCAGGGATGCATTGTCAGGCTCACATTTTTGACGTCAGCGCTGCCAACTGGGCTTTGAGGGCGTCGATTTGGCACAACAACTCGATGTTCTGGCGCTCCAAGTAGGCAGCACGGATGGCGATCTCGTCTTCCTTGATGCGGCGACGGTCACGGGACTTCTTGGCGGCAGCGTTGTTTTTGCGGCGGCGTTCATAGTAGGCAGCATCTTTGACTATGCCTCCTGAGGTCGATACAGAGTTCTGGCCACTGGTGTTGGTGTTTGCGTTGGCTGGGGCGCCACTGGCGGCCACTGACGACTGGCTGTCATTGCCGGAATTCGAATCACAGTCGCTCGATTCCTCGCACTGCTGGCGTTCTTCGTTCTCGCTGTTGTTGCTGGAGGAGCCTTCGTGGATGCTGCCGCTGCGCGAGCTTGTGCGTCGCATTTTTGGGTTGGTGACAGTGCGCGAACCGCCATTTGAGCTGCGTATTTGTTCGAGCACCCGTTTGCGGTATTCAGTGTAGCGCTCGACACGTGGGTTGTCAAGCAAAACATCGGTTGCTGCGAAATTGGCTGCTATGACTAAGGGGTCGCGGGGAAAAGCTTTGAATGGACGAGTGGTCTTGGCATCGAGGGGAACGGAAATGTTGGTGCTGCTGGTTGGTGTGGTAGCTGCAGTGGGTTGCTGTTGCTGCTGTGGCGAATGTGGCTCAGCCATGTCCTTCTTCATGGAAACTGCGGCGGCAAACGTTTGCAAGAGACTGTTTCCCGATGTAGCGGGAACTGTGGATGGGACGACACCAGCAGATGGCGGCGGTGTAGTCGACATGGGTTCTTGTTTGATACCGTTGGCGTAATATAAGCCCGGGTACAATGAAGCCAAGCCGGAAGGCAGTGGGTTTTGAGACTGTTGCTGTTGCGCCTGGGCTGCGTACAATATGTTGGTAGGCAATAGAGCGGCAGCAGCAGCAGCTTGTTGCGAAACCATTGATGTGGGCGACCCAGCGGGAGAGCCTGTGCCCAAACTAGAGTTGGTGTGGTATGGTGAGGGGGTTTTGCGGGCAGCTTCAGCCGAGTCGCATCGGCGTGACAAGTCAAGAACTTCCGTTCCATGGGAAGTCGTGTGTTGTTGCGGCAAGGCCGTGTTCATTAGCTGTTGTTGCAACTGTTGCTGGTAGGCGTATGCCGAATACAAATCCAGTGCAGGCATCGGTGGGGACGGTGGCTGTAGATGCATTGGCTGCTGATGGCTGTGGTGTACTGCAGCGGCTGCTTGCAGTAGGCCTGTGCGATCTGAAACAAGGAGAGAATGCGTCTGTTAGTAACGAATTTTCCAAGCGCATCAAAGTGATGCGTTGTTGTATTAGAGCGAAGGACTTTTAAAAATACTAACCATTTTTTAGATCTAAAAGAAATTGGCCGGACATCAGTTTTTCGTGAATCATCATGTTGGAGCTTGGGTATGTTTTAATCCAGGAGATAGAGATTTGCGTATAAATTAATCCTACGGTTGTATGTCGGTATTCGGAGATAGATTTTTTCGTAAGTGTCAAAAATTGTTTGAGATCCTTTGATTTTTCATACAGCGCAGGCTGACGTGTTATCTTAAACAATGTTCGAAGTGTACTGATTTGAAAACGAAAACGCCCGGCCTTATATACACAGGCCAGTTGCACGTCTACAGCACCTACGCGCCGGCGTTGCAATTTCATTGACAGGCAAACCAGGCAGTGCAGGCTTCCTTTCTCTCTTCTACCTATGCACCGGGTACAGCTCTAACTCTTTTTCCTATCGTCTCACTCTTTCACTTTTCGAGCGAATAGGGGAAGGGCATCCAGAGAGCAGGTAGCTGTGGCTATTTCAATGAAACAAAAGGGTGGGACAATGGGCTATTATGATTTTCCTATGTGACATTATGAGGGAGGTTTGATTGGGCACAAGTCTCGGGAGAGGGAGAGAACAGGACGAAATTGTCCCAATATTATTTACTGTATCGCAAAGATATGCTAACGATTACGACAATAATGTCGTGGAATCAAATAACGAACAGAAACTATTTTAAAAGCGCCTCAAACCTTTACATAAAATGTATCGATGTTAGTGCGAATCCAAAAAATTGAAATACGAAGCATCTAGCGTTGGTTTTTGTTAAAAAGCTAAAATTTGTTGATTCACATTTGAATACGAAATTTTGGTCTTGCTGTGCAATGAATCTTTTACATGGGCGATCATTTAAGGGCAATTGTAATATTAAGCAGAAATTCCAAATTTATTCTCGACTCCTCTATAAGTTTGCGAACGTCACATCGTGCATAGAGTTATTTTCTGCAAAGCAGGAGCATGGCGGAGCTTTTCCCAACACCATGGTTTTATTCCTTTGACATTATCCCCGCTAATAAATCGGTGGTTTTAATAAAAAAACACAAATCTGGAATCAAGCCAGACTATGTAACAAACAGCTATGGCACCCCAATCAATATATTTGAGATCTGTTCTATTCCAAATAAAATGCCTATCTTTTTAACCTTGTGGATATTGTTCGGCCTGGATGTTGTTATAAGGTGATGAACAGTAGGTCTTTTCTGTAACTTTTTTAGGTTAGTTAGGATAAAATTTATTTGTTTGTTTTGTTTTTGTTACAATAAAAAAAGAAGTTTGAAAATAACGTTTCAAACGGTAAAACTTTGGCTTGCTGACGTGAAAGTTGAAATTGCAAATAAAAAAATAATTTTGAAAACATTTTGAGCATTAAATTAGTTATTTTTGTAGGTTCTTTTATATTCGACAAGCAAACCAATATATTTTATATATTTTTGTTGTTGTTATTTTTTTTAAAGTCGGTATATGTTTACCAGGGAGAAGTCAGGGAAAACCATGGTTTTATTCACCAAAACTATAATCCTCTTGCGTTCCACAGAAACAATTAAATTCTCACAATTTTACAAGCGTTTTTTTTTTCACAAAATTAAACAATTTTATAGAATAGACAATACCTAACAGTTCGAGTAAAGATTTAAAGAACTATGTAAAGGCTGTCGAAAAGAAACGTCATTTTAGAAAAGGGGGTCGAAAAAAGAGCCGCATTTGCTGCAATTAACTCACTTTTTTCCATAGAACTTACTCTTCTTTTCCATTGATTTACCACTTACGAACTATTCGAACGATAGCGTGTTTCCATTATCAAGTCAAAGGAATTCGCACTTTTATTTCACTAAGTTTTTCACAGGAAAAAACTACTTCTAACAATGCCCCGATTAAGAGGCTAAAAAACATTCACATATGTATGATGCTTCACAGCACAACTTCACAGTTCGTCGGCGTGTCATTAATATACCTCAGCCGATTTCATTCGTATCTTGGAGCAGTCGCTAGCAGTTTGGCCAGAATCAATTATCATATCATGTTGTGGTTTGACCTATTTCAATCTGAGCAAATTCTAATTGAACTTAAAACGAATCTAAGTTTCCACATACGAAGCACTGGTCAGTGTCTTTTCCAATCGATTCGATCAATGAAATAACACTCGGCCATTTCAGAACATTAAAAATGCGCTAATCTTCGGATTAGAACCTTAAAAAACCACAGGGATTAGTTTAATCCAAATATGCATTCGCTAATCCCCTTGCCAACGATGCCACACGGTTGGTGGTCGATGGTAGTTGCCGCTAGCAAGCGATTCAGAAAAAAACTTAGTCACTAACTAAAAACTAGTAACCAACCGAGTTTTTTACCTGCCCCGCAGTCGTTTTTTTCCGCTGAGCTGGGCTGGGCTGGTAGCACCAACCGTGATCATTAAATTTGCATGTAACTTTCGACTTCTAAATGCAACTGCCATAAAAAAGAGTTACTCACTTGGTTTATGGCTTTGACCTTAGATTTCGGGGAATATCCTTTGATAGGAAATGTGCCGGTCGTAATGCTGCTGCTGGCATCCTAGTTTCCAGAGGTTGTGATTCGGAGGCATGCTTTGCCATTTTTACTCGTTAACATGCAATTTCTGTGCAATCCTTTCGGTTGAAATGACCGAAGCAACTTGTCAACGATTAACCTTGATCTGGCATTCTCGAGAGTTCGGGCAAACGAGTATTGAACGCAGTTGCAAATAGCCAACTAAGGGTCGTAAATCCATAAAAGTCGTTCGTTTTTGTCGCGGTGCAATAAAAACGGGTTGGGTTACTTTATGGACCTCCTCCTCCTTCGCTGGGTGGAATGCCTTGCCAGTTTTTTAACGTAACTAAAATTTTATTGCATCATTTTTTTAGCGTGTTTTTCACGCCAACGATGTCTGCTCGTCGAGAAGTTTTTTAAGAATTCCTGGAACGTCGAAATAAAATGTGTTTGCATTCAGGTAGTCAGTAGTTTTTTTCAAGTGTCATAAACCTCTGAAATTGTATCATAAAGGGTTTCAGTTTTTTAGGGAAACCTATAAAAAAGCGACGCTTAGGTAGATGGCGGGAGGGTGGAATGATAATAATAATTAAATTTAGCGACTAATTGACTGCGAAAGGGTTCCTTTGTTTTTTTTTTTTACCATGCCAACTATCCCGAGAAAAGGGGTTTTGTAGCTAATTTAAGCGAAATGTGTTCAAATAATGAGTGTAGTATAAAACGCATATGAATCTGGGCATTTTACTCGCTTCTCAGAATCGCAAAACTATACGCACAGAGATGGTGTAATTTTCTGTTTTTTTTAAAGGGTTTAAAGTCAAAAAATAATTTTTGTCATTTTGTAATTGGAATACACATATGTAGATGTTAGAAGTCATAACATAACATTGATCCATTCGGTGCAGAATCGTTGTTGCAGTGACGACTAGTGGCAGCATTTTTTATTTGAAACAATGGAACTAAATCTTTTACAGAGATTTCCCCCAATTTTTCGAGCCTGCGATGAGAGCTTCAACACATCAGCATGCATTTATTTTTCCAACTCTGCCGCTATTGGTTCCTCTAATGTGGCCAATTATTCGAAACAATAGCTCCATCTAAAGGCTAAGAGTTGCCACAACATTGAAGTTCCCTATTCTACTGAATAATTTGTCTTGTTCTACTATGTGACCTATATGAACTGACATTCAAATAATACAAAAATATTTGGCTCTAATTTCGTATTGATCGTCGAATAAAAGTGACTTGTTGCCGAAACGATACTCATACAGTATTTACATTCTGACCCAGATATTTCATTGCCTGGGGGGCGGGGGGGTCATGGTGCAGTAAAAGTACAAATAACTCCTGGAGAATACAAATATACCAGTTAAAAAATATATTGCAGATTGAATGTGACCAAATGCCAACCTCCATGATGATGTTCCAATTGAAATGGTCAGCATGGTTGAAACCTCAGTGTGTAAATACATTTATTACAACTAGTATATAATTTAGTCGTTGCTAAGCATGAAATACCATTCGTCCTTCTTACACTTACGATTTTGAATTGTACACCTTTCCGAATGCAATTAAGTTAAAACGGAGTTGAATTCGGCAGATGGACTTTCTGATTCTCCACCAGAAGTAGATGGTAAAGAGTCAATATGTTATTCGAAATGCGACTTTTTCTGATTTGATAACAATGCAAACATAGATCTTGTAGAATTACCTAAATCTATATCGTAGCACTGCTGCGTTTAAAACTTTAAAACTTAGAAACGCGTTTAGTAATGGGATTCTGAAAAATTTTGCTCTTACCGATGATATTCGGTAAGATTATAATGCATCGTTTTTATAAAAGTTAATAGAATTGTCTGTAACGGGCAGTCTATTCTGCTAGCGAGCTTAGTGCCATTTTCTTTTCTTTTTTAGCGAAATTGTGGACAAATGAAATATTGATTTTATCGATAAATGTCGTTATTCTCAGGAGTAGTTGAACTAAAATCATAGTCATTTTTACGAACGGTTCTTCCTTAACATCCATGGATACGTGATCAAAATACGAAATAATCTGCACGATCATGCAAAAATAATGATCATTGGTTCGTGGATCCGCCACTTTAGATTCTTGCCTGCACGATTCGCAAACCCATTCCCCGAACAAATGTTCATAATAAATACATATTTTTTATTATTTAATCCTGCCAGTAGGACATGACAACTTCATTTCCAGGGCCGATATGCCCAAAATCGTAAAATTTTGTTCGATAAAGTTTACTCTCCCGTCCGAGTCACTTAATTATGGAAACATTGTCTAATTTCTGGTACTGCTGTAACCGACAGCTCTTCGTAGGAACTGAGTTGCTGCGTTTGGTTTGCTTGTTTTAGACTTCCCTTTTTGAGATTGTAGAATGAAATATTGAATTAAGGATTCGTGTTTTTTCGTCTTCCGTACGGTCAGGTGGTTCCCTGCCTTGGTAGTCGAGTACACAGATTTACATTTTTCCAAGACTTCCAACAAATCCCAACACTGGATTGCAAATTGTCAGCAAATGTTTATGTTCGATTTAAATCACCGCTTTCTTTCCTACGAAGTCGCAGTGCATGGATGGTTAGATGGATGGACGGATTCGTGGATATATTCTTCGACATTTCAACTAAAAAAATAAACAAACATATCCGGTAGGGAACATCGTCATCTAATCGTCTTCACAAAATCATAGGGCTTAAATAGATTTGGATCCCGCTATAGTGTACGGATACCCACGCAACGATTAAAGCCACCAACGGATTCATCATCGATGTTAAAAATCAATAAC